TTTACAGAAAAAAAAGTATATTTTAAAAAAAAAGTAAATATTTTTGTGAACTTACACATTTTTCCCAAATTTGAGATACTATTCTTTTGCAGAAAATGCAAATGAAAATTTTATCGGTAATCTCTTCACAATCTTTATGTGCCCATCTGCTACGAGCCCCTTCCCACTTCAGTTGGCCCAACTATTGAAATCTTAGTTTTTTTCTTATCAAACACAAATAATAAAAAAGTAGCAGTGTTATAGGTTTAAAATATTAACAATGAATATTTTGATAATATATAGTAGAAAACACCAACTTTACAGTATATCAAGCTATTTTCATTTCAATGCAAAATAAGTCTATAACGCACAGGTGGCTGTGAAAAATAAAAGCCATGATAATTGTTTTTATTAATCACAGCTGTCAGAATACGTTTAAAATAGTTTTAGGTAGTTGAGGTTTTCAAAATGGGTAGAGGAAAGGTTATTAGTGAGAAAATTCGGTTACTGATAATTAAATGTTTTAATTCTGGGAAATCAAACTCAGAAATTGCAACTTTGTTAGACTTATCGCGGTACACTGTGAGAAATATTGTTAGAAGATATAACGTAACTGGTTCAGTAATATCACAAATGCCGACCGAAGAGCATTAAGAAGAATAATCGTGAAAAACAGGCGTGCCAATTATTTACAATTAAGTGCTCTGTGGAGTGACGCTGTTGGAAGGAGAATTTCGAGATGCACAACTCATAGAGAGGCCCACAAACTAGGATTTAGCACTTGCAAGGTAAGTTTTCTTATAAAAAAGTGAAGTAAAAACCCTAAAGTTGCACAACTTGTTTATAGGCCTAAGAAAAGCCACTATTAACTCCACTGCAAAAGAAAAATTGGCTTATATGGGCTAAAGAACATAGACAATGGACACCTCAATAATGGTGTGCAATACAATGGAGTGATGAGACTCGATTCGAAGTTTGTGTTGGTGACAGTCGCAGTAGAGTTATTCGCAAAAAAAGCATTCCATGTTGACTATCTGAAGAGAAAAGTGAAATTTCCAGCATCCATTATGGTCTGGGGCAGTATGTCATCAAAAGGAGTAGGAAAACCTCATTTTATTGATGGAAATGTGGATACAAACAAATATTTGGCAATTTTAGAAGAATCGCTTTTATCAGTGATGGATGTTTGACATCCGGCCAAGATTTTGTGTTTACCTCAAAAAAGGTTATAAAATGGATGGAAGAAAATAATGTACCACTTTTGAAATGGGTTTCTAGCAGTCCAGATCTGTCACCTATTGAAACTTTGTGGCACGAGATGAAAAAGGTTCTACGACAACATCCTGCTCGTACAATCAGCGAACTGAGACAAAAGCTTCAAGAAATATGGGATTGTTTCACACCAAATTTTTGTCAAAACTTGGTTAACACTATGACCCAAAGAATTTCAGCCGTAATAAAAAATAAAGGTGATGTTACCCAATGATAATCTTTCAATTGATGCTGTGTTAACTTCGCGCATTTATTCGCACATTGTTTATTTGTTCAGATGTTCTATTAGTTATAGGTCTAAGTGATTTCAAATATGTATTTTTTACGACTAGAGTGTATCTAAAATGTTTTTGAGAAAATAAATTGTTTTAGAAGTAAATAGTTTCGTCATGTTTAGTTTATAAAGGCATATGTTGGTACAAATCTTGAAGTGGGCCAACTGAAGTGATAAGGGGCTCGTACAATGTCTGTATTTTGCCCATTTTTTCACCCATCTTATCTTCGGAAAATCGACCCGTACAATACAAACATTCAGCATCGCTTTCATGTTGCTTTCGTCTGAAGATGAATCATCCAACTTAAGACTTCCGCTGCATTCTGAACTTGAACTGGAGAGGGAAGGTATCTATCCGAATTCTTTTGAGGCTTTTAAATAATCCATCTCCTTACTCTTGTGTTTCCATGCATCTGATTCTTGATACAGAGCCCTAATTTGAGATAGTCTCAAATTAGGAAAACTTGGGTATCTCTAATCAGGAATTTTCCGTTAAAAAGTTTACACAAGCATATTCAGGTTATATACGTAATAAAATCACAATATTGTAAAAGAAAATAAATAAGGTATTTATAAACTACTAAATTTATATTAGACAATTGTTCTATATCACTTACCTTAGTTTTAGTAATCACTTTTCTCGCACTATTAAAAATATTTTTAACTCTCAAGAAGTAACAAGTTGTGACGTCACAGCAAACCATGTGCAAAACTAAACTGTAAACACACGTAGAATACTACTGCGTCTTAGTTCACAACTTTTTGGTATTATTAGATGGTACTATAAAGATACAAAGTTACACCACTGTCTCAAATTAGGCGCTTGTCTCAAATTTGGTTCCTTTCCTCTAGACTTACCAGGCTATCTATTAATAAAGGAACTCGCAATGAACATCTTTTGGTTATTCCAAAACATTCGACGGCTCTGTTTTAGCGCGGTTATTCATACAATGCTGCGAAACTGTATAACAGCTTGGCAGTATATCTCCAAAATCTGAGCCTTTACAATTTTAAAAAAGATTGAAAGCAGTTTAAGAAAGACCTAAGATATAAGCAAAGCTCGACACGTTTTGAAGGATAATGCCTCAGTTTATTTCTTCTTAAGTCGTCTTGTTTTTTTTTTGCAAGAGTTGTTTTTTTATAATGTTCTCGTATGTTCTATTTTGTATTGTATATTTTTTTATTTATTTTGTATGAGTGTTATTTTTATGGGATTCATTGAAAAGCAGCTTAGGCTAGTTACCTTGAATGATGAATAACGACTATTTATTATTATTATTCGAAAAGACAAAATAAATTTTGGCTGAACTATACTTTAGCTCATATCCCAAATATTACATTTCTTATTTTAAAATGAAAGATTAGGATGTAACTTGCACGAAAATATCATTTTTTCTTCAAGGAACCCTCTGCTTGCTATTTTATAGTACCTCAAAGTTGCATTTTGTGTGGAATACTGCTTTATAAGCTGTTTTTTTCTTGTTTACACAAAAGATTGCTCAAAATTATATGAATATAACATACAATGTAAATTACTGTGAAACTGTTCATCGCAATAATGCAATTTTGCATTATTTTAATGATAAAAATAGTTCATTGTTAAGCAGTAATTTCATTTATTTCAGATGAATATTCCCATCACTACACCACCATCTACCACCATCACTATCCTACTCTCTCCATCTAGTTGCTGTGTTGCCAAATCATGGATAAGTTATATACCCTAATTTGGTTTGCCAAATTCTTACTTATATACTAGCGCAAAAATGAGCAATCGGCACAGGATTGTCACGAAAATGCGATTTGGAGGTGTGGCCGGCAAGTTTTACTATACTAAATCCACCTTGTGCCCTACGATAGCGTTAGCTAAAGAGACTTTTTTGAAGAGTGCCTCATGCCCTTCACAAAAGTTCTTCGGTTATTGTTTTTCCTATATTATAGTTATAATCTATTTACTTTAGTATATATGTACTTGAAGAATTATTTAAAGTGAAGCTGATGTTACAAAATGTACCTAATTAAATGTGATATAAGATGAGAAATAACTGAAAAAGTAGCTCTTGCAAATCGCTAAATAATGAAAACATAACAAAAAACATTGCAAGTTTTTTGATGATTTGATGAAATGATCGTTGATCTTTATTTAACTATAGTGTTGGACGATGATATGTTGGGTGGACCTGGCGAGATGGTCCAAATCGACGAATCGACGTTGGGTATTTTTATACGCAATGACCGCTGGTGCCTTTTGTATTTTTTATGTCACCCGAGCCGCTGGTGCATTTTCCACTGTTTAGACGCATACTGTTCAAAATTTCATCTAGTTTTCGGTAAATATTGGGAAAACTTTTCATTTACAATAAATTAAGACTTTTATTTTGCAAATAACCTCATTTCTAATTACGTATTTCTCCCAAAAAACGTACAACTTGGCAACAATGGACATCGTTTATCTTATAGTATCTGTCAAGAAATGACCGTTATAAAATGGCCATTCGGAATTGTTTGTACTTTCAAATATTTATTATAAACGCAAAAACTTTGATCTCATTGAAAATACGCGAAAAAAATGGTTAAGGAATTTGAAGAAGACTGAAAAATCACAACACACCTCCTCTACACAGTTTACCAAGTAAATACCATCATTTACGTATGTATTTTGAGCTGTTATTTTAGCTAATAAGCTAATGTGTAATAACATGGCTGATTTTGAACCTTTTTTTGCAAAAAAACGATTTTTTACAGTTTCACGTCTATTTTCCTTATTACTATACAGTGTATGTTATATTCTTATAATTTAGAGCATAATTTTGTGCAAAGAGCAAAAAAAGCGTATAAAACAGTATTCCATTCTAGAGTAATACCACCAAAAATGCAACTTTGAGGTTCTATAAGGGCTCCTTATAGAAAAAATGATATTTTCGTGCAAGTTACATCCGAATCTTTTATTTTAAAGTAAGAAATGAAGTATTTGCGATATGCGCTAAAGTATAGGAATACCGGAATTTTTTTTAATGTAATACCCTTAAGAAATTTGACAATCCCCAAAAGTTTTTAGAAATAAAGCTCCAAGGAGTTGTCGAGATTTTTTTTTCACGTATAACGTCACCAACACCCTTATTACGAGACTTTGAAGCAGCTGACAGGAACTTCCCAACCCCTTCAACTTCCAACCTCCAATTTTCAACCCTACCAAAACAATTTTTGAAGACTAGGTGTCAGCCATTTTTAATTTTTTTTTTTCGTTTTTTGTCCGTATCTCGGCCGCCATTGGATCAGTTTTCAAAACCGAGATAGCTTGTTAGTAATTTGCATAATGTCACTTTTCAAGATACGTCACTGACAATGGCGTTCATTTGACACCTATCGAAACGAATCATCGTTAAGCCTTGATACAAAAGTTATAGTTGCAATATTAAAATACGACACATATTAAACCTTCCGTCATATCGAACGTTACGCCGCTGTAAATCACCCCCTGTAAACGAAGGTCTTCAACGTCCGTCGTTTCTTTCAGGAGCGAGCAAAGGGTAGTCTTCGGTTGCTGCTTAGGATATATCTTCCCGGAGACAGGGACTAGAATTAAAAGTGTCGAGTGTCTAGGAGCACATTGGAACGATACACTGCCCCTCTCAGGCTGTCAAAGTAAGTCACTCTTTATTTTTGTCTTTTGTAAAATAAGTTGTTGAGTAGTTTGATTTATATTTATAAGTTTGTTACGAAATATGGTTCTTTTTACTGAAGGTGTATTTAGACAAGTTAATGAAACGTGAAGAAACTGTTTCTTGGGTACTGTTGCGTCTTGTAGAACTTCGAATTTCGCTGTATTTTCGCTTGAAATTTAAAGAGGGTAGTTCGATAGACTGTACACTGTATTTTTAGCAGTTATTTTCACCATTATTTCCACCGCCATCGGCCATATGACGTTGTCGTCTGTGCATATGTCATGTATGAGAGGCGCTTGCCTGCGGTGTTGCCGGATTGGGCTCCGCATGTAGGGAAAATATGAAAAGTGGAAAATTTATAATACATATATTAATTAATGAAACACAAAAACGAAAAACTGAAACAAACAACAGTATCAAAATAAAAAGCGATTCTTAATAAGTATAAAACAAAAAATAACGATAGTAAGCTAAAAACATTAAATTGTCAATACTTATAAAAAATAAAAAGTAGTAAAATAAAAGAAACTATTCCATGTTATTATAAAAAACAAATAACAAACAGTAAAATAAAAAGCATTTTTTATAATTACATGGAATTGTTTGCCATTTTACTGTTTTTACTTTTTGTTTTTTGTTATCACTCAGAATAGCTTTCTATTTTACTGTTTATTTTTTGTTTTTTATAATTACATGGTATTGTTTTTTTTGCTCTATCACTGTTTTTATTTTTTATTTTATATAACACTGATCAACAGCCAAAAAATATCCTAAATAAAATCAACAAAATATTACTATTTTTAATGTGCTAAAACCGGAATGAAACTTATTTGTTCAATATTAGTTCAAGTTTTAGAGATACGGTAATTATATGTGTTCCTGCTGTGACCGTGTTAATATAGTGTAATTCACAAGAATGCACGTGCTACATTTTTATATTCGGCAAGGAAAGATGATGTAATCGGCATGACAGCGTTCAGGCAAAATGTCTCGAAAGTGTGTAAACAATCCAGATCAGTTTTGATACGTGTGTGGTGATGTGACTTTTGCGTCTCAGAGACGGTCTATTACTCCACTAATAACAAAGGCATATCAGCTTTATTTCGGTTGTAAACTAGGTGATCAAGACAAACAGTGGGCACCCCACATCTGCTGTAATACATGTGCTTCAAGTCTGAGGAGCTGCTTAAATGGCAAAAAACGGTCTATGCGCTTTGCTGTCCCAATGGTTTGGAGAGAGCCTACAAATCAGATTAATGATTGTTACTTTTGCATGGTACCTTGTGTTGGACAAGCCACAGGTATGTCCAAGAAAAAAAAATCGGTTACTAAATACCCAAACATACCATCTGCGATGAGACCTGTGCCTCACAGTGACGAAAATCCTATTCCAAAACCCCCAGAATCCTACACTTGCGAATCAGATCATGGCGATCGAGTGATTCGTCAGGAAGAAGATATGCCATCAACGTCAAGAGATCCTGATTTTATACCGAGCACGTCATGCCACCAACCGCACAAAAGAATTAAATGATCTTGTAAGAGATTTAGAACTTCCAAAATGTAAGGCAGAGTTACTTGGATCAAGACTGCAGCAGTGGAACTTGTTAGAAGACGATGTTTCGGTATGTGTTTTTCGTGAACGCCACAAAGACTTAGAACCATTTTTCAATATGGAGAATAACTTGCTTTTCTGCAGTAACATTAACGGCTTACTGGCGGCTTTAAATATAAACTATAACCCAGAAGAATGGAGATTGTTTATAGACAGTTCAACATTGAGTTTAAAGGCAGTGTTATTGCATATTGGAAATATTTTACCATCTCTTCCTGTAGGGTATGCAGTTCACATGAAAGAATCATATGGCAATATGAAGTACCTATTGACATGCATAAAATACGATGAACACCAATGGCATATTTGTGGCGATTTGAAAGTTGTTGCACTTTTACTTGGGCTGCAGCTAGGCTACACAAAGTTTTGCTGTTTTTTGTGTGAATGGGACAGTCGGGCAAAGGCACTTCATTACACCAGACAAAACTTACCTGTTCGTCAATTCCTAGAGCCAGGTCAAAAAAATGTACAGCATATGCCATTAGTAGATTCGAAAAAAAATTTATTACCACCACTGCATATCAAGTTGGGCCTAAAGAAAAACTTTGTCAAGGCATTAGATAGAGATGGGTCAGCTTTTCAATCCCTGCGTCAGAAATTTCCAAGACTAAGTGAAGCAAAGGTTAAAGAAGGTATTTTTGTTGGGCCACAGATTCGAAATATTTTGAAAGATACACAGTTTGAAAACACTTTAACAGGTATTGAAAAATCTGCTTGGAATGATTTCCGTCTGGTGGTCACTAATTTCTTGGGAAATAGAAAAGCTGACAACTATAAAACCCTTGTCAAAAATGTGCTATCATCGTATCAAAAGATGGGCTGTAATATGTCTCTTAAGATACATTTCCTACACTCACACCTGGACTTTTTTCCTGACAATTGCGGAGCCGCAAGTGATGAGCACGGCGAACGTTTTCATCAGGATATTTCAACAATGGAAAAAAGGTACCAGGGAAAGTGGAATCCTTCCATGCTTGCAGACTACTGTTGGACTCTTGGTAGAGATGCTCCAGAAATGATCCATAAAAGAACAGCAAAAAGACAGCGCATATAGTGATTCTTATAAGTATATGAATCTTGTTACTTTTTTTAATATAGGTATCCTTAAAAATAAAAAGTTTTTTTTTCTAAACCGCAACTAATTTTTTTATTTCATTGTCATTTTTGGATTCAGCGCCCCAAAATTAACAAAGAAGTAAACTTTTCCCACAAGATACAATTAAAAAAGTAAAATTTGTTGTCCAGTGTAATTATTTACAATTTACTGTGTGTCAGCTTATTACTGTCATTTTTTGTTTTTTACTTATTAAGAACCGCGTTTCATTGATTAGTATAAATGCACCTACATACATATATGTATATAGATTTTCCACTTTTCGTTTTCCCTAAATGCGGAGCCCAATCCGGCAACAACGCAGACAAGCGCCTCTCATATATGACATATGCACAGACGTCAACGTCGTCATATGGCAGATGGCCGTCTAAATAATGGTAGAAATGACTGCTAAAAATACGTCTTTTGGGAAAAAAATTCATGAAAAGCGTGCTTCATCCACACTTTTGTTTATTTAAAATAATATATCAGACTACCCTCTAGAAGTTTCAAGTGAAAAAACAGTGAAATCCGAAGTTCTACCAGACGCAACAGTATCGTTTCTTGTCTATGTAATGGATTATACAGGGTGACTTCGAAGTTGAGTCATTTATTTTAACAGTGAGTAGATCTGATCAAAAGATATGTTTTTTTCCTTTACCATTTTTCTGGTAAAATTAAAGTAACAAAGTTATAGCCCTTTGGAAGTTTGAGTACCGCCCTGTCTCAATAATAATATTATGTGCTCGGGTTTGGCAACAACGGATATAATCCGCCTTATCGGTTCATCGCATCGGAAACAAAAAAGCGAAAGAATTTGGAACGATGTTTCACTCTCTGTCGGTACTGGTTGTGTGGTTATTTGTCAAACCTGTCAATTGTGAAGTGCGCTTAGCAATTCGGTTTTCTCTCTAGCGGCATCGTTCTGATTCACGACAACGCTCGGCCTCACGGTGCGGCAAGAACACAGACGTAAATGCATAAGTTTCGTTGGGCACTACTAGATAATCCACCATATAGCCCTGACTTAGCACCATCAGACCTTCATCTTTTTCCAAAACTTCAGGAATTTTTTGATGGAAAGCACTTTATCGTAAGGCGACAGCGTGTTATGACTACGGGATCCAAAAACTGGTGTTACGATTTCACAAATGTTCAAATGTTTATTGCCGCTATGCTGAACAAGGAAAAAAATGCATTTTTCCGTTTGTGATAAAATGTGAATTCATTTATGAACAAAACGTTAATAAATAAAGTTTCATTAACTTCATTACAATACTAATAATAATATAAAACGTCATAATTGGCGAATATTAGCATGAGCTATTCTACCACTTTAAAATGTCAATTCACAAGATTATTAATGAAAACACTATATACTAAGTGACATATAAATCCGAACACCCAGTTTAAATGGTTTTATTTTAATAAAATTTTGTATAAGTACTTAATGAAGCATAATAAGTAAATGATAAAAATTTCAAAATGATTGCACTGCTTTAAAGCCCTTTGACCTTTAATAATGTGTGGATGCACCCTGATGTGCTACGCATTCTCCAACGCGCCTAGGCATGCTTCTGATCAGGTGGTCAATGTACTCCTGTGGTATCTCATTCCAGGCAACCACCAACTCCTCTCGAAGTGCTTCTAGAGTCTGAGGAGGACGTTGCAAATTGAACAATCTCCTACCCATCATATCCCACACGTGCTCAATTGGGGATAAGTCGGGAGATCTTGGTGGCCATGGTAACAATGTGACATCATTATGTTGAAACAAGTCTATTGTGACTCTTGCAACATGTGGTCGGGTATTATCTTGTTGGAAAGTTGGATCTGCCAGGGTGTCAAGATAGGGTAAAAGATGGGGTTCTAGAACTTCGTGGATATAACGCTGCGCGTTCATGTTACCTCTGATGAAGATTAAAGGTGACCTGGAACCATAAGCTATAGCACCCCAAACCATAACTCCAACAGTGTGATGAACATGTCTTTCAACAAAAAACTGTGGATTCCTCCTTTCACCACGTCGCCTTCTAACCCTGGCACGACCATCGTGCATGCCTAAACAAAATCGAGACTCGTCACTAAAGACAATACTGTTCCATTCCTGATCCCAGAGTGACCGTTGTCTGCACCACTCAAGGCGATTACGTCGGTGTTCTCGAGTTAAAGGGAGGACCCAGTGTGGCCGGTATGAAAACAAGCCAAAACTTCTCATTCGTCGGTAAACACTTCGCATGCCAATAGGTCTTCCGTGTTCTGCAAACCATTCATTTGCAATGGACCTGGTAGTGGAGAAAACGGTCCCTTAAGGCCAATAATCTTAGGCGGCGATCTTCACGGTCTGTTGTTCTACGGCGGCGTCCAGTGCCCCTTGCTCTTTGCGTACGGCCTTCTCGAAGCCATGCCTGACAACACCTAACCACAGTGTCTACACTTCTTTGCACTCTAACTGCAATTGCCCGAAAAGAAAGTCCAGCTTCCCGAAGTCCCACTATACGGCCCCTATCAAACTCACTAAGTTGACGAAATCGTACAGGTCTCCGTACTCTAGGCATCGTAACCGATCGTAAAGGATGTCAAGAACCAAAATCCGCCAACGTTGATTCTTTACTGCGGCTGAAATATTCATTTTTAGAGCGTTAGTGAATTAAAAAAAAGCGGTATAAAAACCGGAATGTCCAACTGATAAGGCTGAAAAATTTTTCACTTGTTATTTACAGTAAGATAAATACATTCACCAACTTTTATTAAAATAAAACCATTTAAACTGGGTGTTCGGATTTATATGTCACTTAGTATACGTGTTAATTAAGTATGTACCATAAAATTGTCAGACGATTCTTTGAGCAATTGTGAGACAAAATATTCAAGAGACAAAAAAGTTGTATTTCTATTTGGTTAATCCACAGAACATAATTAAAATTGCACAAAGTTCAGTGGCGTACATTTATTGTCACAAATATTCGTTCAGATCCCGCTAGAGACGCCACTGAACTTAATAAATTCGATCAATTTAAGGTTGAATTAGCTCCTTAATGTTGTAAATACCGCCGCCAAATTACAACAAAATTAAATAATGGATATTAGAGAAAGATACGAAAAACCATTTTTTTCTTATTTCAACCCCCTCTTTCTTGAGAACGAAGAATTTGCGAACCTATGCTTATATGAACTTTTGTCTTAAAATTACTCAAAGAATCGTCTGTTAAATTATGTTACATACTTTATTAACACCCGTTATACCGCTAAAAATGCAAAGGTGTCATCAAAAACATTAACTGAGTAAAATAAATTACTGAATTGGATAATATTTATGCATCAATTTCAGCACCACAAATTTTAACTTAACCGGTTCAAAAAATAAGCAGCGGTGAGACCCCTCCGAAAAGCACTCATCAATCATGTGACCACTTTACCTTTAAGAACCTTTATCATTATATTTAAGTCAATAAGGTACAATAAAATGATTGTGAGTGAACAAAACGCCACAATATTGAACATCCGTTCTTGTCTGGCGTACAGGCATAACGTTAAACAGACCCCACCACCTAGAAACTCTGAAGGCCATGTGCGTACGATAACATTTGATTATAGGTAATTTCGGAATTCCACGAAACGTATTTTATTTTGCATATTACAAAAATATAATCAGACATTCCCGTATGCAAAAGTAAAAAACTTTCTACAAGTTAGTTCATCCAAAGGAACAATCTAGAACAGAGTTCCCCAAACTTTTTTGTGTCGTAGACCTCTTGCCATGTTTTTCCGTGTTGGGTAGACCCCCTACATACGTGATATTGATTTCCTGTAAATTTCTAACTGTAGTGAAGTTTAGTGTTAAAAACTTAAAGTAAAAACACATGTTAATTTATACATTTATTAATTGAATTTAAATTAAAACTACTCAAAATAAAATTTTGTATCTGTTATGTAAAATATACGTAACATTAAATAAACAGGTGTCTGATCAAATAAGTGCATTGGGAATAAATGCCCGCATTGAAAAAAAATAAGAGAGATAAAATACAAAAAAAGTGAAAAATAATAAAAAAAAAGTTTTATACTCAAAATAGTACAATAAGCGAGTTCGTTTATTGTTTATAACATAAACGTATGTTCTACAATAATTTCACTGTTAGTTTGATTAAATTCCGATTCTGATACGTTTAAGTTACCTAAAAATAGGCAAAAAATTAACGAATTATAGTGTGTACCTATCCTTGAATTTTCAGAATAATTTAAAAAAATATTTTCTATAAAGGGGGGTTCTTAAAAAAAATCAATGCGGGCACTTATTCCCAATGCGGGCATTTATTGGTCAGACACCAATAAACATAAAATAAACTATAAATAAAATAACATAAGCAATAAGTCAATATTTTTAGTGAGAAGGATGAACCTGATGCTTTAATAATAAATTATGAACATTTGGCGTCAATTTTGTAAGGGTTAATCTTAAATCTACTCGGCTAATGATGTCCAGTCTGTTTCTTTTTTTCGTTAGGAGATTGGTAACAGCGCTGAATCCCCTTTCCACTAGGTATGACGATGGAAAGGAAATTGAAAATTTCCTCGCTATATTCCATAATACGGGATAAGTAACGGGTATGTTGTTTTGCAGCCAGAATTGCTGATATCCGTTTTTAAACTGAACCTTAAGTTCTTCGTTTGTACTTAGTTCAGTCAGTTCCTCTTGTATTATGACATTCCTTTCTTCTATGTCACCATATAGATTAATTATCCACGGTGGTATTACCATAGTCAAAATATCCTCAAACCTAGATTCAAAATCTGAATAGAGGACATTTAAATGTTGAACGTAAGTTGAAACGTCGTCTTCCTGGCAGCTTGTCTGTGACAAATTGGGGAACTGAGAAAATTCGCCCCGTCCAAGATTTTGCTTCATTAGTTTAACTCTGGCCCTGAAACGCTGATAAGATGGACTTTGTTTTAATCAAATTTAAACTGTCGCCTTGTAATTGCAAATTAACCATATTAAATTTTGTAAACAAATCTGTTAAATAGGCGATGTCTGTTTTCCTCTTCATTAAATTTTCTTTTAAAATTTTATCTTTAGTATCCAGAAATTCTAAAATAGTCTCAAAAAGTGCAAAAAATCTTGTCAAACATAAGCCTTTCGACAGCCAGCGTACTTCAGTGTGAAGGAGTAATTGATGAAAGTGTTCGTCATTTTCTTCACACAACTGCGCAAATAACCGCGTATTCAACGCGCTGCTTCGGATTCGGTTTACTGCATCAATGACTAAATGAAGTGATTCATGCCATCTAACACTCATTTTTAGCAACTAAATGTTGTCGATGGATGACGCAATGTATTGCTAACACCCCTGACACATTATGTTTTAAATAGCTTATACATCCACGATAACGCCCAACCATGGCAGATGCTCCATCTGTAGCTACTGATATTATATTTGATAAAGGAATTGCTTTTTAAATGAAGTAGTCCTTCAAAACATGAAATATTGATTCACCTTTAGTGTCGGTTATCAAAGTTCTTGCGAAGAGCAGTTCTTCGTAGATTTCTTGATCATAATAAAACGAACATATGCCAATAATAATGCTGCATTATCAGGTAAAGTTGACTCGTCCAGTTGTATAGAGAAATGGGTCGTTTGCAAATAATTACATAAGAAGCTTTCAATATCAGAACTCATTTCATCAATACCTCTTTCAACAGTATTGTTGCTTAAGGGAATTCTTTTAATGATATCAGATGCAGGTTTGTGTAAAACAATTTTTAAAACCTCTTCAACGGCTGGCAAAATTAACTTCTCTCCGATAGTATGCGGTTTTCCGGATTTTGCTATAAGTAACGAGAAATTGTAAGACGCCCGCAAACCATCATCATTTCTTTGTAACGTCGAAGCGAACATTCTGTCCAGTGTAGGTCTCTTCTGAAATTTATCTTTGAGTGTTTGAAAGTATTTCAAATCTTTCTCTGTTTTATCAGGGTGGCATCTTCTCAGATGATCTTGCAGTTTAGATGGTTTCATAGCGTCATTGCCCAAAACTTTTTTGCGTAAAAGGCACATAGGCGATTGTTTGTCCGGCATTTTCAAATAATCAACACTGTACTGTCTACATTTCTTTTTAGATTCGGACATGGCATCAGTCATCTATGGGCAAAATTAATTTATTTAAATAAGACAGAAAATCCAGCAGCTGTATATTAAAAATATTTTTTGATTTTTCCGAAAACATTCCATAATTCGAACATCTTCTTGCAACAATTAGCTCGAATTACAGAGATTGCACTGTAATTATATTACTGATTGCTAAAACTTTAAAAAAGAAACTATTGAGGAGAACTCGTGTAATTTTGCATGATTGAATATTTAACTACTAATAACTAAAGTCATGATTGGCGTAATTTATCTATCTTTGCTAACTACGAGTACAAAACTAAAATTTAATAAAAAAATAATGTACTTACTTTTCTCCAGCACTCTCAAACAAAATAACACTGACTCACTATAATTTGTGTGATATACTATCTGTTTATATTTTTTAAAATATTATCTTAGCACTTTCCTTTTCAAGATTCAGGAAACGAATAAACGTATTTGTCCCACATTCGTATTTATAGAGTGACGAATTGAACAAGTCAGTGCAAGGTAGCGAAGCTGTGAGACTGCGACTCTCAGGTTTTTACAAATTCAAATTTATTGCGACCACACAGCGAATACCAACGTCCTACACAATTTTATAAACATACTATATATAATAAATTTTTTACTTCGTACGTACCTTTATAAATAATGTATATGTTTTGATATTATAAGATAGTATGATGTAAGTAAATAGGTACTATCAGTGTATGTGTTGAGATCCACTATCGTGGACCCCCATATTCATTTCATCGACCCCCAAATTTTTTTTCGCCGACGTAGACCCCTTGCAGGTTGTCATAGTCCCCTAGGGGTCGAAATAGACCACTTTGGGAATCAATGATCTAGAATGTGGATAATAGGAGATATCACCTGAAAAGGTCGTGGAGAAATGTGCAAAACTGAGGCTCCTGCAATGAAGAAGTTACCTATTTTTTTTTCTTTGGAACACACTTAAAATGATGTAAAGTGTAAAGTGAAATACCGCACTGAAAACATTTTTTGAATGTCTTAAAAAATTACGAAAGTTACGCTACGAATTTGAAAAGATCAATATCAACGACATTATCTACCGATTTCGTCTTTTTCGGTTCGGCAACACTGGCGGACGAGTGCACTTTCACTTGTTGTAGACAATACGAGGGTGGTCTGAATAGTTTCCGACCTCAACGTGAAGATGCCAGCACTCGTAAATAAACGCTATACTACAACTATTTAAAACTGTAATGACTCATACGCGTGATCAACACGTGATCAGAGCTCGATCCCGGCTTCCTTCCAGTACAGCCGTATAGCGTACGACATATGTCGTTTCTGTGGCTTTGCGGTGGTCAACAGCACAGACAGAGATGGAAATGATGGCTGATTGTTCTCCGCCGGTAGAACCAATGCAATCAAAGACGCGCCTCGACCGGCAGACTCATAGGCGTCGGCAACGCATTGGAACGTGTTTCGTTGAGCGATCGCATATTGTGTGTTTTTTATAAGAATTGTTGTGTGATTGTTATTGTTGTGGTTTCTGTGGTTACTGTTTTGGTTATACTTAACCATGGAGAGTGCAAATGGCACGAGTGGAAGTACTGAAAGCCAGGGAACAAGTAGACGGCTTCGTAAAGCACTGAAGAGGGACGCTAAAGAAATCGTGCTCAACGTGTTCAATTATCTGAACAGAACTATATCGCAGGGAGATGCACCCGCGCGTTGTGAAAGTATGACAGGCATTCCAGAGTGGACCATTCGCAGGGTGGTGGATGAAAGAAGAAAACTGGAGCTACTACTGATCCAAAGTTTAATTTGAAGGGACGAAAGGCCGTTAAATTGGATGACGATAGCAAAATGGCGTTAAGGCGAACCGTACATTCATTCTTCTTTAGGAATGAGATACCAACCCGCAAGGCTGTACATGCAGCGATCAAGGAAAATGAAATTATACCCCAAATGAGCGTCGAGGTAATGAGGAAATCCCTGCACGAAATTAATTTTCGTTACGAAACGCGTAATCGGAAGTCAGTATTGATAGAGAGACCTGAAATAGTCGCCTGGCGTCGAAAATACCTACGCGAAATGATTGAATATAGGCGACAAAGCAGAAAAATCTATTATTCGGACGAGACATGGGTAAATGCAGGTCACACAGTTAAAAAAACCTGGATAGACAAAAACGTAGTGAGTAACCGACAAGCAAGCATTGAAGGTTTGTCAACAGGTATTCGTGGACCGTCAGGGAAAGGTCAGATTGATCGTAACTCATATTAGTAGCGATAGTAGCTTTTTAGAAGAGTGTGACTTGATTTTCGTCTCTAAGAAAGGAGGTGATTACCATGACGAAATGAATGCCAGCTGCTTCGAGAGCTGGTTTCAAGGGGTGCTTCAGCGAGTTGAGCCCAACAGCACAAACCTGCGAACATTAGTTACGTGACTGATGAGATGGCCCGTCAATGTGGTGTCACTGTGCTGCGGTTACCGCCCTACCACTGTGAACTGAACCCAATAGAGCTCATATGAGCTCAAGTGAAGGGTTATATTGCGCGCCATAACACAACCTTCAAATTACCAGACGTTAAGGTTTTACTTGAGACTTCCATACAGCTAGTAACGCCCGAAGCTTGGCAGAATGCTATCCGTCATGTTGTGAAGGAAAAAACAAAAATGTGGCAGCTTGACCACCATCGACACCATCATAGAGCCAGTTATAGTCAATTTCAACGAGGAAAGCGATAGCGACAGTTTATTACTGTCAGATGTAAGTGGAAGCGACGATGAATAAAGGTAATTCCCAAATTTTTGACTTACAATACGTTTCAAACCACTCTTTATTAAGCATGTGACAAATCTAGTTCACCCATGTTGAACATTCATACCCCGCCTATGAACAGCCGACTACTGGTAGTTAAGTGATGTTCACGTGAACATCGATGAGTCATTACAGTTTTAGATAGTTATAGTATAGTGAATTTCTTTGTTCATCTGTTAACAGTTACTCACTAAAGTATCAGCCACTTTGGTCGCGCAGTTTTATGTAAGAATCGTTTGAGTGAGTTGATGTGACTGTTTTTGTGAAAATCGACAAACTCGAGTAACGTGCTGTCATTAAATATTTGTTTTTGAAAGGCAATACGCAAATCAAAGATGAGTTGGATTCTGTGTATGTGGGACTCTGCACCAACATTTACCACAGTGAAATTTTGGGCAGCTGAATTTAAACGTGGCCGTAAGAGCTTGAGAGACGGTGAACGTTCGGGACGTCTAAAAACTGCAACAACCGACGAAAGTATCGCGAAATGGTGCTAGACGACCGCCGAATTAAGGTGAGAGATAACAGAGGTTATGAACATGTCAAAAGAACATCTTGTTTTGCAAAGAAAAACGCCGAGTACTATTTGGACGGGTTACAGAGATGGGAGCATTGCTGGGAGAAGACTATTTTGAAAAATAAAAAAATGCCTTGTTTCTTTGTTAAGTCGGAAACTTTTCAGAGCTCCTCGTAGAAGACCGATTGAAATCTGCAACACCTCAAAGCTTTTCGTACAATTTTCCCCGGGGCAGTAGCGTTGCTTTCCTACCTCTAAACGGCGCCCGTGTTCCCGCGTGGTCCACCATTTTCCATTCATATTCTAACGATATAAAAGCAGTAGGTGCGTCAACAGTGAAAAGTCAAAAATAGCATCGCAAGAAGGTGATTGCACTTGCGCGTATGCACCAATGAACAGACGTCGTACAACTTCTGAATTGACGGCGTGAAAAACACTGTTGTATCCGCGTTCCCGATACAAACGTGCCTACCACGTGCTTCAAACAATTCACAGTGGAATGCGGACGGACAGTTCTTTAACTCCGTTCGAAATTCTGAAATGTTATCAGTTCTGCAGTTTGTGTGCCGTGTCTATTTGTCCGTTGTTTAGTTTGAAACGGGTAGGTAGAAATGATGCATTGTATGAATGAAGTTTGAATGGGGTGGTAGTGATAGGAAAGTTTGAGTTTGATAAATTTCAGCGGTGAACAGAAACTTTTTACGAGCTTTTATATTTAACCTGACCCGTTTGTATGTATACTTTATCTGAAGTCACTTGAAATAGCATACAAACCTTTGGTCGGCGCGTCCTTTGTAATTTCATGACGTATCATAGGCGTGCGGTCATTTATTTAGAACGATAATAATAATGTTTTTATATCACAATAAATGGATTTTACTATCTTCTTATTTTTTTGATTTGGGATAAAAAAACTTATATTGGGAGTTTAATTTATGTTGACTGAAAGTTAAGAAATGGAAAAATTACAGAATTCCAACGTTTAACATAGGCAAATATTTACATAGCAGGTAGGTATATAAAAAGGTATATAAAGACTTACATTATAGGTATTTATATATCATCCTCGCCTTCGGAGGAATTACAACGAGATTTACAGGAGGCAAAACACAATATTCATTTTCTTTTCAATAATATGCCTAGAACACTGCTTCCATAGGTCTGTGGCAGCAATATGAGATACTGCATCTCTTATTGTGGCCAATAGCGATTCACTTAATTGAGGGGTCTGATTATGTTTTCTTACTTTTTTTTTAAAGCAGCCCAGACCAACTCAATCGGGTTAAAAATGCAGTAATAGGCAGGTAGACGTAATACTTCATGGCCATTTTGCTGAAGCAGATTGTCAACAACATACTCTTTTTCAAATTTTTGTCTTTTAATAAGATCCAATAATATGGCTTTGGTTGATTTTTGTGGTATTTCCATTCCCTTATCCTTCATAAAATCAATAATGTCTTGTTTTTTTGTGCCTGTATTCGGAATTTTGTGTTTCTGTCGGGAATGGTATGGCGCATTGTCCATAATAATCACTGAATTTGGGGAAATGTTTGGTATTAACTGCTGCTCTATCCACTTTTCAAATAAGTCGGAGGTCATGTCCTCATGATAGTCGGCACATGATTCTTTGATATTTTTGGCAGATAACAGCAAGGCATTAGGTATAAATCCATTTTCACTGCCAGCATGGAGAATAATGATTCGTTTTCCACGGTTGCATGGTGCATTTAAAATGCACTTGTTGCTGTCGTCAACCCAGCCGTACTGCACAACATCATGGGTATCATACCACGTTCATCCAGGTATATCAGATTTCTTTTCTGCTCTCTATAGATTTTAACTTTGTGCAAAAATTCTTGGCGCAATTCAACGATTCGAGACGACTCCATAATCACCATTCTTTTATCTAATTTTTTGTATTGAAAAAGACACAGTTTTACAATACAGTGCAGTGAGTCTAAGCATTTGTAATTATAAAATCTTCAGGATAATCTTTTAATTTATCCCGTATCATTTCCAACGTGGGCACCAAATTTTCTTTATAAAATCCGTATATTATACGACGAATATCTTCCTGAAAACCCACGTCTATTCTTTTTAATTTTTTGCCCTATGCGCTTTCTGTGGAAGGAATGGTTGACTACATCTCCCCTTTTATAACCCGATAAATGGTAGACCGACTGATTTTTGTCAGGATACAAATTCTGTTTAAAATTTGATTTTGCGAGGAATCTGGATTTTCGTTTTTCAGACAATCATACATATTTAGGATTACTCTTTGGGTCTGTTCAGGTTCATCAACCATCTCCTCGTGGCTTGGAGCATTTTCCCAAGGTCTCCAAAGAGCCATATTTAGGACACACAAGAACAATCAACACAACAATTAAATCAACAAGTAAACTGAGTATTCATAAGTCAAAAACACACAACTAATAAAATCTATGAAAAAACACGGACAGACTAAAGAAAACACGTTTATTCACCGCTACACGGCACTGGCTAAAACTGTTTCAATTTTCAGTAGCCACCTGCACTTGTTCGGAGCTCTGAAATACACGCTTTCTCATTGGCTATGTCCACGCATAGGCGTGTTTTACTCCACGTGGACCGGTGAAACTGCCTTTGATCTTATACGGGGATATTTGCTGAGAAATTTGGCGATTTTTGCAGCAACAGAGCGTGTTAAATATAGATATATAAAACGCACCCGGTATTTCACAGTGTTTCAAGTGACTTCAGATAAAGTATACTCTGGTTATAGGGGCTGATGTTTGATGATTAAGATAGTGGACTACTGCATAAAAAATAACAATACTTAATAGATTTAAGTATGTCTGTGGTATTTGCAAGAATTTGTTATATTTTTTGTTTCTTTCATGCATCGTAAGTAATACTTCTTTTTATTCACGTATTATAATATTAAACTTTTTCATTTACACACGCCGTATCTTACTATTTTCTCACTATTTTCTTTGAAAATCTCACGTTTCTCACATAAATTCATGCTTTGAGCAGCCATCACCCCTTCCTTTGAGACACCCTGTACATCGCTGGGCATTATATTCCGCTAAGCCTCGTATTTAGTCGCGCTGGACAACTGGACAAATATCACGTATATAAATAAGTTGTTATCGTTGACGACATAGGCCTGGATATACGTTATCTCATTTCGTATTATTATTGTTTGTGGTCTGCGTTTGCACAAAGCTTAACATTACTCGTAGTGCAGTTGGTGCTAGCGACTCGGCTACGTACAGTTTAATATTCTACTGAGCCAGTCGAGTGTGAAAATTCAATTTTATGATACCTTTTGCGGTTAAACAACATGACGCAAACACTGTGTTTGGGATGTGTATAACGTGAAACGTGTCATATTCAGGTTCGTTTTGCTTTTATTTTTGAATTTGTTAAAATGGAATAGAGACTATCGGGTTAGATCAACGTTCACTTGAGTTATTAAATTTATTTGATGCTGCTCTGACCCCATACTTCGACTTAAGATGTTAAAACGAGATCCAACGGAATATTTTTACCCATTGCAAAGTAAGATAAATAATACACTTGAGTTGCCTTTTGCAAAGTAAAATTTTGATGTCTAGTATGTTGGTGAAATTCTTCTTGAAGGCCAAGTTGAACCGAATACTTAAATTAATACCTAAAATCACAAAAAAAATAATTATTTTATTATGTAGGTTTTTCCTAAAAACTGTTATTTTGATGGAACTAGCTGTCACTCATTTCATGTTCACTTATACTAGCTGTGTGTGTTGCCTAACGTTATGACACTTGAGCTGTAGGGGATACCGTTGTAATGGCATGTTGTCTAAGGTCTGTTCAAAAGGTTCTGGTAGGTTATTGGCTAGAAAGCTAAGGTATCATTCTCCTGACAACTTTGGGGGTAACTCGAAAGGGCCAATTACCTGATCGTCAAGAATACCCGCCCAAATATTTATTTTAAAACGTTGTTGGAAATGACCTTCACGAATGGTATGAGTATTTTCTTGGGCCCACGTGTGAGTATTATGGAAATTTAATATCCCGTCTCACGTAAAAGTACATTCGTCTGTCGCCAGAATGTTTTTAAAAAATCCGGATTTTCAAAGTTTTTGTGCAAAAACCACTGACAGAATGGTCTTCTAGTAACAAGGCCTCCACTCGTTGTACATGGTAGGGATAAAGCAAATTTTTCCGTAGGATTCTATGGACTATGGTATGCAAAAACAATTGTTGACTTATTATTGTACTTTTTACTGGTTCTTAATCGTCTCACCAGTCAATCCTGGATGCGCCGTTGCGAATATTGACATCCGATAGGCATGTGTGAAATAATCGATATTTCCTTTGTTCCAGAGTCAAACTGTACTCCAACGTATAATCAAACGAAAGACTTACGCCACAAGAACAACTCTCCAAACATGTCTGCTTCAGGTATGTAAATGAAAAAGTTAATTATACTTACCTTGTAAGATTTGTAGTTTATTTAACTTCCTGTCTTCTGGGGTATCGTGTTACTTTCTTTGACAAAAATTATAAAAAGGGGTAGCTGATGACAAGCTTTTGTTCCTGAAGTCAATTCGGACATGAAAAACTTCATTCATTTTACTTCTTTGGAAAAGCTTTGTCTTTTGAGATCGGTCAAACTTCATTTTTGACATTTTAAAGGCTGAGCGTCATGAAACTTGGGCGGTTGGGGTAGTGGGTTGTAGATTGTACGAGTTTAATATTAGTCAAAAACTTTCTATCATTAAGAAGCTCCTGGTTCCGGTAACAACAATAACATTAAATGATAAAAGTTCGACGTAATAATGTGCTCATAATTAGAACTGGTCTGCGGTGGTGTCGTCACTGACACACCGCTACTGGAGAATATGTGTTTTAGAATATTTTATTGGGGAAAACGAACCACTTTAGCGTTGTCCGATGCTTGTGTAAATGATGACTGACTGATTTTTTTGATCCTTAAATGTACCACGCATTTCGCCTTAATTTGTCGTACTTCCTCTATGATGGTTCTCTGAATATTTCGTCAAGCAGATTGACTCGGTACTTATGGACGCATTGATATACAGCAGACACGGACTAACAAACCGACATAAATGAGAAACACGGGTCTGTGTAATGCAGATATACAGGGTGTCCGCAAAGTTGGGGTTCTCCTTTACACGACGTGTAGATCTTGAAAACATAAGCAATTTTTCTTAGTAAAAATATACACCAATGTCTTAAGGGAACCGAGATAAAGGGCTCTGCAACATCAAAAATATCTGAATACCGTCCTGTAGCCGCGACATCCCCGAGTGGTACTAGGACACTAGCTCAACCCGACGACAGAACTGGGTCGGGGTCAGTGTGTCAGGTCAGTATGTAACCTTCAACCGACGGTTACGGTCACGCGTTTAGAGGTAATCGCGTAGACGAGAATCCCTCAACAAGCACTAGAGACGTGGTTAGAGAAGTGCAAGTATCAAAAACTAAAGTGTGGCAAACGCTGCGTGAAGAGGGGCTGTATCCGTTTCACGTCCAACGTGTACAAGCCCTTCAACCTGACGATTCCAGCAAGAGTGCGGTTTTGTGAGTGGTTGTTGCATCAACATGACAATAATCCGGACTTTTGAAGTGCATATTGGTGACAGACGAATCTACGTTCACGCGTAATGGGGTGAATTACTTTCGCAACACTCATGTTTGGTCAGTAGAAAATCCGCACGCTGTCCGTCGGGCACATTTTCAACAAACATTTTCGGTGAATGTTTGGGCTGGCATGGTGAACGGTATGCTCATTGGACCATTTATTCTCCCAAATCGATTGGACGGGATGCAATACCTAGACTTTTTACGCAACATTTTGCCTTCCTTGTTTGCCTGCGTCTGCTCGGTAGCGCATCAGCTGATTTCATTTTCTGTTGGAGTGGTATGATTTCGGGCAGAGACGTACTTAGCCCTTCTCGTCAACTGAAGAGTGAGTACTTTTTCCTTTATATTTTTTTACTTGGTCGCCCTCCTTTCACTACACATTACCCTTGTTATTTCAAGGGTAGTTGTTTCTGAAAAGGAAAACCCCAACTTTGCGGACACCCTGTATTTAAGCTACAGAAAACTTGTGAACTGTGAAGTTCGAATATTATCGTGAGTCGTAGATTTTGAAAAAAAAATCAAATCGCTGGAATCTTACAACGTTTCAGCGATTGCTGCTCATTTCCAAATATTGTTTGGAGGGGACGAAAATTGTCGATTGGAAGCTCTGTGTGATAAATGGTTGTAAATTGTTGCACATTTGGTCAGTGAAAGACCTTCTATTATTAAGAAGCTGCTAATCTTAGTGACACTATGCACCTGTCAGACATAATAGGTCACAAATATTTTTCGTATATCCCAGAAATTGAATATTCATCGTGCCTAAGTAAACCTAACTAATCACGATTCGATTTCGCCTTTAGAAACGACTTCTTTGAAACTTCCAACGAAGGCGTAGGAAGTACCGAGTCAATCTACTTGACGCAGTTTTTAACTGATATCAACGTACTAATAACTACACTGATGTATCTATTTCAGATTTGATCGCTCCAATTATATTGATATTAGTAATGTTCGCTCTAAACGGAGGAGTCCTGTTTTACATATTCCGTGCAAAAAAGAAGTAAGTGCCCCTTCACATTTGTAAATAACCTGTAGAAGTAGATTGGTGAAGGGATTAATGATTTTGTCCTTTTTTCACAGACAGCAACAACACATAAGGGATGAAGAGTTAGGAGCTTTGCGACATTAATAGTTAGATTTATTTGTAACAAGAGATTTTCCACAGTAAAAAGTTTATGAGTATACGAATATTTTTTTAATTGTTAGTTTGTTTTATTGACCATCTGAAATATTCCTTTGAACCCTAATCGTAACGTGCCGTCCATGAAACTGCAAATAACTTTATAGTCGATGAGTCAAGGTACCGCAGTGTTTCATACTTGATGCTGTTCAAAGAAACACACGAACGGTGACCTGGCCCTCTTTTACCGCTATGCTAACGGAGTTTGCTCCACGAGCCTTCCTTCATAATGTTGTCACGCATAAGGCCATTCATATGAACTCTATCGTTGTTACTAGAGTATCAAGATTATCGATCATTGTCCTTGATACATGTGCGAAGTTACAAGTTAAACTTCTGGAAATTGGTGAAAATTATGCTCAAAGGTTCCGTTACAAGCATACATACATACATGCACACATACATACGTACATACATACGTACATACATACGTACATACATACGTACATACATACGTACATACATACATACATACGTACATACGTACATACGTACATACGTACGTACATACATACATACATACGTACATACACACGTACATACATACACACGTACATACATACATACGTACATACATACATGCGTACATACATACGTACATACATACATACATGCATACATACATACGTACATACATACGTACATACATACGTACATACATACGTACATACGTACGTACATACATACGTACATACATACGTACATACATACATACATTCATAGATACATAGATAGCTACATACATACATACATACGTGCATACATACATAGATATATAAATATATACATACATACATACGTACATACATACGTACATACATACATACATACGTACATACATACATGCGTACATACGTACATACATACATACATACATGTATACATACATACGTACATACATACGTACATACATACGTACGTACATACATACGTACATACATACGTACATACATACATACATTCATAGATACATAGATAGCTACATACATACATGCATACATAGATACATACATACTTAGATACATACATACAGGTCAAGCTAATAAAAGCGTGCTAATAAAGGAGCTTAAGGCAGAGCTGAACTTAAACGAACTATTTTAGTCAAATAAAAACACAAAATACGATGTATTTTTCTCTTTTTATTGATTTTTTTAACATTTCTCTGTCATTTATAATGAGCTTATATCAAAAATATTATAACCTAGATTATAGCATGGTTTAAACTTTCTTGAGAATCATGTTTTAATCCTCCTAATGGCATCATAAATGGGGATTTCGGATCAAGCACCACTGGGTCTGGAGTTGTTTCGCACCGTTCCACTCTGAATTTTCTCAAGATGTAGATAATTCCTACTTTCGCACATATCAATCCAAATCTGTCTCCTGAAAGCGTACAAAATATTACTGAGTTCTGAGCCTCGAATGAGAGAAACGAAGTTGTTACATTGTAGAAACCTTCATTTTGCCATTCTAAAAGTTGTCGAAAAAGCCTAATAAAATCTGATTCCTGCGTTGCATGATATTACGGGTCAAAGGTAAGAATTTTTTTCAATATCGCTCCATATTTATCATGATTATTATCGCGAATAAAATTCTCGTTTGTGTCAAATATTTTTTCATACAAACCTGTAGGGTGATTCAAAAGTCGTGACCAAAAATGAAACATCATACACAGGACCGCATTTTAAGGAGGGTCCTCTTTGTAAAGATACGGGGTGTTGAAGTTTAAAAATAAAAAACATTTTTTTTAAATATCTCCAAAACCGTCAACTGGAATGTACTAAAATTAGGCATGTGGATTTACCTAAGTATTGCTCACATTAAAAAGTCTTTACTTAAAACTAACGTGCGCCAGTGGCGAAGATACAGGAGATTAGTGCCATTATTTTTCCGACTTTTTACTGTTTTTGGCGGTTACGTCCCGATGTCTAACGAAATAATCAACTGCATATGCGGAGCTCAACTTCTCTAAACGGAAATGCAAACTTCGGAAGCCGATCCTAAACGCAGCTGCTACTCGCACTTGCACGCACACACACATGAGAATAAATCTAATACAAACTGTCGACAGGCATTGCTATGCTTTATATCGAAGATCAACAAATTGTAGTCATGCCTAAACCGCGCGATACTGTGTGCAAAATGCGATTTTTTTTAAAAATCGGTCCAGTGACGGCGGAGAAAAAGGCCAGAAACAAAAAAATTCGTACAAACTTTATTTTTTAGCTTTTAAAAATTGGGGGTTAGGGCTTGCAGGGGTTGGAGGACAATATATATCAAGGCCGACGTCATGTACTTTAAGGGGCGAAAGTTTACTACGGGCAACCTAATAAATAATTATAAAGAAAAGAAATTAATCGTTCAAGTGGAAAACTTCGACAACACCAATCAAGCTTGTAGTGGTTAAATGCCTTACCTATACAATTCCTAGGTCCACTACCGAAAGGCAAGTACTGACAAGACTGAGATTTGTACTTTATCCCATCACTAAACCGTTCTGGATCGAACTTCTCTGGATCTGAATAATACTCTGGATCGTTATGGATACCGTCTATTGGTATCAATATCGGAGTGCCTTTTTCTATTACGAGACCAGTCTCTTTAATCACGTAGTCTTCTTTACACTCACGATTGAGGAAAGGGCCAAACGGGTAACGTCGAAGTGTTTCTAAAAAAAGATGAGTGGCAGGTATAGTCCAAAAAATAGTGAACAGGGTTTCCTACAGTGAGGGTGGTAATCTGTCAGATCTTCCTACGCGGTTATACAGGCGCCTAAGGGCAAGCGCGGGTCCAGGGGGGTTATGGGGGTCATAACATGAAAATTTGATATCGCCGCCCTTTGATGATTGGGTCACGTATAACCAATACCGATTCCGTCGATGCACAGAATTTCATCTAAATCACTAATACAGGGTGACAGGTAAATAGGTGTAAAACATTTTAGGAGGTGATAGTACAGCCCCTTTGCTGTCGAAATTAGTATATAATACCATACCCTATATTCAAAGGTTGAAAAGTTATTGAAGATTTAAGATTTTTTTAAAAACAATCCATATTTCAGAGTAAAAAGTCGAGAGAGAAAAAAGTTGGCGATTAAACATTTGTTTTTTGTGGTTTTGGGTTATTATTTCAATAATTAACTATTATAAATTAAAAAAGATTCGAAAACAATACCAAACAACGTATTTATTTTCATTCAAAAATGTTTAACCAAGAAAAACAAATAACGTTTTACAGTAAGTAAGGTGTTTTACAAAAAAATCAGTATACAAAAAAACGTACAAACAATTTAAATAATATCCTCGTTTCATAAGGAATCTAAATTGGTATGATAAGTGCACAAAAACTGTGTGAAACTAAACATAATGTATTGTAATACAACAGTAGGGAGTAAATTTACCAATGGCTTGTCTCCAATTTTCACAACTCTCTGATTGATAAGAAAGTGTTTTGTGAAAATAATGTAACTGTAAGCTATGGGATAGTTATTATTTTAAACTACGGTCAAGTTACACGATTAGATTATTTACACAGTTGTAATTGTACTACAGAATAATAAAAACTGACTAAAAGTTACTACAATTGGTAAGTAAAATACAATAATGAAATGAAGGTAAAATTCATTGCAATTGTTGTTCGAACTGACGCCCGCCGTTTCTTATGCAAGCCCGTAGTCTTTTTCTCATGTTGGTACACGTGATGCGGCCAGTTAGTTGTCCTCTGATAGTGTCAGCAGCAGCAATAATTCTTTCTTTCAACTGTGCAAGAGTGTCTATGGGCTCAGCGTACACCAGTGACTTCATGTGCCACCATAAATAATAGTCACACGGTGTTAAATCTGGGCTCCTCGCTGGCCACGGTGTCGGTCCACCTCGGCCAATCCAGCGACAAGGATATTTCTCGTCCAGCCACTGTCTAACACCCAGACGGAAATGCGCGGGACAGCCATCGTGTTGGTAGATCATCTACATCCTGATATTCAGAGGCAGGTCTTCGAGATACTCCCAGAGTTCGCGGATCTCAAAAAGTTTTCATAGGATTCGCCATTCAGGTTGTCAGGCAAAAAAACTGGTCCAATTAGATACGTATGAATGATTCCCATCCACACGTTTGCCGAAAATCTTCTTTGATGGGCTCTTGGCTTTGCCAAGTGGGGATTTGCCTCTCGTGGGGCCCAATAATGTAAGTTGTGATAATTTGTTGTCCCCTCTCTGTCAAACTTAGACTCGTCGGTCCACAATATTTTAGTTAAATAGTCGTTTTCTTCTTGATCCCGATGAAGCATGTATCGACAAAAATCAATTCTTCTTGCGGAATCTCCTTCTTCTAATACTTGAACCGGTGTGTAATGGAAAGGGTAAAGTCTCGCCGAATGCAAAACGAACCAAACTTTCCACTGAGTTAAACCAAGCTGCTTTGCTATAACTCGTGTAGACGTCGTCGGGTCTCTGCCGTAGCATTCCAGTATTGCCTCTCGATCTTCGTCGTCAAACAACCGAGGTCTACCAGCATCATGACGTCTCTCATGAACCTGTTCACTGTCCTTGACGCGTTGGTACACAGAAGCAAATACTCGATGACTCGGTATTCGCCGATTCGGAAAACGGTTTTCGTATTCTCGCCTGGCTTCAATGGAATTTCCATCACTTAAACCATAACAAAACAGAATATCAGCGTATTCTTCGTTACGGTAACTCGCCATTATTAAAACTCATCAAAAAAGTAAAAGTACGTCCTACCGCGTTAAAGGTTGATATTCTACTAACTAACCTAAGCGTTAGTTCCCTTTCCTTGATCCGTAGGCTGTGTCAATTCATAACACAGGCAGAGCTTGCTTCCGAGGAGCGACGACAGATTCCGAATACTTAAACCCGAATAACGGCACAGGGCACAAAAAATAACAAAAAGGGTCGAACCATGAAAGGCTCGGTTTACCTGTTCAGTACAATGAAATGCGCTTAGCGGTCCTTTCTAGCAAAGTAATATTGTTTTGTTAAATGGTTTACTTACTGATATGTTATTATACAATTTTAGAAACCTAATGAAACGAGGACGTTTTTGCAGTTATTTGTACATTTTCTTTATTATGATTTTTTTGAAAAAAAAAAGACTTCTTAATGTGAAAGTTGAAAATAAAAATTTTCATTTAACATTTAAATGAAAATAAATACGTTTTCAGTAGTGTTTTTTAATTTATGAGAATTATTTATTTAAATAATAACCTGAAACCACCAAAAAAAGAATGTTTAATTACCAACTTTTTTTTATCTCAACTATTTTACTCTGTAATCTGGGTTGTTTTTAAAAAAAATTAAATCTTCCATAACTTTTTAACCTTTGAATATAGGGTATGGTATTATATACTAATTTTGATAGCAAAGTACTATCACCTCCTAAAATGTTTTACACCTATTTACCTGTCACCCTGTATAATTTATGAGAAATTAAAAATATCAATATTAGGTAATCTGGATGAAAATGGAAAAATCATCTTCCTTCTTTTTTGTCACTATTGGGTATCTGTAACACCTTCAATTTTAAAAAAGCAATTGGAAAAATTGTCTTATTCATGGAATATTCCAAAAAACAAAAATACTGACCAGAGGCAGATCTAGAAAATATTTTTGGATGGGTCTCAAAGGTGGACTTAGAAATTTGACACCCCGGAGAAACCGCACAATGGATCGATCTGCCATCGTGCAGGGTTATTGAGGATACGTTAAGGTATAAAAAAAACTAAAAACATTAACAAGGACTAAAGAGGAGAAGGCAAAGTTTGGCCAAAAATGTTTCTTGCGCTATCTATTAGGATTGCATGAGAACCGCTGCTTCTAAAATATCTATTCCGTCTAGGAAACCTGAAAACCAGAATCTTGAAGTTACGAAATGCTTTTCTTAAAGTCTACCTGTAGATACGACCATGTTTCACCTAAATACAGTCCACCGAAAAATTTTGATTTATTTCTTACTCCCTTAATTTTTTTTGAATAGTGTACACAGGGTGTTCCCTAATGATATGCGAATATTTAAGGGTGTAAATCTACATGAAAATTGCTCCATAAACTATGGCCCAAAAATGTTTCCTTACAAAAACTCGAGGTGTTGAAGTTTTTGGAAAAAAATGGTAATTAATTAATATTTTCAGAACCGCTCCAGATATTTCACTGATATTCAGTATGCAGTGAAAGTTAATAATGTCGCATATTTTTCAATGCAAAAATAATTTTTAGCTTTAACAGTGGCGTGCGTACGGGTATTGAGTTCGATAGTTTTTAAGAAAAAAATGGTACGCCAATGGGTTTTTTCCAAATTAAAATTATTCTTGAATTCTTCGTTCAATTTAAAACAAATAATGTCTCTTGAGTTGCTTTCTTTCGATGCGCCATTTCTGAGTAAAAAAATAAAAACCGTTCTATTGTCTAACTTGCAAAATTATTATTAATTTAATTGGAAAAATTAAACACATTGAGGGTAATGAACAACAACAACTGACAACATAACATTGAAACCAATGAAATATAGAACGGTTTTTATTTGTTTAGTCAATAATGAAGGAAAATCATTCAAGAGAGATCATTTGTTTTAAATTGAACGGAGAATTCAAAAATATTTTTATTTGACAAAAAACACATTTACGTACACTTTTTTCTTAAGAAATATCGAACTAAATACCCGTACGCACGCCACTGTTAAAGCTAAAAATTATTTTTGCATTGAAAAATATGCAACTTCATTAACTTTCACTACTTACTAAATATCAGTGAAATATCTGAAGCGGTTCTGAAAATGTTAATTATTTTCCATTTTTTTCCCCTAAAACTTCAACACCCCGAGTTTTTGTAAGGAAACATTTTTGGACCATAGATTATAAAGCATACATGGTTATTCCTAAAAATTTGCTCATACTTGTTTTGCCTTACCTGAAAGTACCATATCCAGGTATTTCATTATCTGAATGCTTTCGAACGTGATCTCGACATCATTAGGTAGAGATTCACCTATTTCCCGTCTCAGCTTTTCTTGACAATCTGGCCTCAAACACAATTCGTAGAGAGCGAAGGCTATAGCATTGCTTGTTGTCTCGAACCCCGCTATAAAGAACGTTATCGCTTGGGATACCATACAGTTCGTATCTGAAATAATCACTTATCAAAAGTCTAGTTCTAGTAGAAGATGACTCAAAATGCGTGGATATTAAATAGAGTACATAGTTCTTCTTCGAGATATTTTTCGATTGAATCTTAAAGTATAATCTTTTGTTGGAACTTCTCCTGTCTATCTCGCACAATGTGGCTGGGAAAAATTCAGAAATCAAATGGATCAAGTCGGCCAAACAGGCCCATACAATTAGACCATAAACTTTCTTTCTCTGGTCTACCAATAGTTACTGTCCATCTGGCAACGTTGTCCCTTTCCACGTCTGCGCGGCATCGGCAGCGAGTTCTGGTTTTTTCATGCATGATTAGAGATGATCAAAATTGCAGTTAAAACTGCGATTGCGATTTACCACTCACTGCGAGTGCAACCTGTGATTGCGATTTGAAATTGTGCGACTGTGTTATTTCATTATTTCCCTTCTATAAAAGGTTAATTACATTAAATTGGTCATATGTTTAAAACAAATGTCTCTTATAATTATAATTTTAATTAGAAGAATGCAAAAACTAAACCCAACAGGTAATTGTTAAACTGCAAACATTTCTTTTCAAGGACTTAACAAGGTTGGTTTATTTGCAGCACAGCTACAGCTGGGTGTTTTGACTCCATGTGTCTTCTCAAATTCGTGGTACTAGTCTTATACTAAGTGACATATAAATCCGAACACCCAGTTTAAATGGTTTTATTTTAATAAAATTTTGTATAAGTACTTAATGAAGCATAATAAGTAAATAATAAAAATTTCAAAATGATTGCACTGCTTTAAAGCCCTTTGACCTTTAATAATGTGTGGAAGCACCCTGATGTGCTATGCATTCTCCAACGCGCCTAGGCATGCTTCTGATCAGGTGGTCAATGTCCTCCTGTGGTATCTCATTCCAGGCAACCACCAACTCCTCTCGAAGTGCTTCTAGAGTCTGAGGAGGACGTTGCAAATTTAGCAATCTCCTACCCATCATATCCCACACGTGCTCAATTGGGGATAAGTCGGGAGATCTTGGTGGTCATGGTAACAATGTGACATCATTATGTTGAAAGAAGATAGGGTAAAAGATGGGGTTCTAGAACTTCGTGGATATAACGCTGCGCGTTCATGTTACCTCTGATGAAGATTAAAGGTGACCTGGAACCATAAGCTATAGCACCCCAAACCATAACTCCAACAGTGTGATGAACATGTCTTTCAACAAAAAACTGTGGATTCCTCGTTTCACCACGTCGCCTTCTAACCCTGGCACGACCATCGTGCATGCCTAAACAAAATCGAGACTCGTCACTAAAGACAATACTGTTCCATTCCTGATCCCAGAGTGACCGTTGACTGCACCACTCAAGGCGATTACGTCGGTGTTCTCAAGTTAAAGGGAGGACCCAGTGTGGCCGGTATGAAAACAAGCCAAAACTTCTCATTCGTCGGTAAACACTTCGCATGCCAATAGGTCTTCCGTGTTCTGCAAACCATTCATTTGCTATGGACCTGGTAGTGGAGAAACGGTCCCTTAAGGCCAATAATCTTAGGCGGCGATCTTCACGGTCTGTTGTTCTACGGCGGCGTCCAGTGCCCCTTGCTCATTGCGTACGGCCTTCTCGAAGCCATGCCTGACAACACCTAACCACAGTGTCTACACTTCTTTGCACTCTAACTGCAATTGCCCGAAAAGAAATTCCAGCTTCCCGAAGTCCCACTATACGGCCCCTATCAAACTCACTAAGTTGACGAAATCGTACAGGTCTACGTACTATAGGCATCGTAACCGATCGTAAAGGATGTCAAGAACCAAAATCCGCCAACGTTGATTCTTTACTGCGGCTGAAATATTCATTTTTAGACCGTTAGTGAATTAAAAAAAAGCAGTATAAAACCGGAATGTCCAACTGATAAGGCTGAACATTTTTTCACTTGTTATTTACAGTAAGATAAATACATTCACCAACTTTATTAAAATAAAACCATTTAAACTGGGTGTTCGGATTTATATGTCACTTAGTATATATGATATTTTGGCTGCACACATATTACATTTTGAGGAATTTTCGTCGATTTCGGAAAAAAAATTCCACAAATAACTTATTTTCCTCTTTTTAAACATCGTTGAAACTGAATAAAATAATACTGGCTAGTCAAACAAAAAAAACAACCTAGAGATTGAAAATAGAAACCACCAATACCAATCCTAACAATTCGCATTCGCAGCTCGCAACAGTCACAACTCACAACCATATAAAAGCAACGCCATCCGCTCGTTTTTAACCGCCAATCGCCACTCGCATGTGTCACTCCCAAAGCGATTGCCGCGATTGTAGGGTTGGGTTGGTAGCATGCCGCCGGTTGCGATTGCGATTGTATAATCGCTGCGAGTAAATCGCAGTTCGCGAGTTTTTGCTCATCTCTATGCATGATGCAGTTCGGGTAGATTAGACAGACAATTTTTTCTAGCAAATTGAAACGGAGTGATGGCCAACATATACTCACCAAAATGTATACCATTGTTATTCTCGTTGAAATTCTCCTTCAACTGCAGCAACAAATCCACGAAATCATTTCTTTTCTGATTGGTCGACGCTCTATTGCGGAGCGTCGTATAAAACACGTCTTTCAAGAAATTGGTATCCAACAGTTTTAGCTTGAACCAAGACACCATCTTCGGTACGAAGAAGTACGAAAACAATGAAATCGAATTAAATATATCAAACTCGAACATTCTACGACTGACTAAGCGAAATTCGGAGTCTTGATCTTTGAAAGAATTCGTATCGAACCCAAAAAAACAAGATGCAACTAAATCTGTCATATATTTCGAGGATACTTCTTTTATCTCTATCACTTGACTATCGTATTTTTCCAAATATTTTTCCACTTCTACGCCGGTTTTCTTCATTATATACAGCATCAATTTTAGCTTGCCGGAAGTAAATATTGGTGTGAGTTTGTTCCTGATATTCTTCCACTCGGGATTTTTAAGAACAAACAGGCTGTTCCCTGACATTGGATCAGCATTCTTATCACAGGCAAACGTTCTATCGTCGAAATTAGGAAAATCTCTTATGGTGATGCTTTTGATTATTTCTGGGTTTCTTAGTACCAGATACGGTTTTCCCATAACATAGATACCTGAAACAAAGACACAGGGGTCCTTTTAAAAGGACTAACACAATTTGGTAGGAAAATGGATGTCGCTCAAAATCATCGAAACCTGTTGCAAAATGTCGCTTGACTCATTTTAAGCAAATCCTTCTGTAAAAATAGTGTTCAAAAATTAAATATACGAATGGTGTGGGAGACACTAAAAAATATTGTATCTCCCAGAAGGAAGAATGACTTATCAGGAATGTGCTTCGTAGATGGTATAGTAATTCAAGAAATATTGATTGCAGAACGAATGAACGCTCATTTTATAGAAAGTATAAATGTGATAGTGGAATCAATCGAAGATGGGGATCAAAATCTACGTCACATGCTTATATAGTCAACGCCAAACAAAGTGGCGTGCACGTCATCACGATAAAAATTCCCCGACCTAATGCCTAGGTTTCTATCACAAACAATTGCTCTATTGCAGTTTCATATTAATGTGATATATAAATTGTAAAATGGTCATTACTCTCTTATTATAGTTAATAGTCATATAAACATTGTTATTAAAATATCACATAAGTTGCTTTCTGATAAATTTAGACGCATTATGCGAAATAAAATGTTTTGCAAACGCTCCAATCACTTATCGACATGTAAACGCACTAAACCGATTTCGCAGCGATGACACATTGTCACCTTGAAACTTATTTAAACTGGGAACTGACATTTGTATTAATTTTGACACTGAATCAATTTGTGGCATTCAAATCTTTATAAATCCTTTGGCCCCGCATACTGTAAATCAACAACTGTTTGTTTCAAAACAAAATTATTCATTTTACGAGTAGATAAAGGCAATTTTGGTATATAAAGATGCCCAAACAGTTAAATAGTCGGTGTAAGGAACTCGTGGCCTCGTTAATGCACTACTTTGAGCAAGAAAGGGACAACAACGGGCCTTTGTTGCCTTTAAATGCTGTTCAAGAGGTAGGTTACTAATAATTATATGTAATGTATATTAATAATAGTGAAATTTTATTTCATTTTTTGTAGCGTGTTGCTGCTGCTTTAAAAATTAGTTTAAGGACAGTTAGTCGTATTCCGAGGGTGTGAAAAGTGATGCAAATTTAGAATCGCCCAAGAAAAAGCGGAGTTATATTAAACGTGTAACCAACACAGCGATATTGGATACAAGTGCCATTCGAGAAGTGATCTATAATATGTATCACAAAAGTAAGATCTTATTATAATAACTTATCAGAAATTTGCATTAATTTGTTAACTAAATTATAATGTCATATTACACATGGTTTCAGAAGAACAAGTTACGATACAAACTTTATGGTCTCGATTAAGAGATAGGGCATTATTTGATGGTAGTGCCACGTCTTTAAGGCGGTTGCTTAGAGATCTTGGATTTAAGTGGCTTAAGGACAATCCGCGACGAGGGCTCATGGAACTACCAAGTATAGCTTTGAAAAGGGTGGAATTTCTAAGGCAATACAATCAAGCCAAGGTTGAGGCCTTATACCAGTTTGTCTTCCTCGATGAAACTTGGATATTTCAAAATGGGACCATAGGTCGCTCTTGGCAAAATGGAAACCAAAAAAGCGTGAAAGCTATTAAAACAGATGGTAAAAGGTATGTACTTTTACACAATTTGCACTATAAAATTTAAAACTAATATATTTTAGATACATTATATTACATGCTGGAAATGAAAATGGGTTTATTGAGGGTAGTGAAGCGATATTTTCTTCGAAAACAAAATTGAGCGATTACCATGGAGAGATGAACCAGGACAATTTTTTGAAATGGTTTCAACATCAGTTATTAGAAAAATTGGAGAGTCCATCTATGATTATACTGGATAACGCCCCTTATCACAGCATGATATTGAACAAAGTGCCCAACAATGCATGGACAAAAAAAAATATCCAAGACTGGTTGACAAATCAAAACATACCATTTTTAAACACAATGTTTAAAACAGAGCTATTGAGTATCGTTGCTCGGTACATAATGCTTCTTAATTATATATATTTTGGTCGACAGTTTATATTTCTTTTGTTTATTCCTATTCTTAAAATAACTGCTTTTTTAGAAACAAACCACCTAAAATATACGTGATTGATGAATTGGCGGAACAACATGGGCACAAAGTTCTTCGTCTGCCTCCTTACCATTGTATATTTAACCCTATTGAGTTAATTTGGGGCATAGCAAAATGTTACTATAACAGACATATTGGTAGAGATGGTAACAGTGAAAAAGATTGTTTGGATATGTGGAACGAGGCTCTACAAACGGTTACCCCAGACATGTGGAAAAATAGTGTTCGACATACTGAGCAAGAAATTTTTAAATGGTATGAAAGAGAACGAATTTTTGATCGACCAGACATCGAACCTTTAATAATCAACTTTGAGAGTGATGAAGATTCAGATTCAGACAGCGCTGAAGAAAGAAACTCCGACTAACTTTATTGTACAGAAAAGCTTACACCAGTAGCTTACCTAATTTTAGAATGCATTTTTCTGTATGAATTCTGTAAAATAAATACCATGCATAAAATTTGGAGGACCCCATTTGGATTTTATTCAGTACCTTTAAGCTATCAATTAAATATGGTAGTTTCATAGTGTCATCTGATCAATAATTGTCATACTTAATGATTATGCAAGTACAGATCTATAATTTTATTATACTATTATTTTTGTTCTCATTTGAGGTTAATATTGCTTATAAACCTAGATATGTAAATAATAAATTTTATTATTTTACAAAAAGTTTGGCAACAATGTAAATTTTTCAACACACCCACCTTGATGACGTGCACGCCACTTTGTTTGGCGTTGACTATATTTTCCTTATTACTATACAGTGTATGTTATATTCTTATAACTTAGAGCATCATCTTGTGCAAAAAACAAAAAAAAGCGTATAAAACAGTATTCCATTCTAGAGTATTACCTCCAAAAATGCAACTTTCAAGTTCTATAAAATAGCAAGCAGAGGTTCCTTAAAGAAAAATTATATTTTCGTAAAAGTTACATCCGAATCTTTTATTTTAAAGTAAGAAATTAAGTATTTGCGATATGCACTTTGTTTGGCGTTGACTTATACTTATAATTCTTTTATGAGACAATTCCAAACAATAAATATCAGCCATCTTTCAAAAGCTATTGCAAATCGAATAGAAATCATAAATGGTTATGAAGGTTATTGGAGAGAAGTTATTATTGTTAGTGGATCACTGTTTAGTGTATGGCGAATTTCCTTCAAAATTAAAATGTTCTACAATTACGCCTGTTCCAAAAGTGCAAAATTGTTATATAGAAACATGCGGCCAATTAATGTACTGCCAGAGGTGGAGAAGCTCTTAGAAGGAATCATATATGAACAAGTCATTGAATATATTGAAGAAAATAAGATATTGACAAAATTTCAAGCAGGATTCAGAAAAAAATATTCTACTGAAACACCAATTCAAATGGTAGTAGAAGAATGGAGGCGAAATATGGATGAAAAAAAGTGTACAGTAACATTGTTCTTAGATTTCAAGAGAGCATTTGAGACTATTGACAGGGAGAAATTACAGTGCTATGGATTTCAAGGTCCAGTATTCAACTTATTACAAAATTATTTAATCAATAGAAGTCAAAGAAATAAAATTGGCAATAGGTACATTATCAAACATTAAAAACATTTCGGTAGGTATACCACAGGATGGCAAATTAGGTCCATTACTATTTATTTTATATATTAACGATATTGCTGATATTTTACAGCAGTTTGCTGATGATACATTAATATATACCGGATGTCCCGAAAAAGTGTGCAATATTCTACCAGCGGTTTCTAGAGCTTAAAATAGGAAGAAAAGTTTATATAAACATAGGTCGACAAACGTCCCCCAAGGGCGTTACGGTCTTTTAAAGGGGCTCCCTGAAGATGGTTTTTCCTTAATATTTCCGAAACGTGTTGAGATAAAGACATAAAATTTGGTATTCTAGCCTAGTTTTTCATGCTGGATTTAAAAATATTAACAATTTTAGACAGTTTTGTTTGGAAGCGTATGTAACAGGGAAATTCAATTTTAGAATTTGAAAATTTAGGGTTTTCTACATAAAAAGGTACTCTTATTGAATATCGATAAATTATGCCATTTTTGAATAAAATCAAACTAAAAAATGTGTCACATGATAGGAAACGTACTGCGAATTTTAAATGAATTGTTGAATAATTAGCCATGGCAACTAAAAAACTAATTTAATACTTAGTTGGTAAATATTACATAAATACATATTTCTATTGCAACATTTAGGCAAAAACAAAAGAAATAAATGTTTTCAACGAACGAAATTGAAATTTGTTTAAACAAGAAGACATACAGTTGGATATACGTAAAACTAGCTTTACAATAAGTGTTCAAATAAATTCCCATTTTGTTGGATACTGAGTCTCGCTCGACGAACTAATGATTGCGTAGCCCGAAAAGTGGAAAACCTTTTTCTTCTCATTTCATTTGCAGCCTGATAGATTCTTTGAAGTAAATCTTCTTGAATATCTACTTCAGTCGAGTAAACTAGGTCTTTTAATGACCCCCAAAAATAGAAATCCAATGGATTTAGGTCAGGTGAACGTGGCGGCCACGCTATAGGACCTCCTCGGCCTAACCACCTGTCTGGAAAATTGACATTCAACCAATTTCGAACATTGCGTCCAAAATGTGCAGGGCGCCATCATGCTGAAAAAACATATTTTCTTGAAACTGCTGGCGCACATCCAATGGTATTATATCCATGAGCTCATTCTGAAGATAGTTCAGATACACCTCTGAATTAAGACGATTGGGAAGTACAATAGGCCCAATTACTTGATCCCCAATTATTCCTGCCCATAAGTTCAATGAAAATCTATGTTGGAAATTTGTACGGCGAACAACTTTTGGATTTTCATCTGACCAGTGATGCATGTTATGGAAATTAAAAGCACCATTCCTAGTAAATATTGCCTCATCCGACCGTAATATTCTAGGAATAGTGTTTTCATTTGCTAATATCCACTGGCAAAACTCGATTCGTGGTAAAAAAAATCTGCCTTCGTTACATGCTGCACCCGTTTAAAATGATAAGGATGTAATCCTTGCATTCTTGTCATTCTTCCTATCTAAATTATTATTTTTAGGATAACTATCAAATAGGTATTCATAAATTTTTCATACTATAGATCGAGGTATATCCATAGTTTCTGAAACATTTCGTATGCTTATTTGCGGATTATTTTCAAACATATTTAAAGCAATATCCATACGATGATTTCCCAGTGGCCTGCCTGAGCCCTGCATGCGCTGAAAACTTCCATGGTTTGACAAATTCCGGTGAATATCAGTAAACATTCGACGTCCAGCTACTATGCGATTGGGAAATCTTGATATTCTCTTACGGCTGCCAATGAACTGCCATTACAAAACCCGTACACAAATGCATGTCAGTCAGTTCTCTGTCTGTAAATCTTGGCATTTTAAATCGATTTAATAAAAATTTTAATTTTAATCTAGTAATTTTACACTGCTTACAATGTCAGCTTAACGTCAAAATAAGTCATAACAAATCAAAACAACTTTTGTTGCAGTCATGGCTAACTATGTATAATCAAAAATTCATTTAAATTCGCAGTACATTTTCTATCATGTGACAATTTTTTTAGTTTAATTTTATTCAAAAATGGCACAATTTATATTCAATAAGAATACCGTTTTTATGTAGAAAACCCTAAATTTTCACATTCTGAAATTGAATTTCAAAAATATAATCACACAAAAATTTTGGGGCTAAAATAACCTGAGTCCGTCCCTGTTGCATTCGCTTCCAAACAAAACTGTCTAAAATTGTCAATATTTTTAAATCCAGCATAAAAAACTAGGCTAGAGTACCAAATTTTATGTCTTTATCTCAACACGTTTCGGAAATATTAATAAAAAACCATCTTCAGGGGAGCCCCTTTAAAAGACCGTAGCGCCCTTAGGGGACGTATGTCGACCTATGTTTATATAAACTTTTCTTCCTATTTTAAGCTCTAGAAACCGCTGGTAGAATATTGCACACTTTTTCGGGACACAAATAAAGACATTGAAACTGCAATAGAGCTGTTAAACAAAACGTAATAAATTGGTTAAATGTAAATAAACTTAAACTAAACACAAAAAAAACAAATATATGCTAATAGGAAAATCTTTAGATCAAAATACGATAAATCTTACAATTAATCATGAAAAAATTGTGTCAATCGAATCATTTAAATATTTGGGCATATACGAAGACAGTAAATGAAAATTTGAAGGGCACTATGAATATATTATTTCAAAAATATCCAAGAAAATAAATTACTTTTAAAGAATTTCGCATAACCTAGCTTTTATTCTAAAAAAATGGCATACAACACTATCATTCTTCCTCATTTGTTATATTGTTCGACTATTTTGTTTACTACAAATGAAACTGTATTTTCAAAATTACAAATATTACAAAATAAAGCTATAAGAATCGTCTTAAATAAAAATAAATATACTAGAATAAATTTTATGCTGAAAGAGCTACAATGGTTGAATATAATATAAAAAAACTCATAGCGTACTTGGTTTTCATTTTCATATTCAAGTTAAAAAATCATCTTCTACCAAATCACTTAGAAAATTTTATTGTATTGAACAATGAGTGCCACAATTATACTAAGTGACATATAAATCCGAACACCCAGTTTAAATGGTTTTATTTTAATAAAAGTTGGGGAATGTATCTATCTTACTGTAAATAAGTGAAAAAATTTTCAGCCTTATCAGTTGGACATTCCAGTTTTTATACTGCTTTTTTTTTATTCACTAACGCTCTAAAAATGAATATTTCAGCCGCAGTAAAGAATCAACGTTGGTGGATTTTGGTTCTTGACATCCTTTAGGATCGGTTACGATGCCTATAGTACGGAGACCTGTACGATTTCGTCAACTTAGTGAGTTTGATAGGGGCCGTATAGTGGGACTTCGGGAAGCTGGACTTTATTTTCGGGCAATTGGAGTTAGAGTGCAAAGAAGTGAAGACACTGTGGTTAGGTGTTGTCAGGCATGGCTTCGAGAAGGCCGTATGCAAAGAGCAAGGGGCACTGGACGCCGCCGTAGAACAACAGACCGTGAAGATCGCCGCCTAAGATTATTGGCCTTAAGGGACCGTTTCTCCACTACCAGGTCCATTGCAAATGAATGGTTTGCAGAACACGGAAGACCTATTGGCATGCGAAGTGTTTATAGACGAATGAGAAGTTTTGGCTTGTTTACATACCGGCCACACTGGGTCCTCCCTTTAACTTGAGAACACCGATGTAATCGCCTTGAGTGGTGCAGACAACGGTCACTCTGGGATCAGGAATGGAACAGTATTGTTTTTAGTGACGAGTCTCGATTTTGTTTAGGCATGCACGATGGTCGTGCCAGGGTTAGAAGGCGACGTGGTGAAAGGAGGAATCCACAGTTTTTTGTTGAAAGACATGTTCATCACACTGTTGGAGTTATGGTTTGTGGTGCTATAGCTTATGGTTCCAGGTCACCTTTAATCTTCATCAGAGGTAACATGAACACGCAGCGTTATATCCACGAAGTTCTAGAACCCCATCTTTTACCCTATCTTGACACCCTGGCAGATCCAACTTTCCAACAAGATAATGCCCGACCACATGTTGCAAGAGTCACAATAGACTTCTTTCAACATAATGATGTCACATTGTTACCATGGCCACCAAGATCTCCCGACTTATCCCCAATTGAGCACGTGTGGGATATGATGGGTAGGAGATTGCTCAATTTGCAACGTCCTCCTGAGACTCTAGAAGCACTTCGAGAGGAGTTGGTGGTTGCCTGGAATGAGAAACCACAGGAGAACATTGACCACCTGATCAGAAGCATGCCTAGGCGCGTTGGTGAATGCGTAGCACATCAGGGTGCATCCACACATTATTAAAGGTCAAAGGGCTTTAAAGCAGTGCAATCATTTTGAAATTTTTATCATTTACTTATTATGCTTCATTAAGTACCTTCTTATACAAAATTTTATTAAATTAAAACCATTTAAACTGGGTGTTCGGATTTATATGTCACTTAGTATATTCTACTAGAGGAAGTATAGACTTTCATTTACAAAACTGCAGTGGCAATATGACGAGCAAGTCAGTATTTCAAAAGGGATTGTACGAATTTAATAAATTAAGTAATGATATCAAGATGTGTGTCAGTTTGAAAATGTTCAAAGGGAAACTGAATAAATATCTCATGGAAAACCAGAATTCATAGTAGTGAAATTTTGTATAAAAATATGTAGTATTGAAGACATAAGATATTTTGTGATATACTGTGTAATATGGATATTTATGGGTATTGTAGCATTAATGTTAAATGAATCTGAAACAAACAAAAAATAGGAAATGCATAGAATCCTCGAGATACGTGGGCAATGGCTGTTCAAAAAATCTATGTATAAACAAGATTTACATTTCATATTCACGAAGATATGCCTTGAACGACGTCGATGGAAAGTTTTTGCAAGCAAACACGTATTTTGAGAAAAACGACTTGTCTCTAAGTTTCTGAATATTACCATAATATTTATTAATTTGTAAGATAAAAAAAATCGTAACAGACTTTTCTTTTCTATTAAACTAATAGGGTATTTTCCGAAAAGTTTATTCTGACGGATAAAAATACTGTCTACGATGTTCTAATCATTCTTTGTAACCGGTGAATATCTTTCGCCCTGCATCCTACATACCGAAATATGGCGCCTTGTTGTATTTCCCATACAAGTATCCCAAATGCTTCCCGATGTGCTGCCTGCCGCAAAAAACTTCCCAAAGACTGCCAGCTAGGAATTTTGGAGGTTCGAATGGAACACCTCTCGCCTTCCAGTAGCTGTGATTCCTGGTCAGGTATTTGTAGAGTAGTATAAAGAAGATCACAATTAATATTACTGATTTCCATGCTGGTGGAATACTCATCTGTAACAAATACAACGGATTTTTCTTAACAAACACTTATCCACATCGAACAGTAAGCGCAGCTACGTTATTGCCGAGCGGAATCGCATAGCAACACTTTGTTACGCGAATCAGTAGACTATGCAGTCCTTTCTTCTTCCTTCTTTCTCTCTGACTTTATCTGGTGTCTGGGCAACCAGACCTGACAGTCCTTCAGACTTACAATACTTGAAATAAGAGGTCCTACGGCATGGGTATCATGTAAAAAACCTATAGAACGTCAAAAAAAACCTATAAGATGTCATCTTGCAAACTAGGTAGTTTTTAGGGCGCAAAGAGTCATTCCACGTTTGCTCACTAGGATCGTTGTGAACGTCCATCTATGGAGGAATCACTCAACTAAGCTAAGCATTATTGGTTGCATAGTTTTGTGAGGCATAGTGATCCGGGTCTGTAGTTTTTATCTCTGAGCAGTGTTGCCATACGTAGCGGAATTCCGCTATTTGTAGCGGATTATTTTGAGAAGAGCGGCGTAGCGGCGGTAGAGCATATTAGCCCAAAATGTAGCGGAATTTATTACATACAAAACTATCATATTTATTTCACTGTTTTAACGTTAATAACGTTCTAAATCCTAAATAGGCAGTGGCTAGAGTCTGATTTATTATCACATTAATAATAAAATTGGTGCATTTGGTGCCGCTTGAGCCATCTAGGAACAGAGAAGAGAATTATTCCACTTGCCTTTTTTTTTCAATCAGATGGCGTACGTACTGCTTTCAATACTAATCATTTCTAACAGGTCTCAGCAGGCAGACATAATATTAGGTTTCTCTCTTTGTATTGTATTTTTCAGCTCTGGGTATATACTGTTTAGTTTCGTTTACATTAGTGTTCTTGTTGTGTTGATCATTTTATTGATGTATCATTTACTGCAGATTTTAATATTAAATCTACTGGTAAGTAACAAAACTGCTTAAATATCTAACATATTATAGTTTGATCCAGAAATAAATCTTAGTCGCGAAATTTGTTTTTAACGCTTTTTCTTCTGGAAAATAGGAATAATGGAAAGGCGACAGCAGACCATTAACGATTTTTTTGATAAAAAACCTTCTAAAAAACAAACGGTGAAACCAAACGTGGCGTACCATCCACTTCGACTACATCTGTGTCGGACTCGGAGCATCCCGAAACTGAATACAGACAAAATAGAAGAGCGGAATCTAGTGGAATCAGGTCTGAGCCTGATAATTCGACTTGCGAATCTCGGGATAACCAAGAGCCAGAGCAACCTGTTAAGAAAAAGACGCGAAAACAAATGTTTACTTCATCATGGCTAGAAGATCCGTTATTTAAAGCCTGGTTGGGACCTATTGAAAATGACAAGTTGAAAGCAAAATGTAAAGCTTGTAATCAAATAATGGGTGCTAAATAATCAGATTTAGTGAATCATTCGAAATCAGAAAGGCATGCCACTAATGTACAAGCAATTTCGAATGTAAGAACGTTAGATAGCACTTTTCAGTCTCGGGAAGCACGTGAGTTGGAAAAACGGCAAATATTTGCTTGCTTAAGATATAGTCTTTTAGTTGTAAGTCATTATATAAGTTTTAGAACTGTTGATCATATAACAGGAGTTAGTCAATTATGTTTTAAAGACCCAGATCTCTCTAGCTCACTTAAATTAAAAAAATCCAAATGCATAAGTATAATTAAAAATGTGCTGGCTCCTGTTATTAAAGACGAAATAATTTCAGAATTGGAAAATAAACCATTTTCTATTTTATTGGATGAGAGTACAGACCTGAGCAATACAAGACTACTATGCATTCTTGTAAGGTATATTCATAAAAATTCAATTAAAACCCATTTATTGGATATAATTAAAATAAACGCAGTTGAAGGTACCGCCAAAGGTTTATATTCTCTTTTAAAAAATGCGTTATATCCAATCAAGTAAAAATTACCAATATTGTTGGATACTGTTCCGACAACGCTAGTGTTATGATGGGCAATAACGAATCTTTCAAAACTTATCTTTTAAGAGATAATCCTAATATAATCGTCAATGGCTGCATTTGCCACTCTGCTCCTTTAGTGGCGGTGGCGGCAGCTGAAAAGATTCCAAGCAACGTTGAAGCTCTTTTACAAAACTTATATTCTTACTTCTCAAGAAACCCAAAAAGGCAGTGTGTTCTTGAATAATTACAGGAATATTTCAAAAAGTCAAAATTAAAAATTTTAAGCCCTAGTAAAACAAGGTGGCTTGCTTTATCCAAATGTGTTGATAGAGTTTTGGATCAGTGGGACATCTTTCTTAGCCTATTTAGATTAGCTTCCATTGAAGACAAAAATCCTGTAGCAAATGTAATACTTAATGAGTTACAGAATCCATTTGTTAAGGCGTATTTAATGTTTTTTAAATTCGTGTTGCCCATTTTTAACCAATTTAATGCTCTTTTTATAATCAGAGAAAGTTATGCTCAATATCATATCAATAGAGAGTTAGCGATTTGTACGTCATCTGTGTACAAACTTTATGCGACCAGAATATTTTAAAAATGAGAAATTATATAATCTAAATCCTAATGATCCCCACTGCTCATTACCAATTGAACAAGTGAATGTTGGTCCACATACAATGGATGCAATAAAACACTGCAATAACACGGCAATCGAACAATTTAAATTAAAATGTGTCACATTTTACCAAAAATCGGTAGAAGAGTCCCTCGAAAGATTTCCTATCAAAGACAACTTCTTTTCAGAGCTAAAGTTTCTCTCACCGGTTGATGTGATGAACAATCGTCTTATTATAAGTGATACCTTTCATGACGCCGTTTTAAAAAAATTTGCCCTTCATATTGAAACCGAAAAGGCAATTTTGGAACTAAAGAAAATATGTATTTATTTTAGTGATAGTGAGAAAGAGGAAATTTTAAAAACAAAAAGTAATGTCATTGAATTTTGGTCGTTTGTAAACGACCTCAAAAATTTTAATGACGAATATTTATTTCGCAATATAGGTAAACTGACTCTAATCATTTTAACATTGCCTCATGGAAACGCTGATGTTGAGCGAACTTTTTCTTATATGCTTGATTACAAAACAAAAAAAAGAAATAAAATAATACTATCAACTTTGTCTGCACTACTTACAATTAAATTAGACTTGGAATCAAAAAAACAGTGTTGTTTATCCTATAGTTTTAATGAGAATCATTTAAACAAATATAAAAAAAATATATAATGTAAATAAGGAAGAACAAGCTGAAGAAGAAGTAATTTCTGATTCTGACTGTGAATAAAATAAGCAAACGTAGACATTTCCACGTTTCCGCTTCTTCTGTGTCCTTATTCTTTGATTTTTTTTTCTATTAAGATTAAGATATTGGTGTTAGTTTCTATTTTTTTATTAGTTCCTAATTCTAAACCAAAGACAGTTTTGTCTTTTTAGAGGTATACTTTTTTGCAATTATATTATGTTACTGTTTGTATTTTTAGTAGGGTTTTTAGACAGTGTTTAAAAAAAGTAAATATAGTAAATATGTAAAAAATATTTTAGACCGTAGCGGCATGTAGCGGAATTTTGCGATACGTGTGACGGATATTTTAAACTTCGCTCTGGCAACACTGTCTCTGAGAAGAAAGTTGGTTGAATAGCAAGATCGCATCTGGATGATTATGTGTATTGGTCTGCATGTGTATAAAATCAGTGATATTTGCTGTGTGAGAAAATCATTACTGAATATGCCGAATATGACGGGTTATTTATATGTTGGGTTCTCTGAAGAGAGGTTATGTTCAACGGTATAAATTACGAAAAACTGAGGATAATTACGGGAAATCATCACCGCGCCCGCGTTGTGTGTAATTACTGTTAGCATGTATATGGTTTGTAATTTGATAGTGTACAGTAAATATAATTATTTCTTATCTCTCTCATTTTTGAAATTCAACAAATTTGTATATATAATTTCCTGAATGGATAAAAAAAAGCGGATGCGCAACTAATTTCTAGCTTTGAATCTCGATTAACACATTGGCTGCCATGTGAAACACCGGTGATACACAGGCACGTTTCACTCCGAGGCCACGTGACTCACATGTGTTTCACATGCAGTATACTTCTAAATTAGATATATATCCGCTTGGCCTGTGAATTAAGTTTAACTACTTATACTGTGGCATACTGATAATATAGACAACTCATTGAGATATATAACATCACTGGTTGCCTACCTTTGTAGGGTAAATTTACGACTGCACTTTTACTATATTCAGGTTGGTTCTTATACACATTTTGCGGTACGAGTGCGCAGCTAAAAAGAGGGGAAATTGTGGGCAAGGAAAACACTTCAGGACTCGTTATAGGTAAATGGAAAGACAAAAGAGATGTTCCGTTCTTGAGTACTAAGCACACGCTGGATATAACGGCTACTGGGAAGAAAAACAGAAAGAATGAGGAGGTAAAGATTACCTTCTGCCATATTAGAATACAATGCTGGTAAAGATGGTATAGATGTTTCTGATCAAATGGCTAGCTACTTTTCCCCACTCCGAAAAACAATTAGATGGTATCATAAGCTAATGTTCGAAATTCTCCTGAATACGGCTGTCATCAGTTTTCTTAATACAAGCACTTCAAACAACAAAACATACAAATTGGTGCTTTTAGAGAGATTGAAAGCCTTACTCAAGTCCCAAGAGTCGAGTGTCGATTTGTGGGAATGAAACAAGCTAAATTGGTCTCTACCAAGCGCGGGCAATGCAATATTTATTTATGTTTTACTTGTTTCACTGAAAAACATTAGTTTTATTTTCTATTTCTTCTGTGATCACCGGTGGTACAGATGGCACTGAAGAAATACCGATTAACCTAGATGCCATGTGTGTCACCGGTGATTTTAATTTTTTGCAGAAAAAACATGTTTTTTGAATTGTTTATACGTTTTTTATGTCAATAAAGCTTTCGTGACTATGCTTTTGTGATAATATAAATGAAAATATGTAGTTTGAATTTGACTACTGGTGATAGCGGTACGGCCTAGAGTGAGTTCATTGTTTACTATTTATTCATTGTGTATTAAGTATAGTACCTAGCAATGTCATCACAAACTCAGAAGCGAAAGCACAAAACATTGACAATTAAAGAAAAATGTGATATTTTAGACCGCTTAAATCGCAATGAAACTTTCAGTAGTTTAGCATGTGAATACGGCGTAGGCCGATCTACAATTTATGACATTAAAAGAAACCACGAGAAGATCAAGAGGTTCGTGTCAACTACTCACTGCGGGCTAGGCAAGACACACTCAAGAAAGCTGAACATCCAGAAGTGGAAGAAGCTTTGTACATGTGGTTTCTTCACGAAAAAATAGGCATGCACCAATTTCAGGACCCATGTTGGCCATGAAAGCTAATCTTTTTTATAAGGAAATAACAAAAAAAGATGATTTTGTGGCCAGCAAAGGACGGCTAGATCGTTTTAAAAGTCGCCATGGCATTCGTTTAATGACTATTACAGGAGAGAAACTTTCTAACGATGCCACCTGCATAGAGCCCTTTAACTTAAGATTTTTGCAAAAGGTGAACGATTTAAATCTTGACCCGTCACAGGTGTACAAAGCAGACGAATCAGGGCTTTTTTGGCGTGTGATGCCTAACAAAACTTTCGTTTCTTGTAAAGAAAAATCCGTACCTGGACGAAAAGTAAGTAAAGAGCGTGTAACTATACTACCATGTGCTAACGCTGCGGGCACACACGCGCTTAAGATGATGGTCATTGAGAAATCTAATAAACCACGGGCATTCAAAAACATTGATTTACCTGTACACTATTACGGACAAAAAAGTGCATGGATGACAAAATTAAGTTTCGTTCGTATTGTCAAAACCATAATGATTCTCCTTGAAATGTTACGAGTATATTTGGAGCCTTTTGTTATAATTTCGTTCAGTAAAGTTTTTAGTACGAAGCCAGATTCCATTCAAGATATTCGTCAGCGAATTACGGCTGAATGTAAACAAATAACTCAAGACACGCTTAACAATGTGAGGAATAGATTCGATCAAAATCGAAAATAAAAACGCCGCTGGAAGAAGTGTGTTGAGAAATAAAAAAAACTTGTATCTTTGTTAGGTCGGAAACTTTTCAGATAACCCTCGTATTGGTCAGATATGTTTTGACCCAAAATGCCTTAAACTGGCTAAATCGATGGCGTTAGAAATGTATAGTTTAGGAAATATTGGGGTGGTACCATTTGAAAACCGGTACAATATACTTCCAATCTTAAACCAAATAATATGCGGAATTCCTGAACTAATTACTTACAATTTTGGTCAGTTTTTTCTAGCTGTTAGACCATAAGAAAATCACTGTTTAGGCGCCACATAGAATATGTTGAGTTATGCAGGAAGCTGAATTTAAATAAAATATTTCTTTTGTATGAATAAAGCTCATGTTTCTTCAGCGACTAAAACAACACATGGCGTGTATGCGCCCATAATTGTAATTTTGCAAAACAAGCAAAGTAACGCACGTACATTGGCCATGCAAACTACATAATTAAAATAAATATGTAAAGGATACAACCACTTTCTGAAGTCTGAATTATGTGATTGCAACAAGAAACAATATAACAAGTTTCGCCCCAGATGAATTCTTAAATTTCTCCACATGACCTCCTCACTCTGTAAAAGGCTCCGATAAGACCTAGATGCGAGTACTGCTCACATATTTGGGGTGCTGCCGCCCCGACAAAATTATCCATGCTCTGTGCTGATCAGAGGATGCCTGTCCGACTGATCGATGATTCTTCTCTAACAGACAGTCTCGGTACCCTTTCGCCGTGGGCGATCTAACTTCCTTCTACCGCCATGTCTACAGACTTTGCTCCTAAGAGCTCTGCTCCATGATGCCGCCGCGCGATGTGCCTGCCAGACAGACCCGTCTCACTTCGCCGTCCCATCCGAAGCGTGTTGAACTTTGTACTTTCAGAACTTGCCGATCCGACCGCTCCTTTGTCTCAAGGTATTGAGATTTTGTAATAATTTACATCAGGTGGCTTGGCCAGTTGAAATATCAGATTAACAAAGCTCCTCATAGCGGCCACGATGTCCTGATACTTAGGATTCTGCCTGCATGGCTGCTTAGGTGTAAAAAAAAAGGACTAAAATACCAAATTAGCTAGCATTCTCCTTCTTCCTCATCATCCTCCACTTCGTCGCTCCTTTTCCTTTATTCTGTCAATTTCAGTGAACATCTAACATCACTCGAAGGCAGAAATCCTACGGTCCGCCCCGACTGATTGATGATAGTCGTGTACCTACATGCTTTGTAATGGAAAAAAAAGTTTAACACACCCATCTACAAGATGCAGGAAAAGTAGTAGAGGAATCAAAGAAGCAAATTTCGTACATCGTAAAAATTCGTCAAATCATTGATCGTTGCTGGGGAATCTACGATAAGCTAGTCAAGGTATGGAAACTCCATGATTTTAGATGTAAGTAGATGGAAACATAATGAAAAGCTACAACTGAATTTTTGTGTGAATCTACAGAAGTGTCGGTCTTCCGAAATTTAATGCCAGCTGTAGCTGTACGAGAAGATAGATAAACACAGTACAGCACTTTTAAACATCAATTTGTAAATCAAGAGAATAACTGTATTACTTCATTGCTACTGTAGTTACTTGTCTGCCTTTTTTCTAGTTGCAGTTATAGTCCTTTCACTGAAACAAAGCAGTTATACTTTATCTGAAGTCACTTGAAACACTGTGAAATACCGGGTGCGTTTTATATATCTATATTTAACACGCTCTGTTGCTGCAAAAATCGCCAAATTTCGCAGCAAATATCCCCCGTATAAGAGATCAAAGGCAGTTTCACCGGTCCACGTGGAGTAAAGCACGCCTATGCGTGGACATAGCCAATGAGAAAGCGTGTATTTCAGAGCTCGGAACAAGTGCAGGTGGCTACTGAAAATTGAAACAGTTTAGCCAGTGCCGTGTAGCGGTGAATAAACGTGTTTTCTTTAGTCTGTCCGTGTTTTTTCATAGATTTTATTAGTTTGTGTGTTTTTGACTTTTGAATACTCAGTTGACTTGTTGATTTAATTGTTGTGTTGATTGTTCTTGTGTGTCCTAAATATGGCTCTTTGGAGACCTTGGGAAATTGCTCCAAGCCACGAGGAGATGGTTGATGAACCTGTGCAGGCATAATTCTTTCATAAAGATTTAGAGGAACAGACTCAAAGAGTAATCCTAAATATGTATGATTGTCTGAAAAACGAAAATCCAGATTCCTCGCAAAATCAAATTTTAAACAGAATTTGTATCCTGACAAAAATCAGTCGGTCTACCATTTATCGGGTTATAAAAAGGGGAGATGTAGTCAACCATTCCTTCCACAGAAAGCGCATAGGGCAAAAATTAAAAAGAATAGACGTGGGTTTTCAGGAAGATATTCGTCGTATAATATACGGATTTTATAAAGAAAATTTGGTGCCCACGTTGGAAATGATACGGGATAAATTAAAAGATTATCCTGAAGATTTTTATAATTACAAATGCTTAGACTCACTGCACTGTATTGTAAAACTGTGTGGTTTTCAATACAAAAAATTAGATAAAAGAATGGTGATTATGGAGTCATCTCGAATCGTTGAATTGCGCCAAGAATTTTTGCACAAAGTTAAAATCTATAGAGAGCAGAAAAGAAATCTGATTTACCTGGATGAAACGTGGTATGATACCCATGATGTTGTGCAGTACGGCTGGGTTGACGACAGCAACAAGTGCATTTTAAATGCACCATGCAACCGTGGAAAACGAATCATTATTCTCCATGCTGGCAGTGAAAATGGATTTATACCTAATGCCTTGCTGTTATCTGCCAAAAATATCAAAGAATCATGTGCCGACTATCATGAGGACATGACCTCCGACTTATTTCAAAAGTGGATAGAGCAGCAGTTAATACCAAACATTTCCCCAAATTCAGTGATTATTATGGACAATGCGCCATACCATTCCCGACAGAAAAACAAAATTCCGAATACAGGCACAAAAAAACAAGACATTATTGATTTTATAAAGGATAAGGGAATGGAAATACCACAAAAATCAACCAAAGCCATATTATTGGATCTTATTAAAAGACAAAAATTTAAAAAAGAGTATGTTGTTGACAATCTGCTTCAGCAAAATGGCCATGAAGTATTACGTCTACCTCCCTATTACTGCATTTTTAACCCGATTGAGTTGGTCTGGGCTGCTTTAAAAAAAAGTAAGAAAACACAATCAGACCCCTCAATTAAGTGAATCGCTATTGGCCACAATAAGAGATGCAGTATCTCATATTGCTGCCACAGACCTATGGAAGCAGTGTTCTAGGCATATTATTGAAAAAGAAAATGAATATTGTGTTTTGCCTCCTAAATTAAACTCCCAATATAAGTATTTTTTATCCCAAATCAAAAAAGTAAGAAGATAGTAAAATCCATTTATTGTGATATAAAAACATTATTATTATCGTTCTAAATAAATGCCGCACGCCTATGATACGTCATGAAATTACAAAGGACGCGCCGACCAAAGGTTTTTATGCTATTTCAAGTGACTTCAGATACACCATACGTCATATTTAGTAAGTTTGAATGTCAACCTTAATGCAAAATATATCCTAAATTGGTACGTATAGTTTGGATTTCCGGGTACATGTATGTTGGTAACAGTTTTCTGAGTTGTGCCATTGTCGCAAAGGTTGTCAGGTAATTATTCCAACGGCTGCTGTTTATTATTTGTGGTTTATTTCCTAGGATCTAGTAGTTTCAAGTAATGTGGCAACCATGTGCGGTACTGTCATTATTTGACGTTGTGACGTAACTGCTTTGTACCTAGCTACCTAGTTGCTAGTTGTATCTAATAATTATCGGTTGAAACCTACATTGTCGTTTCATAATTATTTTTCATCAAATAGTATGAAATCCTGCCGCTTGGACCTGCAGAGGTATGTTTTTTAAATACTTTATTTTTCTGAATAATACATAATAGAATAAAGTACAGCAGGGCTGGATAAATGTGTCGAATTCATATTTTAGTATAGATTCAAAATTAATTTCAATGTGTGTACTTATAGATGAAGCCAACTACAACCCGCTATGAACCTGCCTTCTTGCACTCTCTTGTGTTCTTTATTGTTCAGGAACACCTCAAATGTACGCTGAGATTCTGGGTCATAACATTATCAGTTTAATGCGAAAAAAACAAAGACGATGAAAAAACATAACCCAACAATCTTGACACATTGTCGTTTTGTTCCGAGTTACTCCAAGTAACACAAAACTGGAAAGCGGCTATGGTACCTGTAATAACTTTGGTATTGAAACATAATATCCAAAAAAGTTAATTACAAAAACTGTAGCCAACAGTATGTTACTTGGAAAATATATACAGGGTGACTTTGAAGTTGAGTCATTAATTTTCAGATAATGATTGTAGAAGGAAGATAAACCAAAATATGTGTGTAAAAATAAAAAAAAAATAAAAAAAAATGTTTACCTTGTTTTATAAAGTATCCTCCCGACAAGTATTTCAGTGCGGACCTGTATTTGATCGTGAGGTCCCCTGTGAGGTCTTAAGTCACCTGATTCACGAGCCCGTTGTACTACATTAACAAAGGCACGAGGGGTTGGTTGCACTCGATTGGGAAACCGATCCGCATAAACATGTGCCATGTTTTATTTCGTTTGAGCCACGCAACAGACACTATTCACACGCGACTGACAGTGACTGTATGTATAACTGAACTGAATGAAATAATTGTAAAAAACTCGTTCCAAATTCTTTCGCTTTTTTGTTTCCGATGCGATGAACCGATAAGGTGGATTATATCCGTTGTTGCCAAACACAAGCACATGATATTGTTATTGAGACAGGGCGGTACTCAAACTTCCAAAGGGCTATAACTTTGTTACTTTAATTTTACCAGAAAAATGGTAAAGGAAAAAAACATTTCTTTTGATCAGATCTACTCACTGTTAAAATAAATGACTCAACTTCGAAGTCACCCTGTATATATATATATATATATATATATATATATATATCTGTACAGGGTGATTCATAACTATGCGGTGACCCAAACATGCATTTTTTAAACGGAAAGCATTACATTTAATTGCAGATTTGGATACACACTTTCAAACGAAGCAATTTTATATAACATACCATATGGTAATATTTCCAAATTGTTGAGATATTTGACTTTCTATCGAATAAAACACTGAACCGTGACAACTCGCAACTCCGCAACAGTTACAGCTAGAGTACTGAATTTTTTGTAAACAAAATTTATGATGCCATATTCTGTTTGACTCCACTTACTTTTTCAGTTTTTTGATCAGTTTATACAGGGTGGTCAAGAACCCAAAATAAACGATTTACCTCAGACATGGAATATTTGATAGATCATAAATTGAACACCCTGAGCATGTTCACATTTCTTGATTCCCTTTTCACAAGATTATTTGTTGATATTAGGCTTCTGGGATTTTGTACGATCGGTTTCTGGGATATAGCTAACGTGTTTGTAAATTATATCAAAGCGAATTAATATTACAATACCTACACACACCTACAAACTAAAAAATATCATGTATTTGGTAACGGTAGACATAACATATAAAGTAAATCTATTTAGCCTTATGCAATATAGTCAAAAAGTCGAAAAGCATGCAAACCTTCATAAGGCTTATATCAGAAAAAAGTAAATAAAAAGGGAAATCAAGAAATGTGGATATACAGGGTGACTTTGAAGTTGAGTCATTAATTTTCAGATAATGATTGTAGAAGGAAGATAAACCAAAATATGTGTGTAAAAATAAAAAAAATTAAAAAAAAATGTTACCTTGTTTTATAAAGTATCCTCCCAACAAGTATTTCAGTGCGGACCTGTATTTGATTGTGAGGTCTTGGAGCACCGGCATGCCCTCCCCTGTGAGGTCTTAAGTCACCTGATTCACGAGCCCGTTGTACTACATTAACAAAGGCACGAGGGGTTGGTTGCACTCGATTGGGAAACCGATCCGCATAAACATGTGCCATTCTTTATTTCGTTTGAGCCACGCAGCAAACACCACTATTCACTCACGCGTTAGCGACTGACACAGACTGAATAAAAACATCGTGATCAGCGTTTCAAATTCTTTCGCTTTTTTGTTTCCGATGCGATGAACCGATAAGGCGGATTATATCCGTTGTTGCCAAACCCGAGCACATAATATTATTATTGAGACAGGGCGGTACTCAAACTTCTAAAGGGCTATAACTTTGTTACTTTAATTTTACCACAAAAATGTTAAAGGAAAAAACATTTCTTTTGATCAGATCTACTCACTGTTAAAATAAATGACTCAACTTCGAAGTCACACTGTATACAGGGTATTCCATTTGAAAATTTTGAGAAATAGTTAATTATGGCTCTCTTGACTACTACATATAACTATCCAAAAAGTGAAAAAGTAATTGGATAGGAATAAAATATGGCTACAATTTACGTAATTAAATTCTTTAGATAAAAACTCGCCCTGTATTTAATTTACAGGTAATTGCGGCTAAATTTTGACAGGCAACCCTGCTGTAACTATTTTAAGTTTGATAAAACAGAAACAGATATCTGCAATTTTAAGCGGCCGGATCTTAGACTTAAGCTTTAAATTAATCAACTTCACCTACGTGTGGCGTGACACAGACTGGATCAGACGAAATTGATTTCACTTTTCACTGCAGTATGTGTTTTTTAGTACTCATAAAAATGAGTTTCATCGATTGTAATTACAAAATTCAATTATCCACTAAATCAATTCAATCTCAATCAAGTAGTTACTGATCTACTTGTCGTCAACGATTCATGAAGTTCCCGATTCAAAAATACCAGAACATATTGATCAACCCTTGTAACTAGACCTGCAACATGGCCGCGATCTTATTCTGATATATAAGAGGATTCTAGCTCACATTTGCTTCCTGTGTCTGTGTTCCTAGTTCACATTGTTCCATGTCAGTACAAGAGTTTGTTGTTCCATGATTTCTTTTTCCATTTCTAACCGTAGTTTTTTACATAAATAAGGAATAAGAAAATCATTTTGAAATGCCTTTTATGAAAGGCCCCGCTCCTATAAGGAGAACTCTAAAATATCTAGGTGCAGGAAATTTAGTTTTGAAGGACCAAATAAAAATATTCACTATAAATTATAACGTATCTGGAATACATCACCATGGCACAAGGTACGGTCTTCGAGGCCCTCCGGTTTTGCACTGTTGGTTAATATCACGTGTATTTATTTCAGGGATTTCGTATTCTGGTATTTGCCTCAAATCCAATATAAAAATCCACATGTGCAGATATCTACCCTCAAGAATATGACTCCTACGCCTTTCATCAGGTGCTTTTATGGTGAGACTTGAACGTTTTATTTTCATTTTTGTGTAAAGTACTTATGCAAAGAGGTGACAACCATTACCTACAAATAGTTTACCAAAGATACAACTTGGGCCTATATGGTTAAAATGCAAGAGGCTCCTATTACTGTTTATATTATTTTATTCCAGAAACTGGAGATGAAATGTTGATAGATACCTTTGGACGTACTAAAGAGGAAATAAATGAACATTTAGTGAAAACAGTAGGAAAAACAAAGTAAGTGGAAAATCTAATCCTTTCAAGAGAAATTTAATATTTATAATGAATGATTAACTCTCACATCTGATTCATTTGTACCATCTACAATTTTTTCTAGTTTTAGTGAGTAAAATTTAACAGTAGCGTGTTAAAATATGTAAAGGTTCATATCAACATAGCACCAAAATATTTATCCCGATATTATGAGGTTTTTCAAACTTGTTTTTCTTTGATACTTCACTTTACATATTGAAATATTGACATGTGTTTTAATGCACATCAATACCAGTTGTGCCATTTCTGTTTAGCAAAAATGAATATGCTGCTGATCTTTGCAATATCATCTCAAAGCTAGATTGATTCTGGTTTAAAAATTCCCTCTTGGAGTTTTTTGGTCAGATGCACTGTATTTGCCTCAGATGGAGGCAAATATTTTTTACATGTGGGTTTGTATGTGGTCAGGTTACAGTCGAAATGGCTTGATGGATTGTAATATATGAGGTATTTTTGGATTTTTCTTATTATTGCAAGTGGCACTGGATATATTGCAAATTTCAACCTTAGCAGAGGAAACACAGGCTACAAATAAAAAATAACGTTATAAATTTTGACATTTGCGGCATTGGTGCAGAATTCCTCAGTGTCCCATCGAATCAAAACAATTAAAGCTTCATTCTTTCCCGTTACTGCAGGTTTTTGATATTATTCAAAAATGTCTCATCGACAATGAACATAATCATAAACTTCTAGAGACACTTTTCGAGCAGAATCAATAGAGAAGACAGCACTTATTTTTGCAAAAATCAGTGGTGTGTGTGTCAGTAATTTCTGGGCTCTCGTTTAAATATTTTTTTTGTATATCAACATATTACCATCACAAGATTTTTCTTTCCAGAGAAGTCTTGGCTGCAGAAACAGTTGCAAAAGAGAAAAAAGACAACCCAGCCAACTTTGGGGTAGCGTGCGAAAGGCACTGTATCTGTGAAGTACCTGGTCAGGTTCCTTGTCCTGGAACGTGTCCTTTGCCCAAGTCTTGGCGGGGGAAATATAAGTATAATGTTGTTGAAGATTAGTTATAAAATAATTGCATTATGGTTTTAAAAATCTGGAGGTTTATTAAACCCATTAACTATGTTGTTTGATTTATTTGTTATGTACTAAACGTTCATGACATTTAAAAGGATAGATGATGTTTCTATTTAGTGAACTGATAAGTTCATTACAGTAATAAATGAGAATAAGGCTAATGGGAAAAGCTTGAAAACTACCTATAATGTATTTTATTACCTTTCCTTATTACTGTGACATGAAACCTGTAGGATTATAGATAGTGCTTGTTCTCAAATGAATAGGAAATAAAGGGCTTAGTTTAAAAAAATGCCATACTACTAAGGCAAATTCATAAGCATTGATTAATTTGAGTGTAATTAAGGGATCCAATGCATAAACTGGCCACGTCCATTTTTTGGGCAAAATGAGTTGGGTTTATATTCTTGCACAGTTTACAAGTCTGAACCTTCCGTAACATAAACCAGCTCTGTAACATTTAATTTCAATTATGGAAACTGAAGTGTATCATTCGTTGCCTACGCCTTTACAGTTTGCTTAAACTGGTCAAGTCCAGGACTTGACTAGTTTTTGCACAGTGCTGTCAGTCTAATACAGCACAGGTACCCGAACCGGCACGGGTATTACCTATCTTGAAAGGTGACATTTTGTCGTTTTTTTTTTTTTGACGTTTCGTCGGTTTTTCTACCAGATGTTTACTTAGCACAAGGTGTTGTACAATTGTTGTCAACTTGAACAGCGATCATAGCAAGCACATGTGGAATTAACTGTTTGCACACCAAAAACTACCTAGTCTGCAAGACATTTCTTTGGTTTTTAGGTTTAGTTTCTTTCCATACGACAGGAGCTTTGGAGCCTTAGGAATACAAAAAAGAAAGCACGACAATATATATTAAGGATTATTGAAAATACAAACAAAAACTTTAAACTATATGTATATTTTTAAATTTCAAGCCCCATTTGCAACAGTTGTTTGTGAAGAATCCTTCAAGGAAGAACAATAAATTTACGATTTCAAGATATCGAATCATGTGGTATGAAAAACTAGATAATGAAATATTATTTAAATGAAGTGAAGCAGTCTCTTTGTCTCAGAGTTAAGATCAATGTGCGGCCCCTGACTCAATAATACACTAAAAATAAGATGTATAGTGAAAGAAGAAAGCTAAAGAAAAATAAATTTGATCACACTATGAATCTGGCTAAAAACTGTGCCACAATGTGATCAGTGATTCTATGAAGAAATCAGAAAATGCCATCAGAGCTTTTTGCCAGATGATGAAAGAAACTTCCGCATCAGAATTCAGTGAACATGAATAAATGAAAATATTTTAAGATTTTATCAAATGTTGAATTAAACCGTGTATTAGTTTATTTCATTCAGGAACTTAACAAAAAATAACATTTTTAAGGTCAAAATTTGTTTTATTTTAATTTAAGAAATCAAAAGACTTTGAATAAACCGGTCAAGCCCATTAAATCCTTCCTCATTTATTTTTTTTTACAGATTGATATATTTAAAAAATAATGCAGCAGAATTATCTGCAACTGACCACAAATAAGAAAATTTTCGGTAACTAAAAAAATTACAACATAAATCTTTTTTGTTTCCTCAACATTTTTCCTCATGTGATTCTATTCTAAACACAAAAAGATTTTTTTATGTTGCATTTTTTGTCAGTCTCAATAAAATAAAAAACACATCCTTCGTTCATTTTGGACCCCATATTTATAGGAACTTTTTTTGTTTTTGATGATATCAGTTTTTTAAAGCCTGATTATATTTTAGTTAAGCATATAGATATTTTGAAAATAAAGACTTTTATGGTACTTACGTAACTGCTGAAAGTAATACGCATTGCTTCACAACAAATCACACAGAGAGGAACTGAAGACACTGAGTAATCATTCGGACTAAAAACGTCGTCAGCGCAACATCTTTAAATTCATCTTATGCATACATGCGTAGCTTTTTGGATCATTTTCCATTTTAAATGGATGGATATATCTTGTATTCAACTCATGAATTATACAACTTTGTCTTCTTGGTATTCCTTGAGATTATCATTTTCGTGTATTACAACGTGACTTCCCGAAAATTCTGAAAAATTATCCTAAGTTGAGTTACTGCAGTCACTCGCTGTTTTAAATAAACATCTTGACATATACGGCTTTGAATGAAAGTGATCCTGGTGTTGGATAACACAGCCGTGGTTTTACATACCTGCTATAGGTCAGTCAAATGAGACTTGAATAGTATTAATGCCCGTAGCTGTAACCACCAAAAAAACGTGGGATTCCTTTGGCTGAAGCGAACGCTTTACCGCGGCTGAAAAAAAAATCTTGCAAAAGTTGACATGATTCAAGAAGAGAGACTTTGCATGTACAACTAGAGAAAGAAACAGGAAAGTGCGAAAAGACGTGTTTTTTTCTAGATGCTTGCAAAAATACCTCAGAGTATATAAGGTCTACGGAGTTGTCTTATTTCAATAGGGTCTAACTTGTGCTGAATATAACCATTTATGAACTGATGACTGCGTTGCGTGCGAAGTGTAGAGTGAACCTACTTGATGTCATTTTTTACTAGTTATTATCAACACATATCGTCATTTTAACTCGGTCACTCCTAAGAGATTTTTTTATAATACAAACTCTCGATTTGTATATAATCAGAATAAGTATCGATTTCCTGTCCTATTGTTACTCATTGGGGCAAGGTTTGGAAATTCCTCATAAATATGCGAGTTGAAGTGAAATATATTTTGCGTGCCTTATTAACGACATCATTAATTTATTGTGAAGTGTGGAGCTTCATCTTTTGTGATCATATTCAGGGTGGCGTATCCAAAACGAAACAGTCGCATTTACTGGCAGCTCAGTTTGTTTTTTTTTAAAAACGCTCAGACCCGTCGATTTTCTTTTCGAGGGGGACACAAGTTCGACAAAAAATCACGTTAGCACGTGCAGCCCCCTAAGCGGGGGTGACACCACCCCCAAAATCTTAAATGGAAAGGGGGGTCGAGTGATACCTTATTTTAAAGGTCTTTCAATTCCCTGTATAATGATATAAAATTAATGTTCAGTAGTTTTGAAGATTTATTGATTTAAAGCTTAAATAAAACTAATACATCATCATTAGTGGAGATCAATACATTTGGCAGCAAAGTAATTGAAAAATGGAGAATGAACTGACCCGTTAGGCAAGTAAATGTTGAAAATGGCCACCATGACTCTCCAAGCAATAATAAAGATTTTGGTCAAAACGTTGCCGCACATTTTGCAATATTTGAGGAGTAATTTGAAGGCACTCATTGACAATTCTTTGTCGCAGGTCTTCTAATGATGTTGGCTGAGTAGCATAGATTTTGCTTTTTAAATGACCCCACATAAAGAAATCCAAAGGTGATAAATCTGGCGATCTTGGGGGCCATTCAATGGCACCTCTTCTACCAATCCATCTATCTGGAAGCGTCTGATCTAAATATTGTCGAACACGTAATGCGTAATGTGGTGGGGCACCATCCTGTTGGAACATCAACCTATTCGCAATGTACCAGCGATCATTCTGATTTCCTATTATGGCTGTTAATGCAGGATCTATGGCGTCTTCCAGTAATTCCAAATACATTTCACCGGTCAAATTTCCAGGTAAGAAAAAAGGGCCAACTAAATAATCGTCAAAAATACCAGCCCAAACATTTAATTTTTGTGGCTGCTGTGTATGAACCTCATGATAAATTCTGGGATTAGAATTGGACCCATATCGGCAGTTATGACGATTTACTACGCCATTTAAGAAAAAGGAACATTCGTCGGAAAAGCAAGTGTTGAATAGAAAATTTTCATCGTTTATAATTCGTTCACTCATATCTTCACAAAATTGTAATCGCCGATCAAAATCGTCTTCATTAAGTTCTTGTACCAGGTGAATTTTATACGGATAAAAACTATGGGCCTTTAGAATCCGTTGGACAGTACGTCGACGAACACCACACACAGTCTCCAATTTGCGGATACTTAACGTAGGATCTACATAAACTTGCCCTAAAACCACCACTTCTATTGCTGCGTTCCTTATGGAATTTTCAATGTTGCGTTTTTTATTGGCGACTGACCCAATTTCCAGAAATTTAGCTACAAGTTCTAGAACATATTTTCGATGCACGTTACTGTTCTCATGTCACTCATTAAATATTTCTGCTGTTCTATTAGCGCACTGATTATTTCCGAAAATTATTCCGATAATTTCAACTCTTTCTGCTGTGGAATATACCATACTTGTTAAGTAAATTCTTTTAGACAAATTTCTTCTGAAAGTAGTACAAACTAATATGATGTACCTATTAAAGTCTACTTTAAGCTTTAAATCAATAAATCTTCAAAACTACTGAACTCATGTCTTTTAGATCATTATAAAGAGAATTGAAAGACCTTTAAAATAAAGTATGTATGTGTATTATTTTGTTTGAAATCAGTTTCGAGGATATAACTGGCACTCTTTTGGCGCACATCCGTTAGATATATCTGATTGACGTATGTATTCCTGGAGGAATGTTGATCACGAGTATAAATAATCTTCAAATTGCATAAAGCATATATGTATATATTTCGGTAAGAAACGTCAACACTTTTTTCTTGATCACTTGATATTGGTCGAATAAAGTGCCTACGTCGTCGACGAAAATGGCCGTACTATAAAAGGCCCGTGCGAATTTCATTATCAATGATACAGGTAAGGCAATGTCAAGGACATTTCTACATAGAAGCGTGGTTCGTTGAACTTGAAATAAATTGTTGAAGGTAGGCAGGTATTTATGATTCTGAGTGTGACATGGCGTTGACAAAAGTTTCATCGTGTTCGTCTGTTTTAGAATAACATTCTTCCAAATTCATAGTATTTTTTTGACAACTTAGAAAGGTAATTTCTCGACTATAATTAATTATGTTTTGGTAAGATGTCTTTAGAACACTGAAGGGATTGACAATGGCATCCTTTAGCAATAATGTTTTTTTAGATATTCAAAAAATATCCTTTGATAAAATGGAGATCTCCGACACTTTATACATGTAAATAAGAAACATCCACCTCTCCATGCGAAAAGGTATTAATGAAAACCAAACGATCTCGACTGCTGAATATATTTTGCTGCTAAATGACAATCATTTTGTTATTCAAATATCTGTGTACTCCCTTTAGTCAATACATTAAAATATCTTCATTTCGTCAATGTCGAGGAAAAAGCCTTCATGCGATAAGTGACATATAAATCCGAACACCCAGTTTAAATGGTTTTATTTTAATAAAAGTTGGTGAATGTATTTATCTTACTGTAGATAACAAGTGAAAAAATTTTCAGCCTTATCAGTTGGACATTCCGGTTTTTGTACTGCTTTTTTTAATTCACTAACGCTCTAAAAATGAATATTTCAGCCGCAGTAAAGAATCAACGTTGGCGGACTTTGGTTCTTGACATCCTTTACGATCGGTTACGATGCCTAGAGTACGGAGACCTATACGATTTCGTCAACTTAGTGAGTTTGATAGCGGCCGTATAGTGGGACTTTGGGAAGCTGGACTTTCTTTTCGGGCAATTGCAGTTAGAGTGCAAAGAAGTGTAGACACTGTGGTTAGGTGTTGTCAGGCATGGCTTCGAGAAGGCCGTACGCAAAGAGCAAGGGGCACTGGACGCCGCCGTAGAACAACAGACCGTGAAGATCGCCGCCTAAGATTATTGTCCTTAAGGGACCGTTTCTCCACTACCAGGTCCATTGCAAATGAATGGTTTGCAGAACACGGAAGACCTATTGGCATGCGAAGTGTTTACCGACGAATGAGAATTTTTGGCTTGTTTTCATACCGGCCACACTGGGTCTTCCCTTTAACTCGAGAACACCGACGTAATCGCCTTGAGTGGTGCAGACAACGGTCACTCTGGGATCAGGAATGGAACAGTATTGTCTTTAGTGACGAGTCTCGATTTTGTTTAGGCATGCACGATGGTCGTGCCAGGGTTAGAAGGCGACGTGGTGAAAGGAGGAATCCACAGTTTTTTGTTGAAACACATGTTCATCACACTGTTGGAGTTACGGTTTGGGGTGCTATAGCTTAGGTCACCTTTAATCTTCATCAGAGGTAACATGAACGCGCAGCGTTATATCCACGAAGTTCTAGAACCCCATCTTTTACCCTATCTTGACACCCTGGCAGATCCAAATTTCCAACAAGATAATGCCCGACCACATGTTGCAAGAGTCACAATAGACTTCTTTCAACATAATGATGTCACATTGTTACCATGGCCACCAAGATCTCCCGACTTATCCCCAATTGAGCACGTGTGGGATATGATGGGTAGGAGATTGCTCAATTTGCAACGTCCTCCTCAGACTCTAGAAGCACTTCGAGAGGAGTTGGTGGTTGCCTGGAATGAGATACCACAGGAGGACATTGACCACCTGATCAGAAGCATGCCTAGGCGCGTTGGAGAATGCGTAGCACATCAGGGTGCATCCACACATTATTAAAGGTCAAAGGGCTTTAAAGCAGTGCAATCATTTTGAAATTTTTATCATTTACTTACTATGCTCCATTAAGTACTTATACAAAATTTTATTAAAATAAAACCATTTAAACTGGGTGTTCCTATTTATATGTCACTTAGTATACTATAAGCAGTGAGATTTTTAGTGGGCAGAGAATGATGTGTTTTCATCACAGAAGACATTATTTCGAAATCAATGACGATGAGAGATAGCTATAAACCTGCTGGAATGGTCTCGAAACACGGTTCATAGTGTCAGGTGCCTCAACACTTCAAGAGCAAAGAATTTTGTTTGCTTTGAGAGCCATGATAGTCCTGATCGGCCTTTTATTGTAGAGGAAACAGTTGGTTGAGTTTGTTCAAATTTTTCGCTTTGAAAAACTTCTGGCCAATAAATAAGGGCGGATCAACATCGACAATCCCGCTCTTCGTATTACAAATCACAAGGGCGTTCGCTGTCAGAGGCACTCTGATGCAATACTCGGCTTTGAGGAGTCAAAAGAAAGTACCCAATTCACATGACACTCTGTTGTTATCACCTTCAAGGTTGGGCCCAGAATTTTGATACACCCTGGGGCCCAACACCTTCCGCCGTCGGCCTAGCCCGATGGATGGGTCTGATCATCGGCAAGAGCTAAGTTTTTGTGTAAGTGTACCCCCTCTAAAAAAAACCTTTGGACTGCAGGGGTAGAACATTTTCTCAGGGGAAATCCTAAAAATTCACAAAATCATAATATGTAAATGTTATGGTTTAACGGTCTAACCGGATTCTCGGGAGGTAGTAGCAGATATTTATTTACTCCATGATATAACAATATACAGGGTGTTCCTTAATGATATGCGAATATTTAAGGGCGTGAATCTACATGATAAATTAATGTTAGTTTGCGTTATAAAATATGCTCCAAAAATGTTTCCTTACAAAAACTCGGGGTGTTGAAGGTTTAGGAAAAAATGGAAATTAATTAATATTTTCAGAGCTGCTTCAGATATTTCACTGATATTTAGTACGGAAAGAAAGTTAATAAAGTTGCATATTTTTCAATGCGTGCGTACGGGTATTGACTTCGATATTTTTTAAGAAAAAAATGGTACGCCAATGGTTTTTTGCCAAATAAAAATTATTTTTGAATTCCCCGTTCAATTTAAAACAAATGACCTCTCTTGTGTTGCTTTCCTTCGATGCGCCATTTTTGAGTAAAAAAATAAAAACTGTTCTATTGTCTAACTTGCAAAATTATTATTAATTTAATTGGAAAAATTCAACACATTAGGGGTAATGAACAACAACAACTGACAACATAAACATGACATTAAAACCAACGAAATGTTTACAAAAATTGTTGAAAATGACCCCCTTCACTTAGTATGCATGCTTCCGCCCCCCTTCTCATGGAAATGCGCACTCGTTGAAATATCCCTGGAGTGTTTTTTATTCTAGCACAGGCTGCAACTATTCTTTCTCTACAGTGTTAATGGGACTTGTGTACACTAGTGTCTTAAGATAGCCCCACAAAAAGAAATCTAAACTGTTGGGGTCTGGGGACCTTGGGGCCCACCGCGGCCAATCCAACGATTTGGATAAACAGTTTGTAAATAATTACGAACCGCTACATTGAAATGCGCTGGTGCACCATCATGCATGTACCACATATTGTTTCTTATTACTAACGGAACATCATCAAGCAGCAAAGGCAACTGTTGAAGAAAATTGAGGTAAGTCTGTCCGTCAAGTCGTCCCAGCAAGAAGAATGGGCCAATAAAGTGGTTGCCAATAATTCCTGCCCATACGATAACCAAAAATTGGTGTTGGCAATGGGTTTCGGTTACGGTATGCCGGGATTTTCTTCTGCCAACAAATGATTATTGTGGAAATTCTGAATGGCATTTCGAGAAAAATTAGCTTCGTCCGTGAACAGAATCATTGATTCAAATTGCGGATTTTGTGTAATTTTTTGAAATACCACACGCCTTGTAAAATCAATGGGAAGTAATGTCTGTACTCTTAAAATATGGTAAGGATATAACAAAAAAAATACACTAAAATTCTCCAAATAATTTGATGGCAAATATTTAAGTGTCTAGCGATCTTCCTCGTACTCGTTTCAGGATGTTCTCCGACTTCGGGGAATTCAAATATAATTTTTATTTGGCAAAAAACCATTGGCGTACCATTTTTTTCTTGAAACATATCGAAGTCAATGCCCGTACGTACGCCACTGTTCAAAGGTAAAAATTATTTTTGCATTGAATAATATGCAACTTTCTTAACTTCCACTACCTACTAAATATCAGTGAAATATCTGCAGCCGGTCTGAAAATATTAATTTCCACTTTTTTTCCTAAAACTTCAACACCCCGAGTTTTTGTAAGGAAACATTTTTAGGCCATAGTTTATAAAGCAAACTAACATTAATTTTTCATGTAGATTCACACCCTTAAATATTCGCATATCATTAAGCAACACCCTGTAGAATAATGCCAAGCATAATAGCTTTTAAAAAATTGGCACCCCTCCACAAATTGTCATAATTTGAGCATAATTGTATTTTAATAATCATGATTTGTAATTCGTATTCAGATCCATCATTTTCGTTCCTATTGGCGTGCTACCTAACGTAATTCCTGCGGTCGCGATACAGAATTTTCAATGGCGAAAAATCACACACTCGAGCTGAGGAACTTTATTCTAAATTTGATTTTAACATTTGCTATCAGGATAACAGAAACGCGAGGAGGTATGAAATCTGCACGTTGCTCCTGATATGTAACTGGCAAACATTCAGATTATTGACACGTAGACCTCTAGTCGTTTTTCTGTCCGCCTGATATGAAACCCTTCATGACTACAAATCGCACATTCGAGGGTCAAGAGATTCTAAGTATAATCGATGAAACTTCGTTATCAATACATTATAATCGCGAAGAGGTATAGAATCCGCATTTTGCTCCTGATATGTATCCTAAGTGACATATAAATCCGAACACCCAGTTTAAATGGTTTTATTTTAATAAAATTTTGTATAAGTACTTAATGAAGCATAATAAGTAAATGATAAAAATTTCAAAATGATTGCACTGCTTTAAAGCCCTTTGACCTTTAATAATGTGTGGATGCACCCTGATGTGCTACGCATTCTCCAACGCGCCTAGGCATGCTTCTGATCAGGTGGTCAATGTCCTCCTGTGGTATCTCATTCCAGGCTCCTCTCGAAGTGCTTCTAGAGTCTGAGGAGGACGTTGCAAATTGAGCAATCTCCTACCCATCATATCCCACACGTGCTCAATTGGGGATAAGTCGGGAGATCTTGGTGGCCATGGTAACAATGTGACATCATTATGTTGAAAGAAGTCTATTGTGACTCTTGCAACATGTGGTCGGGCATTATCTTGTTGGAAAGTTGGATCTGCCAGGGTGTCAAGATAGGGTAAAAGATGGTGGTTAGTGAATTAAAAAAAAGCAGTATAAAAACCGGAATGTCCAACTGATAAGGCTGAAAATTTTTTCACTTGTTATTTACAGTAAGATAAATACATTCACCAACTTTTATTAAAATAAAACCATTTAAACTGGGTGTTTGGATTTATATGTCACTTAGTATAGTAACTGGCGGGAAATTCAAATTACTTATGCAGACCTCAGTCATTTCTGTCCGCCTTATACGAAACCCTCCATGACTGGAAGTCGCACATTCGTCGTGCAAGATTCTAATGGTCGGTACACACGGAAACAATAAAACTGCACAGTTCATTTGCGCAGTTTATCGAACGTTCATAGTACGTCCAAACATCGACGATATCTGCGTCGATTTTCGTCCATGCGTTCGATGAAACTGAGCAAATGAACTGTACAGTTCTATCGTTGCCGTGTGTACCGACCATAAATTTGATGTGAGATTTGCTATCAAGACAACATAATCGCGAAGGTATATAGCACTTTGCTCCCGATATTTAACTGGAGTCAAATTCAAATCACTGATTTCCTCTTAATAGTTTGGTTGGGTGAAGATTTGCTACCAGGACAACAAAAACGCGAGGAATAGAAAAAGTGCTATGCTCCTGACCAGTATATCAGACAGACGCTGCCAATAGAATGGTATATGCCAAGCTAGAAAAGATAAGTATTTCTATCAGACATTTTCGTTCCTATCCTGAGAGAAGCACGATTCGGAACACTCATAGGATCCAACGACGGTAAAAAAAAGTGGCAGGATTAGGTAGCCTGTTTAGTTTCCCACTGCAACTGTATTCGGTTACAAAAAGTTAACCATATGACCAAAAAATTCCACAAAGGGTTTAAGAAAAACACAGTTTTAATATATAACTTTTAATATTTCTGAATAATAATATTAATAAAATGATATTTATATGTTATTTACTATAATAAAAAAATCACACATATACCATTTCTTTGGAAATTATTATAAAAGAGCATTAGAACGAGCTTCTTACATGAAGGCATTATATGCAAATAAAAAAGTACTGCAAGTAAAAAGTGATTAATGATGATTCGTCCTAAGTATATTTATAATACAAAGAAATATATAAACAGTCTTAAATTGCACCAAATCTATTGAAACCTACAACGGCAAATTTTACTTCACAAAAAAAAACTTATAATTTTGATTACATTAACGATGGATGAAAAAACAATAACAACACAAATCCAATCAACCTCCCTTGAGGTCAAAGAATACAACCAGAGTTAATCATCAGTTAATAAATTTTCAGTGTTGCTATTATTTATACATCCTACAATAGGTACGCGGTAACTTACTTTATACGATGGAAGCTTATTAGATTTTGGATAAAATTAAGAGAGCATCGATAAAAATGTACTTAACAAAAATGGGTGGAACATTTATTTTTTATAAATTAGTCAGCGTTACAATAGAGCTGATGCTATCGATAATTATTATCCATAAATAACAAGCTTCGAATTTAGCAGTTTTGGATCAAGTAAAATTGCCAATTATAGACTTCCTGAATTTACCAATTGAGCTTGAAAAACCATAAATGTGTCATATGTGCAATCATACTGAAACATGTAATACAGGAACAAAAATTAGACAAAACAGAGAGACGTAACAATCTTGCAAACAACACTGTTGTGTATACTTAAGTAACAAATCTAAGACAACCTAAATACACCAATTTTTATTACAAAACGTCTTTGCGTATTTAATTTTTCTTCACAACACATAGGAAAATTTTAAAGAACTCCTGGGTAGTCGATTGATGTGGAGGTAGCTGAGAGTAAAAACTCGCACATTTGCTTTAATAATCGATTCTGATTTTTATCATTATTGCTAAAAGCTACCACCAGTAGGCTAGACTATCAGTGATCATTTCGAGAATCTGTGAAACTATAATCTTAGTGTAACTGGTTTTGAAATCAAACAAAAAGCTTTTCAAGAGCAGCTAAGATGTGTTGTTTTTATATATATTTTCCTGCCTTTTTAATCAAGTGCTCGTTCATACTTTGAAACATATGAGCATATTTATACTTTCCGTACATCTTAACAAATATTATCTAATTTTTGCACTTTCCATACAAAACTGTTTTATCCCACTTATTCCAGACTAGTATAAAAAGGGTTACCTTATCACTCTAATTTTGTCTAATATAGGTAAGTCTTCCAAAATTTTTGGTAACCTACAAACTGCGTATAAAAAGAAGACAGTCTGATCAGTCGCCAAAAGTTGAAGAAAAACAGTCGACATGCTTATGTAGTGCTTAAATGCTAAATCGCATTGAAAAATGTATGCAATGGTCTTTATGCAAATAAGTATATACAAAAAAGAAAATCACTAAACTGACACACTGGTGTGACTCACCACCGCATTGAAAGACAGAACATACAAAATCAACTGAAAAGAAGTATTTTCACTAAAATTAGTAATGCTTTTTTATAAAACATTATTAATGTGAAGTTTCAGATATTTGCGTTAGCCTATGAAATTGTCTGAATTAGCATTACTTTTGCATTGGAATAAAAAAATAGTTCCAAGTAAAAAACGATACTTTTTCAGCGACACGTATGCCCTACTATTGAAGATTAAAACTCGCTGAAGAAGACAAAGATCTACCTCAACGATTTGCTTCAATACTTTCTGCCAGTCACATTTGAACGTTTTCAATCCATAGATAATAGTGAGCCTCTCCTTTGGAAAATATTGTTACCTGCTTTTGCACCATTACAAAGATGTAGTAGGAGTAATTTAGTTATATCAAATATTACACTAACTACCGCCTATTTTATATCTACAACTTCTGTGAGCATCACTTCTAAAAATACACCTGGTTGGCACCAAAAAATTATATAAATGCTCCCTCACTACCAAAGATAAGAAACGTGTGTTAGTGATATAACAAAAATAATCCACAAAAGGTTAGAGCTTTATATCACAATTTATTACAAGATACGACAACGTGAAAAAGAAATTTTCTAAATAAAGATGGCCCTCTACGCAAACCATAAATCTCGAAAATTCATAGCTTCCCGATAATTTTCTTGATCACATGCAAAGCTTGTACAAGAAGAGCACCTAGCATTATCTTTTTGCTAAACGGGATTTTTAAAAAATTTTGCATGCCATTATTTAAAATAGGAAATATAAAAAAAATGCAATGATACTAATGGCTTATAGAATGTCGAAAAGCCGGAAACGTCAGTACATTTGTTATTTATTTTTTTACTCGTGCAGTGCCAATTTTTGTATAATTCAATCTCAAATGCTAGCACCATTTCGAAAATAAAATGTAAATCTAGCGTTTGCAAAGCTTTTGTTAGGGTTGAGTAAATAAATACTTGATACCTTTATCACATTTTCCAAAATTTTTGTTAGGTGTTTTTTCCATTTGACTTTTAGGCACTAAACTACCTCAATTTAAAACAACAGAAAAAACATTACATTAGGTTCTGCGTTGATTCAATTTCAGGTAGCTTAAACCCAGCTTACTAGTTAGAAATGTTAATGCAGTTATAATTTCCCTTAAACTTAAAAGTAAGTAGCATGGGCACTACAGAACGTATTTTCTTCGGAAATACAAAACTTGAGCCACAATCAAATCTCAGTATGTGATACAAGAGGAACGTGGTACCAGATGTTACTAGGAACTATGAGGTTCAAAGAAATCCTTTAACCTCTTCATATCCAGAATATGAACATAGATCCAGGTAAATTATTTTCAAGACAAGATGCAAATAGTTTTTTCCTGACTGAATTGTGTTGGATTTTGTTCACGCATTATATCACCATACCAGATCTATTGTGTACCAACTGTATTTATACTATTTTTTGATGAGAAACATTAAAGCCGTCAATAGGCTTACAAACAAATATGTACACAGTTTCGAGTTTTGCCTCACTTTACTATAAAATCAACTCTAAAATAAAATATATGTGGTGTCCAAAAATATGGAAAAGCGTCATACCATACCTCACTCACTCCCAATATTATACAGTTTATTGTAGTCCGGTTGTAGTATAATATCATATGAATTCAGAATGAGGGATCGTTAAACATCTACTTGCGCCTTTAACAAAAACAACAAGCATCAAGAACATGAGAGCAGAAGTCCTAAAATTCCAGGAGCTTGTCTTTAATTTTTTTGTTCAAGGTTTTTGGTTTGTGTATTCAACAATCAAAGAAGCACAGCACTGGGGCGCTTTCTATCAGCGACCATTTGAGTCAAACGGACACTGATCTTAAGCCCTACAGCTCCATGAATGCAGCCAATCTAAGTGAACAATATAATAAAAAACAGTTGCTGATGGGAGGTGTTTTAATAAAGTCTGAAAGAACAATGTTCTGGTTGATATTTAGGGAAATGTGCTCCTCCTTTGTTTTTCCCACATTTCTACGTAATGTGAATCTAAAAAACAAGCAAATTGGAAGGATATATACTTTGTGAAAGTACTTTCCGACCTTCTGAAACTCATCCGAAGGCGCAAGCAAAATGGTCTTTATCCGCCCCTCATTCCAAATTCAGTTGCATAGTGCAAATTATTTCTGTTACCAGTTCGCCATTCCCGGTTTGTTGAGTGTCATAAAGTAAATCTGACACGACGAACCACTCTTAGCACTAGAGAAGAAGACCTTGTCGTTCCTCTCGCAGAGGAATTTTAACCGTTGCGATTTTTTATGCATAAATACGCCGTCTAAATGACCGGACTCCACCGATCTGATTTCGATGGCCTTGTTGCCCCAGCCCATAATTTGACCGGTGCCGATGTACGCCACTGACGTCGGCATCTCTCCCCACTGAAATTAAAAAAAGAGCGATTTTTATGCGGAGGAAAATTGAATGGCCGTTTCAGTATGATAAAAAATATGTTCATGTAAACATTTCTTGATATAACTATCCATTAAGGAACACCAGGTATACTAAAGCCATATAAATTCTACAGGGTGCGTCATCTATTACTTTTTTCTATTTGAAAAATCAACACGCTTTTTACGAGGTGAAATCGATTTTTTAATTGATGAATGAAGGTTTGTTTATGGCATTTATGTACGAAAAATAACATCAGGCATGTGACCACCGCGGCTTCGTTTACAGGCCAACATCCGAACATCAAAATTTTCAATGACTTTTCCCAGAATAATCGGGTCTATGGCCGCAATTTCAGTCCGAATATTGCGCTTTAGGTATTGAATTATCCGGGGACCATTCGCATACACTTTTCCTTTTAAAAATCCCCAAAGAAAATAGTCAAGAGGTATTAAATCGCACGATCTCGGGGGCCAACTGACATCTGAATTTCGTGAAATTATGCGGTCTTGAAATTTCGTGTGCAATAAGGCGATTGCTTGGCGAGATGTGTGAGCCGTTGCTCCGTCTTGATGAAACCAAAGATCGTCGGCACCAATACTATCCAATTGTGGCCACCAAAAAGTCTGTTAACACGCCGCGATAACGTTCCCCGTTGACGGTAATGGTCTTTTCTTCGGCATATTCAAAGAAGAATGGTCCAACGATGCCACCAGCCCATAATCCGCACCAAACAGTCACTTTTCCAGGATGGAGAGGTTGATCATGATATTGCTGTGGATTTTCAGCCCCCCAGAATCTGCAATTTTGCTTATTTACGTACCCATTGAGGTGAAAATGAGCCTCATCAGAAAAGAGCACTTTGGCCGAAAATCCGTCTTCTCTTTCATCCATCCAATTAACAAAAACACGCCGCTGTTGACGATCTGCCGGCTTCAATTCTTGTGTTAGTTGGATTTTGTATTCCCAATTGTTGCGAACGGTGCCTAGTCGAGGTGGTTGGATCTTCTCGCACACTTTCACTCACTGCGGCTATGTTTTCACGAGTACGAGCTGGACTAGCATGTTGGTATGGTCTACGACCTTCAGCTGAACCAGTTTCCTCAAAACGATTAACAATTCAACGAATTTCAGGCTCTGTAGGGCGTCCATGTCTGCCAATACTAGTGCGAAGTTTGCGAAAAGTATTTTTTATATTTCGACCGTTTTCGTAATAAGTCTGGATAACCAAAATGCGCTGTTGTAAACGAATCCATGACTATAAATGGCATACCTTTGACAGTTCATTTATGTATACCACATGACTTTTATAAAAAAAAAGTAATAGATGGCGCACCCAGTACTGCCTCTTGGAGTAAAATTCCAAGAAGTTTCGATGCGCTTTTGAGAAAACGACAAATATTTTTGCAAAGACCAGTGACATACAATTTTTGCCAAAAGAATAATTTTAAGCACCCCGTGATGTTTCAAATTTTTAAATGCTTTTTTTATTACATTTCAAACATGTGAGAAACTTTTAAGGGATTTTAAAGATATCACATGACTTACCTGGAGCAGCATGTTCTTCGATATCCTACCATATGTGTTGACATATACTCCTTCATTATCATAACACAGCAAAAGCTGCATACCATTGCTATTCGGTAAAGTAACTATACAGTGTGGTGTTATTACAGTTTGCGTCTGAAAATAATAAAATCCAACATAAATCCGCATATTAAAAAATGTACGAATATGAATATGCTGAATGACCACCACTACAGTCTGAGAACTTTCAACAAAAAATAACAGCAAATATAACAAATATTTTATATGTAGTTAATCCAGAAAGTAAACCATAACATCCAAAACTCATCAGAAGATCTACAAAAATTGTAGATAAAATTTTGAACTTAAGCATTTAAAGGGAATGCAACGGATTTTTACAAAACAAGTTTAAATAATGAGTATGCGCTACTTTAGTCATCTATCAGTCCAGGCTGTAAAAGTTTTAGAATAATTTGAAATTATCTCCGTTCATACAGCATACTGAGGAACCTTTATAATTAACAGTTTAGGACAGAAAAGGACATGGCACTCCACCCTGACGTACTCCAAACATTATTATGGATTAGAGACCGTGTTACCCAGCTTAACCAGATTTTTTCTCTTTGGCATAAATGACAGAATCCACTGATCAATTTTATTTGCGAGGATGTTACTTGTACACTGCTTTTGATAAATCAAGAAATATTGTCATTGTGTAACAGGTTTTATCAAGCTTTTTATAGATGAACGAAAACAATGAAAATGCTACCGTATTTGTTGACGGACAGATGGAAAATTAGGTTCCTTCGAAAAACCATACATTCTACAGGGTGCGGCAGAGAGGATGGACGGTTTTAAAAAACTCCTAAAATAGTTAATTTTTACTCGAAAACAAATTTATTGATGGAAGGAAATAGCATTTGAGACAGTCAAGTGTGGAAAATCACATCAGGCATGTGGTGGCCGAAATCGTTTATGCAGTGCTGGAGGCGTTCTTGGAAGTTCGCGTAGACTCTCTCCAACATCGCTCTCTCAACTTGGGCGACTTCCACGCGAATTTCGTCCTTCAATTCGTCCAGAGTTCGGGGCTTGTTCGCGTATACTCTAGCCATAAGAAAAAATCGCATATGGATAAACCTGGGGAGCGAGGAGGCCAATGAACATCTCCAAACCTGGAAATAAGGCGACCAGGGAAGAGAGGGCGAATAACGTCCATGGATGCTCGAGCTGTGTGGGCGGTCGCCCCATCCTGCTGGAACCACACACGTCGGATTGGAACACGTCGCCGTCGTAATTCAGGGAGAAAGAAGTTGGTGATCATGTCGACGTAGCGCTCTGAGTTCACGGTAACATCACGACCATTACCGTCTTCGAAGAAGGGCCAATGATGCAAGTTTGCGATACAGCGCACCAAACCGGTACTTTTGGGCTGTGCAGCTGTCTTTCGTGTAACTGTTGCGGATTTTCATTAGCCCAATAACGATAATTCTGCTGGTTAACTATGCTGTTTAGGTGAAAACAAAATGAGGTTCTCATTTTGATCGATCAGTGCTTCCGTCTCACGTGCGAAGTTCATTCGTTGTGCATAATCTCCGGGCTGTAACTGTTGCACAATGGCCAATTTGTAGGGGTGAAAGCGGAGATCCATATGCAAAATCCGCCTTACCGAACGATCACTAGGGCGAGGTGCAGCAGCATGTTTCCGGGCAAATCGAGTCGGACTGCGAAGAAAGACCTGTCGAACGCGTTCAACATTTTCAGGAGTTCGAACTGTTCGCGGCGCTCCTCATGGTCTTCTGTTGATCAGTTCCAGCTCTATTCCGATGAATGTTGAAGTGGCGACGAAACTCACGCTGTACGACGATGACTGACTCATTATTTCGGACGAAACAATCATAGGCGAAAACGCGGTGCTCCACCGTCCAAGGCTCCATAACGACAACTGGTAAAATAATGCTAGGATCTCACGAGTCAAACGGCACCCTCCCCACCTCTCTCGTAGACGGAGGCGGAGAGTACTACCCATCCCAAAAACGTCCGTCCTCTCTGCCGTACCCTGTATTATAAACGATTCTCTCAAATATTTTTGAGAAGACAGACAGTAATGTGCTTGTTTCTTGTGAACAACCATCTTTCACTGCTTCGGCGCGAGGTTGCTCCCATTTACAGCCTGGATTACAACACTACCATAACATGCATATAAAAATAAAAAAGAATACATACAGCGGCAACATTTACCTTGGGCAGGTAGATGTCATATACGCTAGCGGAATCGAGGTCAACGGCGTGGAAGCCTTCGCTGCTGCCGTAGATGACCTTCAGCCGCGTACCTTCTTCCACCGTGAGGTCAACGAGAAGAGGTCGGTACGTGAGGTCAGAGAAGGACTTGAACGCCATGAACTTGTGGTAGGGCTTCGGCGCCCAAGCGTATATCTCGATGCTGTCCTTCAGCGCGATTACGAGGAACTTGATGCGCTCGTACTTGACGATTTTGAAATGAACTGCGCCTTGTAGATCGCCCACGTTTATCCACCCGTTTCGCCTCTCCACTTGCTGGAAGAGAAAGGAAATTGAAATGGACACTCATAAAAGGGGGAGGGTAATCTTGCCTCACTAGTTGAAATACAGTACAAAGATCTTGAGGTTACAGCTACAATGGAAAGAAATTCAAGCCAGATTTAAAGTTTGTTCTTTGTTCAGGTCTTTCGAAGCTGTTTATTTTCTTCCATTTAACTTTAATTATAATGTTGAAATCTACTTTCGAACAACTTTGGAAGGAATCTGGATGCCCGAAATAGGGGTTAGAACCATTTAAACGGCAAATCAGCCTGTTCGTAAGCGGATCGATGATGTCTATCCGATGGAATATTTTGATTCGGATTTTTTGCATAATCTTATTCAAAAAGGACCCTTTTAACGGGTTTGCGTATTGCCAGGCCCGAATTTGTGTCAAAAAATCTTTGAACAATGTTTTTGAACAAATTCCAAAAATTGGTGTTCTCACTGCAGTTCAGTGTTTTTACGGTTTTTAGGAAGTTCTGAACAGAAAAGGTGCTTTAGAACATTTCTCTAAAGTCAAATATGCCATTTCGGCTACTGATCACGTTACTAAAAAACGAAAATTTCAATGTTGCCGGACTTCCTAAAATGTTCGGAACAGGTATTACGTATCTTGAAAAGTGACATTATGTAGGTTTTTCTACAAGATGTTAACTCAGCACTAGCTGATGGACATATTGTGAACTCGTTTTGTAGTTGTACGTGTTGCCTAAACGTCTTGATGCTTCAGTTATCAATGTTTGGATCTGATGTGATTTAAAATCTGCTTCAGAGACAGCAGTGCATAGGTCCATAGTGAGCTAGAAATTAGTTGCGCATCCACTTTTTCTTTTCCATTCTGGAAATTTCATATGCAAATTTGCTGAATTTCAAAAATAAGAGAGATAAGAAAACGAAATCCTGGTTGGTGAGAAAATATACTACAGTCAGGAATATGTATGAAAGTGAAAAGGCTATTACATTATTTTTTATTTCCAGTCATTCAAATTTTATAGAAATTTATTTTGCGAAGTCAATAGAAAATACATCCGCGCCTAGATGCGAGGCTTACGAAAATGTTTGATGTGTGATGCGTTATTCCTAATTTTTCTGTGATGCAGCTTAATTGCACACAACGCGGGCGCGGTGACGATTCCCGTAATGCTCCACAAAGTTTTTGAAAACACAAACGGGAAAAATCGTAATTTATAACTACATATTCTGTCTTCAGAAATGCTCACACGTAAATAACCCGTATAATAGATATACTTCATTGGCAGCATAGTAATAGTTTTCTCATATAGCAAATATCACCGATTTTATACACATGCAGACCAATACACCTAATCATCAAGATGCGATCTTGCTATTTAATCAACTTTCTGACTCACATTTCAGAGATAAATACTACAGTCTACTCGGCTTCACAAAACATATACATGTTCTCTGCAACCAACAATGCGTGTAGTCGAGTCACTCCTTCATAGATGGACACTCGCAGCGATCATAGGTGGCAAACGTGGAATGAGCTACTCGCACCATAAAAACTACCTAGTTTGCAAGACGTTGTTTTTTACGTTTTATAGGTTTTTTACATAATGGTACTTATGTTAAATTGAGTTGGATTGAGACGAATAGGCTGCAATAGTCATAAACAATGACCAAGTAAACCTTTCTGAAGGTTTCGTGACATTAGCGCGCTTGGTTTGCATTGGGTAGAAAAAAAAATTACGTAAATCGTCTCAAAACCTGCCTCTCTCATACTTGGTTAGACTGACTGCAACATTCAATTTTATTGAAATAGTGGACGTGGCCTTCCACTACAACATCTTTGAAGATCGTAATAGTACTTACATCGCTAACACCATCAGTCCTCAAGATCTTGCTCTTCAGCCAACTGAGATAATACACCCTAACCCTATTCTTCTTCCCTGATATCGTCACGAGAATATTTTGTCCTTCCAACACCTCCATCTGTTGAAACCTTCTCCTTGATATGAGCTGGTACACCTTCCCTTGACCGCTCCTGTCCAACAGCATCAGTCCGTGTTCTGTACCAATCAATAGGTTCACACCTGAAAATACGTTGATGCAGATAAAGTTATGCCAAAAAACCCATCTATAGTCAACGCCAAACAAAGTGGCGTGCACGTCATCACGATAAAAATTCCCCGACCTAATGCCTAGGTTTCTATCACAAACAATTGCTCTATTGCAGTTTCATATTAATGTGATATATAAATTGTAAAATGGTCATTACTCTCTTATTATGGTTAATAGTCATATAAACATTGTTATTAAAATATCACATAAGTTGCTTTCTGATAAATTTAGACGCATTATGCGAAATAAAATGTTTTGCAAACGCTCCAATCACTTATCGACATGTAAACGCACTAAACCGATTTCGCAGCGTTGACACATTGTCACCTTGAAACTTATTTAAACTGGGAACTGACATTTGTATTAATTTTGACACTGAATCAATTTGTGGCATTTCAAATCTTTATAAATCCTTTGGCCCCGCATACTGTAAATCAACAACTGTTTGTTTCAAAACAAAATTATTCATTTTACGAGTAGATAAAGGCAATTTTGGTATATAAAGATGCCCAAACAGTTAAATAGTCGGTGTAAGGAACTCGTGGCCTCGTTAATGCACTACTTTGAGCAAGAAAGGGACAACAACGGGCCTTTGTTGCCTTTAAATGCTGTTCAAGAGGTAGGTTACTAATAATTATATGTAATGTATATTAATAATAGTGAAATTTTATTTCATTTTTTGTACCGTGTTGCTGCTGCTTTAAAAATTAGTTTAAGGACAGTTAGTCGTATTTCCGAGGGTGTGAAAAGTGATGCAAATTTAGAATCGCCCAAGAAAAAGCGGAGTTATATTAAACGTGTAACCAACACAGCGACATTGGATACAAGTGCCATTCGAGAAGTGATCTATAATATGTATCACAAAAGTAAGATCTTATTATAATAACTTATCAGAAATTTGCATTAATTTGTTAACTAAATTATAATGTCATATTACACATGGTTTCAGAAGAACAAGTTACGATACAAACTTTATGGTCTCGATTAAGAGATAGGGCATTATTTGATGGTAGTGCCACGTCTTTAAGGCGGTTGCTTAGAGATCTTGGATTTAAGTGGCTTAAGGACAATCCGCGACGAGGGCTCATGGAACTACCAAGTATAGCTTTGAAAAGGGTGGAATTTCTAAGGCAATACAATCAAGCCAAGGTTGAGGCCTTATACCAGTTTGTCTTCCTCGATGAAACTTGGATATTTCAAAATGGGACCATAGGTCGCTCTTGGCAAAATGGAAACCAAAAAAGCGTGAAAGCTATTAAAACAGATGGTAAAAGGTATGTACTTTTACACAATTTGCACTATAAAATTTAAAACTAATATATTTTAGATACATTATATTACATGCTGGAAATGAAAATGGGTTTATTGAGGGTAGTGAAGCGATATTTTCTTCGAAAACAAAATTGAGCGATTACCATGGAGATATGAACCAGGACAATTTTTTGAAATGGTTTCAACATCAGTTATTAGAAAAATTGGAGAGTCCATCTATGATTATACTGGATAACGCCCCTTATCACAGCATGATATTGAACAAAGTGCCCAACAATGCATGGACAAAAAAAAATATCCAAGACTGGTTGACAAATCAAAACATACCATTTTTAAACACAATGTTTAAAACAGAGCTATTGAGTATTGTTGCTCGGTACATAATGCTTCTTAATTATATATATTTTGGTCGACAGTTTATATTTCTTTTGTTTATTCCTATTCTTAAAATAACTGCTTTTTTAGAAACAAACCACCTAAAATATACGTGATTGATGAATTGGCGGAACAACATGGGCACAAAGTTCTTCGTCTGCCTCCTTACCATTGTATATTTAACCCTATTGAGTTAATTTGGGGCATAGCAAAAGGTTACTATAACAGACATATTGGTAGAGATGGTAACAGTGAAAAAGACTGTTTGGATATGTGGAACGAGGCTCTACAAACGGTTACCCCAGACATGTGGAAAAATAGTGTTCGACATACTGAGCAAGAAATTTTTAAATGGTATGAAAGAGAACGAATTTTTGATCGACCAGACATCGAACCTTTAATAATCAACTTTGAGAGTGATGAAGATTCAGATTCAGACAGCGCTGAAGAAAGAAACTCCGACTAACTTTATTGTACAGAAAAAGCTTACACCAGTAGCTTACCTAATTTTAGAATGCATTTTTCTGTATGAATTCTGTAAAATAAATACCATGCATAAAATTTGGAGGACCCCATTTGGATTTTTATTCAGTACCTTTAAGCTATCAATTAAATATGGTAGTTTCATAGTGTCATCTGATCAATAATTGTCATACTTAATGATTATGCAAGTACAGATCTATAATTTTATTATACTATTATTTTTGTTCTCATTTGAGGTTAATATTGCTTATAAACCTAGATATGTAAATAATAAATTTTATTATTTTACAAAAAGTTTGGCAACAATGTAAATCTTTCAACACACCCACCTTGATGACGTGCACGCCACTTTGTTTGGCGTTGACTATACACTAGTTGTCGAAAGATATTACAAGACAAATATTACGGTAAACCTTACTCACCCCATAGAGCGGCACACAATATTTCGCTGTTGAACCGTTTCTTGTATTTGCGTATCTCTGGCGTGTCGGACGACACCTCGTGCGATGTGGGCGTCACATTGACGTTGACGTGCGACTCCCGCCTAGAGGGCGCTGCACTCGCGCCGAATCCGAACGCCAGGAACGAGCGCTGTTTCTGTTGGAGAGCCAACGCGTTAGCGTGCAAGTGATGCCCGCCACCACCGACAGACGGCGAGTGTTGATGTTGCGAGGGAGAGTTTGTTAGGAACTGGAATGAAAAGTAAACAGATATTTGATCGGATGCTCGTAGAATAATCTTCTGTAGGTTATCATGTTGTATGTCACAATTTATGGTCCAAGAGCCCGGCCCATGAATTATTTTACTTGGAAAAGATCAATTGAAACCTGTCAAACCAAAGCTGGCTAGCTGCATGGATGTCTAGACAAACTTCTAAAGTTTAAACATTTCCTAGTCGATGATAACTGATTGTAAAACTTTTATTACCTATAGGGTTTTTTTCCGGTATGTCAGAGCACCTAACAGGATTTCAGGTTTACTTAATGGTTCATGACATTACCATATATTTTTGTTATTCAGATAATTTCTGATGAGATTTCATGTCTGGTTTTAAGATGCAAGTTCTCGGGTTAGGATTTTTACACGCAACACGAAATGAATGCTTTGATCTAACAGAGTTTCTGGCAGATGGCAAGCCGATTTTTTTGCAATAGTAAAACTTTTTCCAGGTAAACGGTTCATAAGCTGGGCATTTATTAAATGACCATTAATTGGAACTATATCACTATACAGCAAGCAGAACAAAACAACTTGCGCGTGACCTATTAACGAAGTTCTTTCTTCATGTATAAAAGTATACCAGAAATCCAATTTTCAACTACCCTGCTACATAGATACAGCTAAATTTGACTGATGACTTGGGTCATGTTGACCTTGAGGCCACCACTGGTTCTCGGTTTATTTGGAAAACCTACGACTGGAGAAAATATCATAAGGAATGACCAAATTCTGGTCATATCTGCCAGAGATAAACCTACCCTACCATAATGTTTTATTTGGAATTTTTATCACTGCGTTTGCGATGTACCACATGAGATAGTCCATATCCTTCAATTTGGACCAAAATAAATTGATATGTAGCGATCTCAGCTGTTTTCAAATTTTTACATAAAGTAAGGATCAGTGTCGGCTCAAAATTGATATAACCCAGGCCGCTGTTCAGACACTACCGGATCCATGTGGTAGTCATTGAAAATTGGATCTCTTGCATCTGTGCAGAGCAGCGGCAAGTAGTTGACTCATGTCATATACCATATAGGTTATCATACATGGGCGTTTCAAATAAAAAAGAATTCAGTTAATAACTTGTACAGAACTTGTTTTATTCAATTTTAACGTCAGCATGACATTGGATCATCCTGTTTTTTATTCTTTGGTCACGGATGCATCAGAGATAAGTACAAACACAGGATAAATGCCTGACGTTATATCAATTTACGGAGCCTCTAAACGTGCAGAATTTTTGTTGCAATATTTAGCTTGAACTATTGCAACTATAGTTCAGCCATCATGAACATATTGCAACACATCACCCGCCTATATATCTCGGCTATATCTTGGCAATATTGCCTGCAAGGTATACATGCACTTTTCAAATTTCTCGTCAAAAGGGCTACTAATTAAGGCAACAATAACGAAATTATACTCGTCACGGCAACTTGCATTAAGTAAGTCAGTTCGACAATCGGATAGCAATATATGATAATAAGTCGGAAATTTCAAACATACATGTATGTAGCAACATAGTCGCACCATGCTTAAAATATTGCAGGCAACAAAATAATGCAGTAAACATTAAGTATCCAATTAGCTGATATATTAATCGGCCGATATGAATGTCCCAATGCCCTATACAGTAATGGACAAAAGTATATAGACAAATTAATATTGTGTTGTATTTCTTTTTTAACTTGTTTTATTAATACACCAACCTGTATACATAATTCGTTATAGCATGATACTTATACATAAATAAAAAATTAATTGAAAACACTGGAATAATATCTATCTCGTATTTGCTTATCTAAGTATTCCCATAGATTTTCAATGGGGTTCATATCGGGAGACTGTGAAGGCCATTTGGGAAATGGTATTTTTTCATCCAGAATGCATTTCTTTGCGAGATTTGAAGTGTGCTTCGGGTAATTATCTTGCTGGAAGATTGATCTTAAGTGCATATTGTCTTCCATATAGGGTAACATGACATGCTTTAGTATGTCTGTGTATACAAACTTATCCATAATGCCATCTATTCTATGTAAAGGTCCCATCCCAAACCCCGAAAAGCACCCCAAACCCAGACCCGAAACCATGTTTGACAGTGCGCAAAGTGTACTTGAGGTTCAATGTTTGTCCACTAGGACGTCTAACCATCTGATCCAAACGTATAGAACTTGGATTCGTCACTGAAACCTACCCTCTTCCAGTCACAGATGCTCCAATCAAGATGCTACCGTGCAAATTGTAATAGGTCCTTACGGTTATCCTCAAGATTAGCGGCTTCTTACTCGCGCGTACAAATAACTTCAAATCATTTAATCTTCTACTTATATAGTTTTCGTAGAAACACTGACAATTCTTTTTGTCTCGATTTTGTTTGTTTGTTTGTTTGTTTTTCTACTAATAACGCATTTGTTTATGGAGCAATGAAGTATGAATTCGTTTTCTAAAGGTATTTAGGTAAATATTCATATTTGTCTATATACTTGTGTCCATTACTGTAGGTCTGCCGATATAAATTTCGTACAATATCATTGAAATACCTACTTGTCAACTATACGTTGTGTGTTTAGCAACCAACAGACTTGTTTGAGTCCCACGTATCCACCCGAATGAGAATATTGTGTACGGAAAGCAACGGCCGATATATCGACGTCAAATATATCTGAATTGGCCGATTATCGGTATTGGCGAAAATCCACGATCGAACAATATCTTGTAAAAATGTTGCTCGTTTAGAGGCGAAATTATAAAAGTATTAATTATATAAATGCATAAAATCAATATAGACGATACTGCTATTCAAAAGCAATATTACACTTAGTGAATTTCTGCTATTCAAAAGCAATATTACACTTAGTGAATTTCAAAAAAAGCGCAAGCTTATTACGTTCTAAAAAATAACACAACATACTAAAATAAAGCTAAAGTTAAACATTTTAGATGAAATTAAACACAATTACTTTTACCATTCCAAACGGTATATTGTTAAAGAAACAAAATTTTCGTAGAAATGAGCATAATTCTCTTAAACTAAAAGCTAGTTTGCAAGACATGCAACACAACAAAAAAACTCTAACTGTTTAGTAACTTACATCCATACTACACAAAATATAAACTTTTGATATGAAAAATGAATGCTTAACACTAAATAATATGAATGAATATGGATGAAATAAATCTAAAAATAAAAAAGTGCAGTGGGTCAAATTGTGCGGGCAATATTCCAAATGTCGCCGTCTCTTCTCACGGTGTACACATATACAGTATTGACCATAATTAAAAGGAGAGTTATAAAAAATACATGTTTATTTACTTTTATAACTCATATGGCAATGTCAGTGACTTTAGCTTTCAGTAATAAAGACATTTGTTGACAAATGAATTCTAACACAATATTCAAATAACAAAATATGGTATGTAAGCTAACGTAGTCACGTCGCCAATACGGTTTATTTTTCAACATTCAGTCGAACGTTCAGAGTTTATCAACGCATTAAGATTGAAATCTACTTTCAGCTAAGACATCTACTATTAATACTTATTTTTTAATATGCAGATGCAACATGATAGATTAAATACACAAGCACAAGCATTAAGCATATACTGGAGCTATGATCGTCAGTAAAATATTTCTCAAGTGAAATCAAAATGTATTGTTGCATTGATACTTTTGGCAGTATACGAGCGTTAATTTTATTATATCTGAAATATTTTATTGACGATATGATGTGTTAGTCAAAATCAAGGATACATAAAATGAAATTAGTCTTTCCCGTTAGTTTTCCAAAACCAAAAAAATAATGAAAATGATCTGTAAAATGATGTAAATGAATGATCTACCAATCCACCATGTATTGTTATTCAATCATTTATTACAGATTCAATAACATTTTTGCAACCATTTTATGTAGAAAAAACAATTAGAATTAAGCTTGGTTGAGCAAGTTGCAAAGAATATTGTATGGAATACAAGATAATATGAAAATTGTTACAAAATTTAGGACATATCTGACAGTACCTTTAAATAATATTTTTTCAGTCTGAAATGGACGTTAGCTGAAAAAAATATTTTTCTGTAATAACGATAGGAACCATATGAGACAAAAAACGTTTTATTTGAGTATTGATTTCATCGTTATGTCCACAAGATACAAAGCCATCTCCAGAAATTCCTTTTTCTGACACCTGGAGATCTGTAAGTAGAACAAATAAACATATTCCTGGATATATCAATATTAGCCAAGATGTTTCTACGTGGAATAAAAAGTGTATGCGAAAAACATAATGTAAAATTCAAAGTAAAGGCGAGTGTAAGAATGAAACAAACATTGCAAAAACGTTATAAAATCAACAGACATAGTTAAATAATCTACCTCCCAATACATAGTGAATGCAACACTACATAAACAACACTGAGAATGAGCATACTTACATTTAGTAACACGCAGAGTTATTGGACGTCACTCGTAACGCAAAAACCAAAGAGAAAGACATTAAAAAAGGACAAACACATTTTTTCTATGACTAGTATTTTTATCTTCAAAAAATTCCAGCTTACAGAGCAACATGACTCTATCTATCAATGTTTTGCCCAAAAATGACTCTCGCTAGAAAACTTTGCTGCAGAACCGATTTTACGATAGTTTGTCGGATTGCTTTTCCTAAATTTAACAGGCAAAAATCTAGACAAAAAAAGTGAGGTATTTTTCGAGAGGATGAATATTTATGAACATTTTGTTGTACTATGCGAATATGAAACATGTATCTACTGATGCTATTAAATCAAATATATCTAATAGTACTACAAAGTGTCGTATCTTCGAGTTATAAGAAAAACCTTCAAATAAAATATTCTTGTAATAAACCAACTTTTCCCAGCAAAGTTTTCCAGTGAAACCATCCCAAAAACAAAGCATGATGAGCAACAATGTTAAACAAGCTTACCAATACATAAAAAGTATATTGAAATATGTTTTAACCATATTACGATTCCACCATCAATGACATGATGACTAGAACACACTATTCAAATGGTTATTTTATTTTCAATACTGAGAACAAGGTAAAAAGTTAAGATATATTTTAAAATCAATTAGGATAGAATATGATAGAAAAGGTGAAAAATTGTTGATGTGGATTTATCAGAATCCCAAATGAACAATTTTGTATGGACTTGACGTGCCAAGTAAAAAGTGTTGGAGGTAAAAAAATACTTTCGGGGCTTGAAGATCCGATATTTCAAAAAATATTGTTCAAATATAGAATTCCAAAAAAACGCACATTTGAATTTAGTAATAATATCATACTTGTTTATCAATCCCAAATTAGTAATAGGGTTCATTAGACAAACATACAAGTTAACAACCCGATATAAGAACAAATTCGTTTGAGAGAATTATTTATTTCCTACCCTTCGATGACTGTTACTATTTTATTATGTTGGGAGGTATTTGGTACATCAAAGTAAAACCAAAGTTTTGTCAAAATAAGGTAAAACATACGCACCTCTTCACTAGTCGATTTGTCCCTTCCTGATGGAGTTCCAGGACTTCCACTGGCCTGACTAAGAAGATCTGGTAGAACACTTTGCCTAGGATGATCGCCGCTTCTTCCGTTCTATAAAAAAATACCGAAGCAAACCTGTAAAGCTTCGTATACAAAATTTCACTTTATCAACCGTCATTATATATTTTCCCCGGAGTCATCCCTTTACCTGGCATATAGAGCTAAAACACACAGGTGTTCTCTGTCAACAAAAAATCCTCTTGGCCAAACGTGGCGTAAACAATTTCGGACTTTAATCAAAAGTATCGGTCACTCCGTGATTTGACTAAATCTGACCGCGGTTCTGGCTAAAAAGTAAATTTTTGTTGACTGTACCTGTGTATTAAATGAATAGTCTAGGTATTTAGCTTTGGGATGAATGACTCCAGCAAACAAGTCTCACCTGATACGGTTATTAACCACTAAACATAGCAAAATGGATAACATGATATGTACCTAGCTTTAATAAACTATCAATACATTAGAATGTTTTTCACACAAGAAGTACTACTATTCAAATTTTATAATAATGGTGAAATATATTTCAAAGTGATGTGCGAAGAAACGTATGAGAATATTTAAATGCAATACAAAATACGTATACATAGCATATGAAACCCCATTTAAATGGTAACTTTTGGCAAAAATAATATGCCTGTTTATTTTTTAACAGTCTGACGACATTGCAATTATCTTTAATATAACATTTGTTGTTGCAATACTCAGCTACAAGTATGACAACTGCAGCCTAGCCCATGAACAAATCGGTTATATATCTCGGCTATATCTTTGCAATAAATACAGAGAAATAAAAATATCATTAACGAGGTAATGTGTACGAGAGAGAAGCGTGCAATATTTAACAGGGTGCGGCAGAGAGGACGGACGTTTTTGGGATGGGTAGTACTCTCCGCATCCGTCTACGAGAGAGGTGGGGAGGGTGCCGTTTGACTCGTGTGATCCTAGCATTATTTTACCAGTTGTCGTTATGGAGCCTTGGACGGTGGAGCACCGCGTTTTCGCCTATGAAATAATGAGTCAGTCATCGTCGTTTAGCGCGAGTTTCGTCGCCACTTCAACATTCATCGGAATAGAGCTGTTCCCTCTCGAAACACCATCCTTCGTTGGGTTGAATCACTTCGCGGGCGTGGTGAACTGATCAACAGAAGACCAAGAGGAGCGCCGCGAACAGTTCGAACTCCTGAAAATGTCCGACTCGATGGATCTCCGCTTTCACCCCTACAACTTGGCCATTGTGCAACAGTTACAGCCCGGAGATTATGCACAACGAATGAACTTCGCACGTGAGATGGAAGCACTGATCGATCAAAATGATAACTTCACCAGATTTATCTATATGCTATTTTTTTTATGGGGACACCTCAAGGCTAGAGTATACGCGAACAAGCCCCGAACTCTGGACGAATTGAAGGGCGAAATTCGCGTGGAAGTCGCCCAAGTTGAGAGAGCGATGTTGGAGAGAGTCTACGCGAACTTCCAAGAACGCCTCCAGCACTGCATCAACGATTTCGGCCACCACATGCCTGATGTGACTTTCCACACTTGACTGTCTCAAATGCTATTTCCTTGTGAACCTGATTCCATCAATAAATTTGTTTTCGGGTAAAAATTAACTATTTTATGATTTTTTTAAAACCGTCCATCCTCTCTGCCGCACCCTGTATTAGATTGACGAAGGTTCCATCCAAGTTTCGACTATTTTATAAAATACTATTAAAAAAGACGAACTGAGCGCAAAAAACGCAAAGAACCGTATATGTAGGATTGCAACATAAATAAACATCTGGCGCTGTCAAAATATGTACATGAAAAACGCATATGCAGATAACTACAAGTTAGCTTCCAGGTTATAGTTAATTAACCAGAAAGTTAACTTGTGATTGAAAACCGTTACAGTCATTGAAAATCGAACCTCTCAGATCCATGACACTGTCCATTACCTACAACCAATGAAGTTATCACCTTCCTTCTATTATTGTATACTTTCAACTATATACAGGGTGTCCGCAAAGTTGGGGTTTTCCTTTTCAGAAACAACTACCCTTGAAATAAAGGTAATGTGTAGTGAAACGAGGGCGACCAAGTAAAAAAAAAATAAAGGAAAAAGTACTCACTCTCCAGTTGACGAGAAGGACTAAGTACGTCTCTGCCCGAAATCATACCGCCCCAACAGAAAATGAAATCAGCTGATGCGCTACCGAGCAGACGCAGAAACCACATTGATTGTCTTACACTTAATGGCACATCTTCTAACAAGGAAGGCAAATTGTTGCGTAAAACGTCTAGGTAGTGCATCCTGTCCCATCGATTTGGGAGAATAAATGGTCCAATGAGCATACCTTTCACCATGCCAGCCCCAACATTCACCGAAAATTTTTTGCTTGAAAATGTGTCCGACGGACAGCGTGCGGATTTTCTACTGACCAAACATGAGGGTTGCGAAAGTTATTCACCCCATTACGCGTGAACGTAGATTCGTCTGTCACCAATATGCACTTCAAAAAGTCCGGATTATTGTCATGTTGATGCAACAACCACTCACAAAACTGCACTCTTGCTGGAAAATCGTCAGGTTGAAGGGCTTGTACACGTTGGACGTGAAACGGATACAGCCCCTCTTCACGCAGCGGTTGCCACACTTTAGTTTTTGATACTTGCACTTCTCTAGCCACGTCTCTAGTGCTTGTTGAGGGATTCTCGTCTACGCGATTACCTCTACACGCGTGACCGTAACCGTCGGTTGAAGGTTGCATACTGACCTGACACACTGACCTCGACCCAGTTCTGTCGTCGGGTTGAGCTACTGTCCTAGTACCACTCGGGGATGTCGCGGCTACAGGACGGTATTCAGATATTTTTGATGTTGCAGAGCCTTTATCTCGGTTCCCTTAAGACATTGGTGTATATATTACTAAGAAAAATTGCTTATGTTTTCAAGATCTACACGTCGTGTAAAGGAAAACCCCAACTTTGCGGACACCCTGTATATATTTTGCGCTCGAGCAAATGCTGCAGCTGCCTTCCAATACAATTATTGCTCAGAACGAATATACAATATTATCTTTGACAAAAGTTCCATATAGTAACACTAGCAAATAGTAAGACTAACTAATGCACACACGATGAGAACATTGTTAACAAACACAAAACGGCCTCGAGTATACACGTAACACAAGACAAGTGGTAGTGAGAATTACTCAAAAGATGGCAGCAGCCTCGCAATGTCTCTTCGTTCATGCTCTCTCACTCTCTGCTCTTTTTTCAATGTCACTCGAGTCATGCTGAAGGCTTTTTATTATGTGAGATAGGGGGTAGCACTGCATTCCGACGGTAGGTTGGTGAACTCTCTCCTATACATCTTCAGTATTATTTTTGTGTTTTTTTTGAGGTGTGTGGAAATTGTTTGGTGTTAGGGTGTGGTTAATAAAAGCCGAGTTGTTTTAAATAAAAGGATGTTTCTTCAAAAGGGGCATTTAGAATGGAATCGTCCAAATTTTGGGGGCATTTCTATTTACTGCTAACTAAAATTACATTGAAAACATATATCAGGTACTTTGAATTAAGTTCTATATTTATTTACTTAATAAGTCTGACAGGACAGGGTCTAGTGCAACTACATGTCAAGTATCAAAATGACAAGGAAACACACGAGATGTTACTAAAATGTTCTGTTTCAAATAAAATTGTCCCCTTGAACGTACTTGTAATCTCTACACGATGCTATTTTTTACACTGATGTTTCAACGGTTATTTTAGATACTAAAATGTTATCTCAAGGGAGATTAGGATCGAGAAACCCAAAATTTACAGCGATTTTCAAACCTCACTTATTTTTTGAGTGGGTCAAGTGTAAGCTAAAATTCTAGGTGGTGAAATTGATGTACGAATATATTGCCACAGCCATCTTGGCGGAATGGAATATAAATTCAAAACGTCGTAGTATATGATATGAATTCATTTTTACAATTCTTCTTTTGGGAGGGACTATCTGAATATTTAATAAAATATAAAACATTCCAATGTCAGAATTTGTACGTTTTTTAAACGAAATACCGTCTATAGTTCGTTGAATATTCATTTAGATCCTTTGAATATAATTTGGCATACGTACAGTATATGATTTGGAGATAGCAGATTCCATTCTAAATAATTTCAGGTTAATTTTCAGGGTCTTTGTCCAGGATCATTTCGAGCTTTTCCTAATTCATTTATGCACGATATGTCTGTGTAAGGTGCCAATAACTTTAATTCACCAGACATGAAGACTAAATTGCATCATTGTATATAATTTACAAAAATATTCAATTCAATAATATTTTTAGTAAAACTAATAATTATTTTTAAGTTAATAAAATAAAATACATTGAAATACGATCCTGGATACACCTCCTAACTTCAATTGGTTCATGCATTTTTTTAGTAAAAAGCCATCAAGATCTGTTTATAAACAAATGGACTGAATACTGAAACCTGATTGGGTTAAAAATTGATTTGCCAATCCCACACCGTTAGTTTTTTCTTGAGGCGCTTGGCGATATTATACAAATGAAACTGACTGTAAGTCGTCTATTGCCATCTACATATTTGCAAAGAAAAACAAGATACTAGCTTTCCTTTTCCTTAATAAAGACTACAAAAATCTATTGACTACAGATTATAAGTAAAAACTGTTTTACTGCAAACTACGATAAACTATAATTCACCAAGTTTAAGGATAAGTATAGAACTATGATAAAAAGGCTAATTTACTAGGTTATTACAAGTGTTCATAAAATGTATTAAGCATTCAAGATTTAAAAATATAAAGAGTGTATAGGTTACCTAGGAAAAAATATTTGACGGAAATAAGAGTTGCTAAACTATGAAAATTTTAATATTTTACATATACAAAAAGGTACATAGCCCGACACCAACAAGCATGAATAATGGCTCAAGTAATAAACAAACGAAGTAGTCCAGTTTGCAAAAAACAGAGGAGAGTTAAACCACCACGAAAACATCCTCAAAAATCAATATTACTATCACTTCATACGCGTCAATATTAGTCCATGATTATCGATATCTTATCATATCCCCTCAAGGTATAATAATTATAATAATTTTTCACAGACCCTTTAGGAGTATATGTCATATTTTTTTACGAATTTGATACGAGTATCGCAAAAGTCAAACTCGACGTTTTGATGATTTTAATCGCAAAGTTGAAGCAAAATATTAAGGGTTTACTATTTCCTTCTATTATGAATCCTGTACGCATTATTGGAAACATCATAAGCAGACATCAACAGACATACAGTAATGGACAAAAGTATAAGACAAATATGAATATTTACCTAAATACCTGTAGAAAACGAATTCATACTTCATTGCTCCATAAACAAATGCGTTATTAGTAGAAAAACTAAATTCCTTGTTTTTACATTATTTGCAATGAACACAATACAAGTCTGAATAAAAGCACTTTTTTGAGGGACAAAAATACGTAGACAAATTCTTTTCAACATTAGTTTGTGTTCATCGAGTATTGTGGAATAAGTCGAGTGATTTTAAGACCATGCCGCGTGGTCCAGAAATTTCTTTCGATGTGAAAACTACGATCATTGAGTCATACAAAGATGATCAACGTCAAGTCGACATTGCCAAAAATTTGAAGCTGAAGCGTAAAGCAGTTTGGGCAATATTGAACAAATATAAACAAAAAGGTATCTTGGAAGCCTCTAAAAGTGGTCGCTCTAGAAAACTAAATGCTACATCAGTTAGATTAATAAAAGTAATTTCGTCCAAACATCCGTTTAAAACCCCAAGACAAATAAAAGCCGAAATCGAGACAAAACGAATTGCCAGTGTTTCTACGAAAACTATAAGTAGAAGATTAAATGATACATACATACAATAGATGGCATTATGGATGTTTGTATACACAGACATACTAAAGCATGTCATGTTACCCTATATGGAAGACAATATGCCCTTAAGATCAATCTTCCAGCAAGATAATGACCCGAAGCACACTTTAAATCTCGCAAAAAAATTATTTCTGGATGAAAAAATACCAGTTCTCAAATGGCCTTCACAGTCTCCCGATATAAACCCCATTGAAAACCTATGGGAATACTTAGATAAGCAAATACGAGATAAAAATTATTTAAACAAGGATGAACTTTTTGCCGCTTTAGAAAAGTGGAGACGGATTGATGAATCTTATACCTGTATCACGAAACTTCTACAATCTATGCCGAGACGATGCCAGGCGGTGATTGATAATAATAGTTATGCTACAAAATATTAACACAAACATGGTTGGTTTTCTATAATTCAATAAACTTTGCTTCTTTTTTCTATAATTCTTTTGCTTTGTCCTTCATAGTTCCAGTTTTTTTCAATTAATTTTTTATTGAAGGGAGTCTAATGAATTTATTTATGTATAAGTGAGTATTATGCTATAACGAATTATGTATACAGGTTGGTGTATTAATAAAACAAGTTAAAAAAAGAAATGCAGCACAATATTAATTTGTCTATATACTTTTGTCCATTACTGCAGGTGTACAGTCTGATTCAGAACATTATTGGCAATACTTCTAGAGCAGGAAGTATATCAAAAATAAAAGGGTTTTTAACCGATTCCTCCGTGTAACAGACGGTCTGTGCCACCGAGAGCACTCATAGTCGCTCAGCTACTTGCTGTCAGAATGAATCCGCTCAATAACAAAGAAACATTCACTCTCCTCCGTCATTTTGGAAATTGAAACCCACATCGGTTGCCCAAATAATATAATGATCAGTATTCAGCACCCAAAATATACACGTATTAATAAAAATTAACTAGGTATTAGTCTTCAAGAATCTGTATGTACATAGGCAAATCAATAGGGAATGAAAAATCAGTCTATGGCAAAAAATCCTACGAAGATACCGACTATGCCACCACAAGGGAGACAATCTGCAGTCATGTGATATTGCTTATCACTAGCAACTCTTCAGTCGAGAATGCTTTTATGCATTATAATAGGGATGATACAACACAGAATGAGTTTCACAAGTTCCATGGATATTTCTGCAATGATGACATTTTCAGTACATCCCCCAGCAGTCATCACATTTGCCAGATTTCTTTTGGCTACATTTAGTGTAAAGGTGCTACTCTGATAGTCCTCCCTTTCTCATGAGATGCGCCTGGTATTTCATATTAAGTCAGCTTAACATCCATACGATGGCACAGTCAGTGTCCACCTAGCATTTTCGTCGCGAAAACGTCCCCTATTGATCGACCTGATAATGAAAGTTAGAAGCACCCGAAAGACAAACCAAAAAAGTTACCTGAACAAAAGAAAATTCATCTCCGGCAGTGGAATTGGACCCAGTGGAACTGTTTGAAATGTTCGACGTGTTAAGCGAGTTCACTTCGGCCGGTTTTGAGCTCCGCCTTCTCATACTCTCCGCCTCTTTGGCGAACTGCGATTCGACTTCGCGTCTTCTCGCCTCCAGAGTTTCTCTTATACTCCGTCTCACTTCGGAGTGTCTCAATACGATGTCGGATTCTGTTTTTTCGCGTCTGGGACGCATGAAATTACTCAACAGGTTGTTGTTTCTGTTCATCTCTTTCGTAGGCGTGGAAGAGGAGACAGCAGAATCCCCCTTTTTGACGTAGTCCATCAACACCGGCTCCCCGGAGGACTTTTTCGAAATGCCTGCGTCAGAGCCTCTGCGATTGTTGAAAATACCGCTAGACCTGACGTTTTTGTCGATGTAGATTGCCGAGTGACGAGAGCTCATCGGGAAAAAGTCTGAGTTTTCTCTACGAAAACCGCGGAGGAAGGGATTGGAGATCTTGGAATCGCTATCCATCCTGCGGTGACCTTTGTCGTCTGCGCCCTTCGGTGTTGGGTTCGAACTTGATTTGCTGGGGAAAAACTTGTCAAAGTTCCATTCTTTAAGCAGTGTGGCTTCGTCGATGTCCTCGTCTACGTGCCTCTGTTTGTGCGGAGCGGACTGCTGCCATTTTTTGAACATGGAAATGTTGTATTTACATGTACGCAGGTTAAAGTGCGTTTAAGGGAACTTCTTATCATTGGATTAGGATAATACCGAGTTGGTCCGCGTACAAAACAATGCACACGCACTTTTAGGGAGTTAGTAACTTAAGTCAAAGTTTTATACACATTTTCGCTTTCGCTGTGTTACCTTTTTTAAAAATCGCTAAAATCGGATCATTCGTTCTCGAGATGACTAGCGCAATAGCCAGGAATAAAATGTACCTCAAATCATCGCACATATAACTGCAGAGAACGCGTATAGCAGTAACGAAATCGTACGAATTTTCTATATAGTGAGCAATCTACGAGGGATGTCTTTTAAGTTTTGCATATAGAAACATAGTAGGCCGCGCGGATCGAACGTCAGTACTAAATCTTCACCTCACTCTTTAGTAAACTTAAATTCAATGTTTCACAACAATACGTGCAGTGTTCTCACTACAGTGAATTTTCAAGTGTCACCAAGTCATTAGAAAAATGGAACTCAACCGAGAACATTTTCGCGAAATAATTTATTACAACTTTCAGAGACAATTATCGCAACAAAAATGCCTTGCTGAGTTACTATCTGTTTTCGGCAACGAAGCGCCACATCATCATTGAAGATAGACATGTGACATATCGCGAGATTGAGGCGTCTTTGAAGATTTCAAAGACCGCAATTCAAAAAATTTTACATGAAGAATTAGGAGTAAGAAAATTAGTTTCTCGTTGGATACCCCACCTGTTGACTGAAGAGCAGAAAGCAGCCAGGGTTAATTGGTGTCAAAAAACGCTTGACCGTCTCAATTCCGGAAACTCAAAAAATGTGTACAGCATTGTTAGTGGTGATGAATCGTCGATTTACTGTTATGAACCAGAAAATAAACGACAGTCGGCTGTTTGGGTGTTCCAAGGTGAAGAAAACCCAACAAAAGTCATCCGTTCTCGAAGTGTCGCGACATTTGTATCAAAATCGGGTCATATTGCAACAATTCCCCTTAATGAGCAAAGAACTGTTACTGCGGATTGGTATACGACCATTTGTTTGCCAAAAGTCATCACCGAGCTTCGAAAAATCAACCACGAAAGAAGAATCATCCTCCATGCAAGCTCGCACACAGCCCAAAAAACAAGGCAGTATTTAACGGAAGAAAACGTGGAATTACTGGACCATCCTCCATATAGTCCCGATCTAAGTCCTAACGATTGCTTTACTTTCCCGAAAATTAAAAACAGACTGCGTGGTCAAAGGTTCCAGTCACCAGAAGAAGCAGTTGACGCATTCAAAAATGCCGTTTTGGATCTCCCAGCAAACGAGTGGAATAAGTGCTTCGAAAATTGGTTCGAGCGCATGCAGATGTGTATTAATCTTCGTGGAGAATACTTCGAAAAACAATAAAGTCATTTAAAACTACCTACCGTGTAGTTTTATTTCCATATAGAAAACTTAAAAGACATTCCTCGTAATAGGACAAAAACGATGATAGATATTTCAAAAAAACATAAAAGCGAATTACCGTTGCAGTAGTATTGTGATGCTGTTGAAAAAGTATATTTTGAGGCTTTTGAACATTCCTACAATCAACACCATCTGGACTATGAATCTCTCAAATCTCTAGACAAATATTTCAAAAAACACACATGGATTTTGTTTAAATTTTGGGGTAATGTTTTCAACACCCTCGAGTTATAAATCAATTTACGAAACATCGAAAATTGTCGTGAGTAAAAACAACCCCTACCCTAATTCACCAGAATGATATATTCTTTAAACAGAGGCGGACCAACTCGGTTATATTTTGGTCTATGGTGAAGTAGGGTAGCTTAGTTAACTGTACATACTGTATTTACAGAACATTCTAGCCTGAAAACAATTTTACTCCATTTTCCAAATTAAAAAAATAAACAAGCTTAAATAAAGTGGCTTCCAATTCAGAGTTTAGTTACCTTCACCATATACACCGTTTATATACAATTAAATTTTTTATATGCACTTGTGGGTTTTCCTTACAACAGATTTCGTGTAAGCTAGTAATTGTGGCGTTAATCAAAATGAATAAATGAATGATTAGCATTATTAGATTGAATCGCTGCGGTGCTATTTAAGCTTGAAAAAGACATTGCAAAACAGCAAACATTGGATCATTAGTATTCCTTTGAGTTTGTAGCATCGTTGGAAGTATCATTACGTAAATTGTGTCTCAACATCAACAAAACGTTAACCAAAATAATATTTATCAGCAGAAGATCATGTAAATTCAACTAAATAATTATATAGAAATAAATTTTCCAACAAAAATTTCTCCTACATTCGGGTTCGTATCGAAAACTATTCTGTTTTGTTACCTGTGACTTCGTACGCTTACCATTGATAACCAAAATTTTCAAATTGACATATTGTAAAGAACCACGTTTTATATACTAAGTGACATATAAATCCGAACACCCAGTTTAAATGGTTTTATTTTAATAAAATTTTGTATAAGTACTTAATGAAGCATAATAAGTAAATGATAAATATTTCAAAATGATTGCACTGCGTTAAAGCCCTTTGACCTTTAATAATGTGTGGATGCACCCTGATGTGCTACGCATTCTCCAACGCGCCTAGGCATGCTTCTGATCAGGTGGTCAATGTCCTCCTGTGGTATCTCATTCCAGGCAACCACCAACTCCTCTCGAAGTGCTTCTAGAATCTAAGGAGGACGTTGCAAATTGAGCAATCTACTACCCATCATATCCCACACGTGCTCAATTGGGGATAAGTCGGGAGATCTTGGTGGCCATGGTAACAATGTGACATCATTATGTTGAAAGAAGTCTATTGTGACTCTTGCAACATGTGGTCGGGCATTATCTTGTTGGAAAGTTAGATCTGCCAGGGTGTCAAGACAGGGTAAAAGATGGGGTTCTAGAACTTCGTGGATATAACGCTGCGCGTTCATTTTACCTCTGATGAAGATTAAAGGTGACCTGGAACCATAAGCTATAGCACCCCAAACCATAACTCCAACAGTGTGATGAGCATGTCTTTCAACAAAAAACTGTGGATTCCTCCTTTCACCACGTCGCCTTCTAACCCTGGTACGACCATCGTGCATGCCTAAACAAAATCGAGACTCGTCACTAAAGACAATACTGTTCCATTCCTGATCCCAGAGTGACCGTTGTCTGCACCACTCAAGGCGATTACGTCGGTGTTCTCGAGTTAAAGGGAGGACCCAGTGTGGCCGGTATGAAAACAAGCCAAAACTTCTCATTCGTCGGTAAACACTTCGCATGCCAATAGGTCTTCCGTGTTCTGCAAACCATTCATTTGCAATGGACCTGGTAGTGGAGAAACGGTCCCTTAAGGCCAATAATCTTAGGCGGCGATCTTCACGGTCTGTTGTTCTACGGCGGCGTCGAGTGCCCCTTGCTCTTTGCGTACGGCCTTCTCGAAGCCATGCCTGACAACACCTAACCACAGTGTCTACACTTCTTTCCACTCTAACTGCAATTGCCCGAAAAGAAAGTCCAGCTTCCCGAAGTCCCACTATACGGCCCCTATCAAACTCACTAAGTTGACGAAATCGTACAGGTCTCCGTACTCTAGACATCGTAACCGATCGTAAAGGATGTCAAGAACTAAAATCCGCCAACGTTGATTCTTTACTGCGGCTGAAATATTCATTTTTAGAGCGTTAGTGAATTAAAAAAAAAGCAGTATAAAAACCGAAATGTCCAACTGATAAGGCTGAAAATTTTTTCACTTGTTATTTACAGTAAGATAAATACATTCACCAACTTTTATTAAAATAAAACCATTTAAACTGGGTGTTCGGATTTATATGTCACTTAGTATATTATAAAAGCTACCCCTATGCCACTATTCTGGTCTAGTTATGAAATGTGAATATGTATAAAAATGTAACACCCCATAAACTTGTTAGTTCCCTTCTATTATAAAATCCATTCTGGGTTTAAGTCTAAAGAACCTAATTTTGTACACTTTTTAGGCATCTAGCAGAAACCTCCAAGGAAATTCAACGTGTGCTCCTTAACCTACTTAATTCTGATCAAAAAGATGAATAGAAAAAATTTCAAAAATTGAGAATATGACATAGCCCCAAAGATTGCTAAAAAAACCTGAGTTCCTTTGCTCACCCTATACAAGTGGATAAATAACAGAAACATACCGCGGTCGAACCCTGTACGTGTTCTCAAAGAGTTGGTCAAGAACCTCCCGAATACCGTAACTCTATATCTCTGTCCGTTTCGAAAATATGGAAATTTGGGTAAAATTTTCAATGTTGCAAAGCATCTATCCACCAGTTTATATTGTGCAACTATTTATGTTATACTATGAAACACTAGTACTGTATTCTTTATTGTTATTCCTGCGATTGGTTGCAAACCTGTCGGAACAACGACTATTATTATTACTAACCACATTGTAGGAGAAACCTTTCTTGGATTTCCCTTGTTACATTCCCATTGCAAAACTACACTCCACCACGCCAATAATTGGCTCCACCTACCACCTTTACCCCAACTCACCTTCCTGAGCACCAGCGTCCTGTCACCCTGCGACTCGTCGTCATCCGGCGTCGGCGGCAGCGGCCGATTAGGGGCGCTGCCCGTCGTGCTGCTGGATGTAGCGCCGCCTCCCGGACTGGAGACTCCGCCCCCTGAGCCGCTCTCAGGCACGGCGCTCAAACCCGCCCTGTAAGAAAACTCGGGACTGAAGGAACAACGGGGCGGGTTCAAAACAAGTGTGTAACGCAAACAAATTCACAAACAAAAAAATGAAGGGCGATATAGATGGTTAAATGAAGTGGGGAGTGAGAACGAATAAAATAATACGTTAAGAAAGGAGGTGACAGGGAAAAAAAGTTGAGTTAGTATAATTGTTTGATATAGGGTCACATTTTTAGAATTTCGTTTTATACAAAGGGTACTATAAAAGTTTTGTAATATGACTTAACAAACTGAAGCAGGAGGCTGCATGTTGAGACATGTCCATGAGTGCATAGTAGCCGCCAGCAGCACGTCTGCTGATTTAGTTGTTCATTCGTATTAACAGTGTAAAGTGCGGACTATGGCATCGTGGTCACGTAGTGACATAAAGGCAGTTTTACGATATAACTTTACGCGTGGTTTAATCATAGACGAGAGATTATAAAAAATTACGCTTGCATTAAAGAATGCTTGTCCTCACCGTACGACTATATTCAGGTGGTACAGAGAATTAAAAAGAGGCAATTTCACTCTGGACGTCAGTAACAAAGGAAAACACTGCTGTGAGAAAAATGCTTGACGAATACCGGAGAGTGACACACCAACAGATAGAGGAGACCTTACACCTTCATTCAATTCTGCATGAACATTTATATGTAAGGAAACTTTGTTCTCTCTGGCATAGTCTAACGGAAGAGCAGAAGTACTCGTCGTACGACTTGGTGCCGAAAGATACTGAAAATGTTTGATAAGGGGCAATCTCGGTATGTGAACAGCAACAAAACATTACTGCTAGGAGGAAAATGCTTGACGAAGACCGGAGAGTGACATACCAACAGATAGAGGAGACCTTACACCTTCATGCACCAGCAATTCATTCAATTCTGCATTACCATTTCCACGTAAGGAAACTGTTCTCTCTGGATACCACATAGTCTGGAGGAAGAGCAGAAGACACGTCGTACGACTTGGTGAGAAAACATGCTAAAAATATTTGATAAGGGGCAATCTCGGTATGTGAACAGTATCGTGACAAGTGACGAGACTCGGCTCTATTATTACGATGTGCCGACCAAGGCCCAAAGCAAAGTTTGACTCTTTGAATGATGGGAAGGACACTCCCGTAGCTGTCAGAAAATCCCGATCTGTTGAGAAAAAAATAGCTATAATTTTCAAATCGAGCGGGATTGTGGAGCGTGTCGTTTTAGGCACACAGAAGACAGTCACAGCTAAGTGGTACACGGAGCAGTGCCTGTGTAAAGTCATACAGTCTATGAAAAAATTCGAGGCAACAGATTCTGTGGCAAATCTGCCAGGCTCTGGCCGGCCAAGGAGCGTTCGCACACCGGAAAATATTGCTGTTGTGAAGGAGAGTGTGAGAGACGATCCGAAACAATCAACAACGCGTCGATCCCAAGAATTGGGCATTTCGAGAACCAGTTTGCTCCGCATTCTCCACAAGGATTTGAGTGTACACGCCTACAAGATCCAATTGACGCAAGAGCTGCGTCGGGCCGACCATTTTTCGCGCCGAACGTTCTAAGATTGGCTCCTTGAACAACGCCAAATTGATGCCAATTTTTCATCAAAAATCATGTTCAGCGACGAAGCGCATTTCACTTTGAATGGGACGGTAAACAAGCAAAACTGCCGCATCTGTGCGAACGAAAATCCCCGTGGGTATCAAGAGCAGCCGATGCATCCTTAAAAAGTGACTGTGTGGTGTGCATTGTGGTCAAAAGGCATCATCGGACCTTACTTTTTCGAAAATGCGGCCGGGGACGCCGTTACCGTCAATTCTGAGCGATATCACGTGATGATAGAGGACTATTTTTTGCCGCAACTTGAAGGAATGGATATGGACGATGTATATTTCCAACAAGACGGTACATCATACCACACAACCAACGTCAATATCCATCGATTGCAGTCCTTCTTCGGTGATCGCGTGATTTCGCGAAGAGGAAATGTGCCATGGCCACCAAGATCGTGCGATTTGACTCCCTTGGACTTCTTTTTATGGGGATATTTGAAAAGCAAAGTCTACGTCAACAAACCAGCCACCCTCCAAGAACTCAAAAACAACATCACTGCCGAGATAAATGCCATAGAACCGACCATGTTGCAAAATGTCATTGAACATTTCGACCATCGCGTGGACGTCTGTAAATCCAATCGTGGTGAACATTTGAGCGATATTATTTTTCATACATAAATGGTATAAATGAACCTTCAAAATAAAGTACCCAACTTTATTTGAATATCAATATTGCTTGTTTTAATATGCGTTTACTTTCCTGCGTCCGTTTTGGACAACCCCATAGTACCCTTTGTATACTTCAGGATTTTTCCATTTTTATGAGTTGTATGACTCATACTCACAGTGGTTTTGGTGGATCGCTAGCCAAGAGCGTGCCATCGTTCCTGACGCCTCGTCCGTTATCCTCCGGCTCTGAATCGGTTTCGCTGTCCACCAACACGTCAGCAGCAGCCGCGACCGCCCCATTGTTGTTGTTGTTCGTCGTAGGAGGCGGTTGCTGTTTCCTGTTGTTCCTCGGAGGAGCTTCCGGTTGGGAATTGGGCTGTTGTTGCTGCTGCTGTTGCACGCCCAGCTCGTTCAGATGAGCCGCCAGAGCGTCCAGTTCCTGAATAAGATGACGAACAATTAATTATCTATGAATGTATACCTAACGTATGTCCTAAAAGATTTGGCACAAAATATTTATCGGATTTTTTTTTAATGAAGACATTTATTAGTGATCATAAATAACAACTCAATATTTTACTATTAAATTATGTGAAGGGGCTCATTCTGCTTTCCTGTCACAACATTTAACTTGCATATACAGTGGAATCCACTTATAATGAACTTGCTTCTAATGGAAACTCGTATATAATGGACACAATTTAAGGTCCTATAAATCATTACATGTAATACTGTATTTTAAATTTTTTTTTTAAAAAAAGGTAATATAATACCGATACATAAATCAGGAACAAAAACAGATGTTAACAACTATAGACCAATATCAATAATATCCAGTGTAGCAAAGGTTTTTGAAAAAGTTTTATCTACTAGAATGATTCGATACCTCACAAAATTCAAAATTTTAAGTGAAAATCAATATGGATTTACAGAAGGGAAGGCTACATCGGACGCAATAACTAAAATTGTAAATCAAATACATCAAAATATTGATAACAGAATCCCTTCAATCTGCATTTTTGTTGATTTAAAGAAAGCTTTCGACACAGTTAATCACAAATTATTATTAGAAGCATTGGAGAGAATTGGTTTCAGAGGAAACGCGTACTCACTGATCGAAAGTTATTTGTCAAATCGCCCACAATCTGTGCAGATATCAGGATCATTTAGTAAAGAAATGTATATTAAGTGTGGTGTCCCACAAGGAACTGTCTTAGGTCCGCTGTTATTCAATATATATTTAAATGATATTTTCCAAATTAATTGTGTTGGCAAAATAACTAGTTTTGCAGATGATACTGCAATATTATATGAAGGCACTGACTGGTCTGATCTGAAAAATGTAATTGAAAATGATTTTATCAAAATTATTCGGTGGTTTAACAGTAGAAAATTAAGCATTAACTACTCTAAAACACATTTTTTACCATTTGGATCTTATGCTAGACACCTGCCAAGTTACACAAATTTCTCCTTCAATATTAATGATCAAAAAATGCAAATTAATAGAGTGCCCAACATAAAATACCTTGGTGTGGTCTTGGATCCTCACTTACGATGGAACATCCATGTCAATTATATTTTGAAGAAAGTTAGATTTGTATCCTACAAAATTAAATACCTTGGCAATATATTAACAGAAAAATATCTTCGAACATTATACCATGCACTGATTGAGCCTCATCTCACATATGGTATATTAGCATGGGGAGCTGCATGTTCCTCACATATCTATAATTTAGATGTTTTTCAAAAAAGTATTCTAAAAATGATATTTAAAAAACCGAAACTTTATCCCACTGAAAAATTATACGCAGATGTTCGAATGTATGATATAAGACAGCTTTATTTCTTACCCAGTATCACTCACTACCATAAATTTGGAAACACCGACCAAAAAATTAAACATAATCATTATACCAGGTACAAAATTCGTGGCACAGTAGTTCCTCAACCGCATAAATCTATAATGCAGCGATCATATCTCTATTTAGCGCCTAAATTTTATGAAATTATACCTAAAGACTTAAAAAATTTACGTTTCGGAAATTGTTTCAAAAGAAATTTAAAAAAGTGGCTACATTCTATATCTAGGACTGAAATTCATAAACTCATAAATACGAAGATCAACTAAATACATAATCTACTGTAGCTAATTTTTGTCCTTTTTTGTCATTTGCATTCTACAGATTCAACTTAAATTTATTGGTCCATGTACAGGCGATGCCTTCTATTGGACCTGTTTTGATTTTATATTTATTTACTAATATTGTTTGTTATCTTTGTACATTGAGTGAATAAATATTATTATTATTATTATTATTTATTAGAGTTATAAACATGTCGAAAAGCGCATTCACTTTACACGAAAAGTTTACAATAATTGGTGAGGTTGAGCAGGGTTCATCACAAGCAAATATATGTGCTCGTATGGCTATAAAATAATCCACTGTGTCAAATATTTGGAAAAACCGTGACAAAATTAAAAATGACTGGGAATCAAATAATGAAAAGACAAAAATGCGACTATCGCTGCATCCCCAAGTCGATGATATGCTGTTTAAATGGTTTCAACAAAAGCGTGCTAATAATTTTTCAATAAGTGGACCTATGCTACAAATAAAGGCTGAAGAATTTGGGAAATTGATTGGAGTTTGATTCAAATGTTGTTCCGGTTGGCTAGACAGCTTCAGTTGACAAGAACGTTACCAGCGACTGGATTTCTCAAGTTTGGCTCGTAATATAATGAAACCGGGATTTTTTATAGAATGCTACTAGATAAAACTCATAAATTAAAAGGTGAAACTTGCAATGGAGGGAAACTATCAAAAAAGCGAATAACTGTTATGATTTTTGCTAAAGCTTCTGGCACTGAAAAACGGAAACTAGAAAAAGAAATTCATCTTCTAATTTTTTTAATATTTAATGGCAGTGCTGCAAAGAATTTATGACCTTTTCCTTATTTCAGGGAAAATTAAGAATCCCAGGTGTTCCAAAAATGTTAAAACAATTCCCGTCGATTATGTTGGAAATAATAAAGCTTGGATGACTTCATCAATTTTTGAAGAATATTTAAAGAAGTGGGACGCTGAACTTGTTAAGAAAAATCGTAAAATTTTGCTCTTGGTCGATAACTGCCCCGCTCATCCGAATATTTCACTTAATAACATCAACCTTCAATTTTTTCCACCCAATCTGACATCAGTTCTGCAACCAATTGAACCAGGATGTAATTTGGAGTCTTAAACAAATGTATTGGAAATATATGTTGATGAAAATTACGGAGCTTCAAGAATATGTCAACATTACCAAAGCTGTCACCATTTAAGATGCTATACATTTAATAAACATAACTGAAATAGTAAAAGATTTTAATCCAGAAGATGAAATTCCAGTGATTTACTGAAAATTAATAGTTTGCTGAATATAGACAAATTTGATGAGTATGTAAATGTTGACAATAATTTAATAGAAACACAGGAATTGTAAGACTCCAATTTGGTTAATGAAGGATCCGTTGATAATGAACAGAAAGACGAACTAGAAAACAACGATGAAGAAGAGCTTCCAGTGACAACTAAGGAGGCATTAGAACGCGTGAAAAAGTTGCTACGTTATTTTCAGCAAGAAGAAGACAGTACAGCCACACTTATCAAATTAAATAAAATTCAACTTGCTGTTCTAAATAATTATACAAAAAACAGTTTTTTACCAAATAATTTACGGTTTTTACACATACCTACACGGTACATATGCCTGTAATGTGTGTGTCAGATTCTGAGAAAATGCTCATTTTAAAATTACGTATAACTTTTTTGTATGTATATTTATCATGTAATACATTTTAAGCTTTTAATATGTTATTCCAGCTGCTTTTTTCATTAAAAAAGGTGTTTCTTTTAAGATAGTCATCCGCCTATAATAGACTATTTGTCACAGTCCCGCCGAATCCATTATAAGCGGGTTGCACTGTATGTTTTGCGGCTAACAAGAGCCGGGATTTATAATACATAACAAATGGAAACATCTGGATCTAAGAATGCGTTTGTAAATCCCTGCTAATGTAATCCTGTACACAGAAATGGAATGTAACTTTATTCTTTCGTAGAACGCCTGAGTCATGTAATGTCACTTGATGACAGCCCACTAATTTCCAACCACGTTTTCTACGACCATCATTTTTAATAATATGAAACGCTCTGGATACGAGGTAGCCCATCTATCGTGAAAAAATATATATTCTGCCAATTTTTATAACCAAAGTAAACAAACCATGAACCGTGAGAATGACAGGTGACAGCACTCTTACTCCCAAGCACAAGTGAGATCGACTGTCGACCAAGTCGGGTTGGCAATACGTCTACCCATAGATTTTTAATTTGAATTTTATGAATGATATACTGTGTTATGGCATTTTAAATTTATAGTACAACAAAATAACGATTAGTAAAACAACGCATAGCTTGATAATTCAAGTTCTAAATAATAGGAAGCAAAACATAAACAAAAACCTACCTCGGGCTTACGTGCAGGACCCTGTGTAGTGATAGGATGGACATGAAATAAACAGAAAAAGGGTTAAATTAGATGAAAGGAAATTATGCTACAAGGATAACTAAAAAACAAGAACTAAACAGACAAAAGATTTTAGTACAAGTGATGAGAATATTAAAACATAGACAACATGTACAAATGTTAAAAGAAACGAAATACTGAGAAACTTACCATAGGTTTGAATTGGTGTTGGGAATTTCGCTGCTGTTGGTTCTGTTGAGATCTAGAAGCCGCAAAGTTATTGTCAGGGGGAGGTGGCAGTGGTCTAAAACAGAAATACAATATTAAATGTTAAGAATAGAGAGCTAAATATCACAGTGTTTAAGCATGTTCGGACAGTCCTAAGTTTTGTTAGTACTCGTGAAAACTTTTGAATCAGCACGAAGAAATTTATTTTGGGAAATACGACAAAAAATCCGAGCACCATAGCAAATTTCAAAAAGTGCAGTTTGCAATATTTACATTTGCAATTGTTGTCATAAACCCTTTTCGTCCTAGATGACATTACCAAGTATGTAGATCTCAAAATTACCTCTGAATATGTCCCTGCATAGATAATTTCAATCATAATTTTGTTCTGAACAATCCATAGATGATAAAACGTGAAATATGAAAGCAAACTCGACCTACACAGATTTTTACTATGTTCAAGATATTTACTCGGAAACATACAGTTGCTTTGACTCCAGCTGTGTAATGTTTGTGATAACATAATGTATAAATCTAAAGCCGCATAGCCGTTGCTATTTTTCCCGAATATACCAAGGAGAGTGTATTTAATGAAATGAACAGTATCATAAGTAAAATTACATATTTTTCTCACCTTCTTGGTGGTTGAGGGTCCGGTACGACAATTATCCTTTGTGGAATTGGAGGTCTAGCCGGTGGTCCTGGTTCTGGAATTTCCTCTCTGTCCTTGTTCTTGCCACTCCTGCAGAAAACAGTCATTCACGTATTAAACTGACATTCATACCAACACCACGCTTCGTCAACAGTGTCAACATCGTTTATACAGGATGTTTCAGAACTAAGGGATCAAACTTCTAGGGGTTACGAGGGAGGTCTTTTAAGTTTTGCATATAGAAACATAGTAGGCCGCGCGGATCGAACGTCAGTACTGACTCTTAACCTCACTCTTTAGTAAACTTAAATTCAAAGTTTCACAACATTACGTGCAGAGTTCTCACTACAGTGAATTTTTAAGTGTCACCAAGTCATTAGAAAAATGGAACTCAACCGAGAACATTTTCGCGCCATAATGTATTACAACTTTCAGAGACAATTATCGCAACAAGAATGCCTTGCTGAGTTACTGTCTGTTTTCGGCAACGAAGCGCCACATCAGTCGACAATTTCCCGTTGGTATGAAGAATTCAAACGTGGACGTCTTAGCGACGATCCCAGGGTGGGTGCACCAAAAACGGCAGTCTCCCGTGCATTACAGCTTGTTGCTCCGTATGCCAAATGCATATCCGCCAATTCTTGATTGGTTAAGTTTTCCATTAGCAACAATTAATTTTTGTTAAATTATTGCAAACTTCACAAATACGATAGTACGACTAAGGCGATATGGAATGCAGCTACAAAAAACAATCTCTGTTGTCGTATTTAAAGATTACAACACACAAGCGCCGGATATGGGTCCCTATACTCAAATGTTTTCTACTGTTACACTCAATAACCCCTACAAGTTGGATACCATTGTTCTGAAACACCCTGTATTGACGTGGCATAAAAGAACAAAACAATGACAGTATTATTTTGTCTTCCAAAATGTATTACCTGGGAGGTGGTTCGACTTGACTGAGCGTCCTCCCTTCTTGTATCTGTTGGAAATTCCTACGTAGGGTGTCCCCTCCCGGCGCCTGTACTATACTACTTGGTTCGCCAGCCAACTGCGGCTCCTCCTCTTCATTCTCAGATCCTGAATACCTATAGTCTTCCCTCTCCTTCTCCTGTTTCCTCTTTTTACACCTATCAATGTGGTCTTTCAGCTGAATCCGCACCTACGACAAAATTTAAGCAACTTTGGGTTGTTTAATGATCTCGAAATATTAGGCCAATGGATACATGCTATAAAAGTTTTGCAATATGACAACAAAAAATTCGTATTGACAGTGCAAAGTGCGGACTACGGCATCGTGGTCACGTAGTGAGATAAGAGCAGTTTTACGGTATAACTTTACGCGTAGTTTAAGCATAGAGCAGTGCTTAGAAGAAATGACGCTTGTATTAAAGAATGATGTCCTCATCGTACGACTATATTCATGTGGTACAGAGAATTCCAAAGGAGCAATTTCACTCTGGAGGACGCTGAGAGGAAAGGAAGGCCGCGAACGTCAGTAACAGAGAAAACATTACTGCTAGGAGGAAAATTCTTGATGAAAACCGGAGAGTGACATACCAACAGATAGAGGAGACCTTACACCTTCATGCACCAGCAATTCATTCTGCATTACCATTTCCGCGTAAGGAAACTGTTATCTCTGGGTACCACATAGTCTGGAGGAAGAGCAGAAGACTCGTCGTACGACTTGGTGACAAAACATGCTAAAAATATTTGATAAAGGGGAAACTCGGTATGTGAACAGCATCGTGACAAGTGACGACACTTGGCTCTATTATTACGATGTGCCGACCAGGGCTCAAAACAAAGTTTGAGTGTTTGATGATGAGAACACACCCGAAGCCGTCAGAAAATCTCGATCTGTTAAGAAAAAAAAGATAGCTGTATTTTTCTGAGGACTTGTGACAACGAGTGTGCCGACTCCCGGGTGAAACTTGGCAGAGATGGTTCAAGGAATGATTTTGGCGGATGGAGAAGTGTATTAAATGTGGTGAAAATTACTTTGAACAAAGTCAATAAATAAAGCTGCAAAACTTTCATAGTACCATTTGTAAAGGGTTGTCCAATAGGGACGCAGGAAAGTAAACGTCAATTTGACATAGTCGCCATCTTTGTTTTCTGTCACCGACATGTCATTTTGTTAGTTGAATGTTTACCATTGATCGCTATGGAGTCGTATTCGATTGAAGACCGCATTAAAGTTATTCAAGAGCACTACAAAAATGGTGCAAAAATAAAAAACACGTTTCGCGCGCTTCGTGAACATTTCGGTCGCAACAACCGCCCAAACGAAACAACCATCGGTCGTCTGGTGCGTAAATTCGAGGCTACAGGTTCTGTGCTGTTGTGAAGGAGAGTGTGAGAGACGATCCGAATCAATGAACAACGCGTCGATCCCAAGAATTGGGCATTTCGAGGACCAGTTTGCTCCGCATTCTCCACAAGGATTTGAATGTACACTCCTACAAGATCCAATTGACGCAAGAGCTGCGTCGGGCCGAGCATTTTTCGCGCCGAACGTTCTCATATTGGCTCCTTGAACACCGCCAAATTGATGCCAATTTTTCATCAAAAATCATGTTCAGCGATGAAGCGCATTTCACTTTGAATGGGACGGTAAACAAGCAAAACTGCCGCATCTGGGCGAACAAAAATCCCCGTGAGTATCAAGAGCAGCCGATGCATCCTCAAAAAGTGACTATGTGGTGTGCATTGTGGTCAAAAGGCATCATCGGACCTTACTTTTTCGAAAATGCGGCCGGGGACGCCGTTACCGTCAATTCTGAGCGATATCACGTGATGATAGAGGACTATTTTTTGCCGCAACTTGAAGGAATGGATATGGACGATGTTTATTTCCAACAAGACGATACAACATGCCACACAACCAACGTCAATATCCATCGATTGCAGTCCTTCTTCGGTGATCGCGTGATTTCGCGCAGAGGAAATGTGCCATGGCCACCAAGATCGTGCGATTTGACTCCCTTGGACTTCTTTTTATGGGGATATTTGAAAAGCAAAGTCTACGTCAACAAACCAGCCACCCTCCAAGAACTCAAAAACAACATCATTGCCGAGATAAATGCCATAGAACCGACCATGTTGCAAAATGTCATCGAAAATTTCGACCATCGCGTGGACGTCTGTAAATCCAGTCGTGGTGAACATTTGAGCGATATTATTTTTCATACATAAATGGTATAAATGAACCTTCAAAATAAAGTACCCAACTTGATTTGAATATCAATCTTTCTTGTTTTAATATGCGTTTACTTTCCTGCGTCCGTTTTGGACAACCCCATATAATTAGCATTGAAATACATATGTGAAGTGAGGGGTGCCAAATTATTGTTACCTGTCTCTCAGTAGGTTGGTCCCTGATGAACGGATGCTTGAGCAGCTGTTCCGTATAAGGCCTTTCGTGATAGTCTTTCACTAGTACAGTCTCGATGAAGCCGTGGAACTTTTTGTTCCACTTTTTACTTTTTAACCTAGGCGGCGGGTTCCTGGGGATGAGAAACAGCGCCCTCATTGGGTGGAGTTCGCATAGTGGCGGCTGAGATTCGGCCATTTCTAACGCTGTGATGCCTAGCGACCTGAAGTTAATTCATAAAATAATGTATCTGTATAACATCTGACCTTACCTCAAGCAAACGTTTAGGGGTAAAGGTACGATGTAAAATGTACAACTCTTTTATTTAGAAATTGCTGCTTATGATCTTGTTTACATTTCAAGTCGGGTAGGAATGAAATGAGATAAACAGTTTTTGACTTTGTTGATCATATCTACTTTTTAGAACACATCATATGGTTTTAAAGGACAATAAAACAGCCATATTGAATTACATTCCACTGAGGGTGGACAATTAATCAGAAAAACGAATCTATGTTATTTTTACACCTAAAATTGCAGCTACTGGAAAAAACAACAGTCTGACCTATTGAATTCCCTCAATAATAATACATGTGCATACTCCTAAATTGGAGTATGCAAATATATATGGTAGTTGGTATATCTGTTGGTGGTGAATAAATAAATGAATGGATAGAGATAAGCATGAAATATCCCAAAAATCAAGAAAAAAGTGTATTTTTATTTACTTACCAAAGATCACTCCTGTTGTCATAGGTTGCATCTGGATTTTCATCACACGCTATAACTTCAGGAGCCATCCAGTAGGGTGTGCCAATAAATGTATTCCTACGACCAATCGTCCTATCTAGTTGAGCAGACACTCCAAAATCAACTGAAATTTCACACAAACAGACATTAGTAAACCTGTTTTATATTCTAAGAGTACACAGTATGACCACCACCATAAAATTCTAGCAAAGCAAAGGTTTAACTTTGAAAAAATATAAGGGATAAAAAACCAACCACCAGAACTCTTTGAAGCATTGGTTCAAGTGACATTTCATATTGCTAAATTATCACATGGATGATAAGATAAAACAAAAAATTGATTTGATATGAAACTCACCTAACTTAACCTCAGCATTATCTGTAAGAAGAACGTTCTGTCCTTTAATGTCTCTGTGTATAACTTTGTTTGTATGCAGATACGATAGGCCCCTCAAAATTTCCCGACAAATGTAGGCTATCCATTCCTCTTTCAAAGATTGGCCCTTTGTCGATTTAACTAAGTCTGTCACAGAACCTGAAATCCACACATCAAATAAACAAAAATATACACGATTTACAAAGTATTTTTTGTTGACTGCTAAAATTTACAATAACACATTTGCGTATTTGAAAGTCTGCTAGGAATTGAAATTATTTTTATAGATTACCTGCCCCACAATATTCCATGACCAACCATAACTGGTCGTCTTTACCGGGTGGCGATTTTTTTATGAAAGCTCCATAATAGGTGGCTATATTGCGGTGATTTGAATATTTCTTTAAAACATTGATTTCTAGCTTGATTTCTTCTTCTTCGTCTTCCGTGACGTCCATAACCTTGATGGCCGCGAGTTGACCTGTCTTGGTATGACGACCCTGCAACAAATCAAAAATTAATAAACAAGACATTTGCTATTCAGACAGGAGTTGAAATTTTGCATATATTTTAGTGTCCCTCTCGTTACAAACATCTAGTGATTGAATGATCTGAAGACATTATGGAATCTCAAAATCGCTGGAAAATGTTACGGGACTATCAGGAAATTGAGTTTAACAAGGCCTTGTCATATAACATCCAAAAAAACATACTATATCATTTTCGAAAATTTTCGCGATTACACTTCCCCGCCAGTAGGCATTGGGAGTAAAAGTTTTCGTTATTCACGTTACTTTCCGACTTTTGCTGTATTTTGTTTACTTTGTTTAGTGGCTATGCTTCAGGGTCCGTCAGAAAGAACGCATGTTCATTAAATGAGTAGTACAGTCAAAATAAGTATGGGAAAAATATTTATTATATCAAAATACTCAGAAATACATGCCATTTTTTTAATTAGAACAAAATTTACGTTCTAAAAACTATGAAATGCAGGAATCAGCCGAAATGAGCCCATTGCGTCGTCCAGCATCCGTGCAGGAATTTGGGTTATTATCTCTTCTTATTTCCTCCTTCAAATCGACAAAGCTCTGAGGCTTACTTTGGTAAACTTTTGATTTCAGGTAGCCCATAAACAAAATCACACGTTAACAGGTCCGGGCAGCGAGGGGGCCTTGGAATATCGCCATGACGTGAAATGAGACGTCCTGGAAATTTTTGTCGAAGAAGTTCCAACGAAGTGCAAGCTGTGTGAGATGTTGCCCCATCTTGTTGGAACTGGCACGCAAACGGACGGAACGATTCGGGCTTTGCAGCGTGTCAACTCTCACTCTGTCTACGTTTCCGGGGGTTCGCCTGGCAGTTTTTTCTTCATTACATTACCTGTTGCGTTGAATGCTTCCACCCACCTCAAAATGGTGTTACGGTCTGGCACTGTCCCACGACGTGGAACCCGAAAGTGAACGCGAAACTCACGTAGCGTTCGAACGACAGACTCGCCATTTTGAAAGTACCGACGTACAGTGAACACACGATGCTCAACGTTCCAAACCATCTTGCCAACTGAAACGGCACTTCTCCCACTATCCAACACGCCCTTCCCCACCGACACGGGACCAGCCCACTCGATGTAGTACCCATTCGAAAAAAAAATCGTTCTTTCTGACGGACCCTGTATTATCTTAGCTACCTGTTTGATGGTCAATTAGTTTCTTGGAGAACATACCAGGAAGCTTTCTCAAAGGCATGCGAACTCGAACTTTGCACTTCGTATTTGACATTTTTTTTATTTACAAAATTTGTGACCGAGTAATTGAATACTCGGCAAAATCGGATACTCGGTGCATTCCTAGACACGGACGAATATTCCTGCGATCCCATGTAAACATTCGAGTAAGGCTACATACAGGTATACCATTCTGCTTTTGAAAGAATGAAAGGACATATGAAAACGTCCCCTTAAGCGCACTCACACATATAATGTGCATACATCGCATGCCCTCATATTATATAATTGCATTCCAGATTTTATGTACCGACCCAGCATTTCGCATTGAGATATGCGCATTCATACACCTACGCAATGTAAAATGTACAGAAAGCTGACATCCAATCCGCCGGTTTAATGATTCACATTTTTTATTTGAAACTTGTTTGAAATGTGGAACGAAAGAAAGTCCGGCCACTTTGCATTTGATGAAACTGGATGAAACCGGGGCACTTGACCCAGAAGGAGACTTTGGAGGACTGTAACTGATGAAGTGTGTCTTTCACTATCATAGTTGTGGTGTATTTTAGTTTATAGTATAGTTTAGTTATAACTATAAATTATATATATATATTTTTTTTTTGATGAAATATCACATTACATCGTGCTCTAAATGTACTGACAAAGATAGTTAAGTGTGAGAGTAGCCTAGGCTAAACTTCGCTATCTTTGTCCTTCACATACAACAAATAAAGGCATTATTATTATTATTATTATTATAAAGAATGCAAATCAAGTAGTGCTTCCCACGTAATAACTTATTTATTAAACATCCAAAACAGCACTTTGCGAATTTACAAAAAATAAAATTTCGCCCATAAAAATTATTTGAAAGGAAACGTATGATAATTACCACCCACCCAAAATATGTTTGACATAAAAGGATCGATCTAGTCCCAATCTTATTCAAAAAGAGTCCCTGTTATCGAATCTGCATGTTGCGAGGCCCAAATATGCGTCAAACATTTTTTTTACAAATTCCATAAACTATTTTTTTTCGCTCCGGTCAAAATGTTTAGGTTTTTTGGGACATTTTGAACAAAAATGGTGACTTAGAACTTTTATAATATATGCCATTTTCTACACCGAAAAACAAAAATTTTAATGTTGACAATGTTTCTAAATATTCTTCAAACGTCCATTAACGAAATCCAACATAATTTCAAGACGGATTGTTGTTGTAAAATTTGTTAATCTAGCACGCGCTTTAAAGATCCAAAAGGCAACAGAACGTTTTGTTTTATACTATACGGGGAATTCAAAAATAATTTTTATTTGGGAAAAAACCATTGGCGTACCATTTTTTCCTTAAAAAATATCGAAGTCAATACCCGTACGCACGCCACTGTTAAAGCTAAAAATTATTTTTGCATTGAAAAATATGCAACTTTATTAACTTTCACTACGTACTAAATATCAGTGAAATATCTGAAGCGGTTCTGAAAATATTAATTTCCATTTTTTTCCAAAAACTTCAACACCCCGAGTTTTTGTAAGGAAACATTTTTGGACCATAGTTTACAAAGCAAACTAAAATTAATTTTTCATGTAGATTCACACCCTTAAATATTCGTATATCATTAAGAAACACTTACTCCTCATGCAAATTATCATTGGGCTTACTTCACACTGCAAAGATTCGTGAAAACTAAAATTGGTATATCGCTACGTTCATCTCCAAAGGGACGTATTCGCGTTCTCTGAAAGCATAAACAATAGGAAACACCCCACTTCTGAAGCACGGAAGGCAGGCAACATAAAACACCGTAGTATATTTTTAGTCGGTCCTCCAGCATTTATTTGCAGTCAAGTGTAAACATTGTACAATACGTCCATAGTGCTTCGATTATTTGTTTTTTCGGAACCGTCTGCACTACAATAAATATATCAAGCATATCGTATTTACAATGATAGGTTGATACAGCGTGTATTTACATCTATTGACAATAAACCCGGTATCGGGTATCGTCCATATAATATTCGCAATCGTAACACGAATGCCGCTCTTATCTGTATTGTTCAAGATATCGTAACGTTTTAACATTGTGTATTATTTAAAGACATCCGATATGAATTATTCATGTGGGCAGAAGGTGGATTGTTTGGATTTAAAAAAATGTCGGTTTAACTGATATATATCTTCAAACATTATTGAGTGAGACATACTTTTAGCATTAACTCTACAAATATTGAACACGGGTTTGCTTTGAAGCCAAATATTATAATAATACTAATAATAATATCGTCTTAAAAAGATACAGATTGCGATTCATTATGGCGAAGTTTAGCTAAAGCTACTCTTACAATTAACCATATGAATATGAAAAAAAAGAAGACGGTACAGGAGAGACAAAGAAAAAATAAAGTTTGGCTATTACAATGTCATAATAGTATCGAAAGCAGTTCAATCAAACAACTAATTTAAATGCCTACAAGCATATGTGCCCATAAACTAACTTATAAATGTATTATTAACAAAAATATATATATACAGGGTTTGTCCGGAAAGTAATAGGACTGAGTCGATTTAAAAAATTTATTGAGATAAACGTTACAATTCTTTAAAAACTTTCAAAATAGGCTCCTTTTGTGTCGATGCAGCGCTGCCAGCGCGATTTCCAAGCATTGAAGGCGCCACGGAAGGCATTATCCGAAAAAGCCTTGAGAGCCGCGGTGCATGCTGCTTGGATCCCCTCTGTCGTCTCAATATGCTTGCCTTTCATCGGCCTTTTCAGGGGAGGAAACAAAAAAAGTCCGGGGGGCCACATCTGGGCTGTAGGGCGGCTGCGGAAGCGTTGGGATGCCGGCCTTGGTCAGGTAGCTGTTCACAAGAAAGGCGGTGCGAGCCGGGGCGTGGTCGTGGTGCAACTTCCAGTCGGCTGCGATGTCTTGTCGGACCCGACTGACCCTTCGTTTGAGTCTCCTGAGCATCTCCACGTGAAACTTGGCGTTGACGGTTTGTCCAGGAGGAACAAATTCATGGTGGACGATGCCTTTGATGTCAAAAAAGACAATGAGCATCGTTTTCACTTTGGATTTGCTCATTCTTCCCTTTTTTGGGCGAGGAGACGCCGTCGTGTGCAACTCGGAAGATTGCCTCTTTATCTCGGGATCATACTCAAAGATCCACGACTCGTCACCTGTGATTACGTTATTCAAAAATTGGGGGTCACTTTCACACATGTTCAAATTTTTCTTGGCACACTTCGACTCGCCTCAATTTCTGGTCGTCAGTGAGCACTTTTGGGACCATCTTCGCGCATACCTTGCGCATGTTCAAATGCTGTGTCACAATGTCATGAACCACAGATTTTGGTAAATTTAACATCTGGGCAATTAAACGAATACTTAGTCGACGGTCTGAGTTCAAAACTTTGCGCACACGAGTCACATTATCGGTGTTTCCCGAAGTCTTCCAGCACAGTCTTCATCAGCGACCTCTTCCCGGCCCTCTAAAAAGGCCTGGTGCCACCGAAACACGCCACTTCTTGCTAAAGCAACACCTGTGTAAGCCTGCTTGATCATATCAAACGTCTCTGTCGCAGATTTACCGAGTTTCACACATAATTTAATCGCGTACCTCTGCTCTAACGAACGCTGCATTTTCGGCTTGCACCACTCACAGAAACACGTCGCGCGAAAATGCCTGTCCTTACTCTCCAAGTGCTCGGAGACAACTGACCAGCCGCTCATTCGTTAGCTAGGAACGCCCTCTACCGAATCCAGTCGGCGCGA